GTTTGGTTTTCAGCATTTTATTCATTTTGGGGTTAGCACTGTCAGCATTTTATACTAATTGGGAAGGCATGCCAACAACAGCCTACAGCCAGCAGGGAAATCATTTTTTTTGGTAGCAATAGATACCATAGGTCTACAAGTAACTTCCCTGTGCAAAAATAGCAATATTATGTAGTTGTTGTTGATGTACAGGCTGTTGTGTTAGGTGTCAGCATTTTATTCATTTTGGGGTTAGTGCAGTCTTGGAGCAACCTTACCATAATAGGAACTACACCACCAACCCCCATATCTTTAACCACGAATAGCGCTACAACCACAGCACCTACAGCTTAGTGGAAGGTACCGTTATACTTTGCAAAGTTACCTCTATCAAGCTCTACCAAAAGAACCTCAACTTTTTTCTTGAACCTAACCCACATTTCAACACTTGAAACAACTGCTAGGCAGGCGTAGATGACCCCGTATCCACCGCGTTTGGTAGGGCCTTTCTGCCATGGAACCAGCTCCTCGAGATCACTCATCTCGTCCGCAAATTGAAGGTGCTACAAGAGCCTCGCTGGTAGGTTCTGAACAATAAAGTAGGACTTTCTTCCAAGGCTACTTGGCTGATCGGGAAATCTCAAGATTCAAGGGAAATGGAGTGGCGGGCTGGCGCTTGCCGAAGGGCACTCAGCTGCCTTCAGCTTAGACGGATAGTTTCAATTTGTGGCTGCAGCTGCTGCACAGCCTGGTGGCGCGCACACCGGCGACAACTCCACGCAAAGGAGGCATGCAAGCAAATGGCTGCGAATAGCTTTACACTAGATCTAACACGAGTGGACATGCCCAGGGTGCGTAATTATTTGCGACAGCGCGCCTCAGGTACTCTCTCCATTTTCGATGCAGCGACATGACATCCCGGAGTCACCAGTACGCAAGACTGCCACGTGGGCGTGACCTTGCAGCTTGCGTAGGAGCGCTGCGCCTCAGGCGCCGTGGAGGTGAGCTTTGTGGAGTGCGATGTTGGTCTGGAAGGATCGATACGTCCATGCCGTCATTTGTGTCTTCGCTCCATTGCCGCCAACCTCTTGCGTGTTCATGCCTCCCCACCTGTCCTCCTCAACATTAAATACATTACCCAGCGAGCTCGTTAATATTGGTAGTCTGCAGCTCTGAAGTGCCTATAGAGATGCGTCCTGTTCTCCTTCTCTTTTCCTCTCCGCGTTAGCAGCCGCTCTGCTGCTTTTGCGGTAGTTGTGGCGATGCTGCTGCTGCTGCTGCTGCTGCTGTTGGTGCAATTGCAATAAGAAATTGCGACTACAAATCGCGACTGCAACTGCGACGACGAATTGCTCCTACTGACCGCAACTGCGAACTGACGTGGTATTTTTGGGTGGCTGGCTTAATCGGGGATGGTGACTTCCTAAAAGAGTTTAGTTTTGGAGTAGGGTCTGTTCCATGTCGCCATACCTGAGTAGGTCTATACTCTATAGATTACTCTACTAAAAGAATTCTATAATAATAGCTATCATATATAGCTGTACAACCTTGTGAAGGTAGTTGAGAGGTGCAACTACTGACCGTGCGTTACCAGTGACCGGTATATGGCCGAGCTTAACGTTTTTAACAACATCAAAGAACGTGTCCCCGTCTTGAGTTGTGGTTTGCATGGCCATGGTTCCGTCCCAAAACGTAACGCCTCCAATGCACGCACCTGTAGTAGCCACTGCATCTGCCATCAAAGCCACCATCCCGTCGGGAGGGATATATCCGCTCCCACCTGAATTGAAAGCAAGAAGTGCGACACGGAGCTTGAAGAAAACATGCGAGCCAGATAAGGTGCTGCACCACTTCTTAAGACTGGCGTTGAACCCGGAAGATCCCCAGTTACAAGATTTGGCGTTGTAGAATCTTACTGACACAAAATCAACCTCTTGATACAAACCCTCAGGCACTGGATCCGTGAAAGCGCAGGATACGCATGTGGAAAGGCTGATTTGACTCTGGTTGCGAGTAAAAGCTTGGCGAAGAGATTGTGCGAACACATCGAAGTAGTCAGGCGAACCGTTTTCATGATCTGTGATGATGTTCATGATCAGAGTGGCGGAAATGAGGACGGCTATTGCGACTTACCTAGATCGAAGCCATCTACTGATACGTCTGGAAACGGCTGGTAGACTTGGGGTGATGTGGTATTACCGAAAAGTGACCACAACTTATCGGCTGCATCCGCGGCATCTTGACGGCTTGTGAACGTGATCGACGATGATGCACCTCCGATCCCGATGAAAACTTTCTTGCCCAGACCTTGACATGATGACATTTCCTTCGACCGGTATCCACAGCTGGAATTCATTGCCGCCTTGCCAGGCGTCATGTTCATGCACCCTGCTCCGAAGTCGAATCGCGGGAAGCCGCCGGGAAGGGAGAAGTCAACTATCCACCCAGCTATCACGACATCGAGCTCAGGCTCTTTGCAAAGATCCAGAATGCTAGAATTACGATTTCCTGGTGTGTGGCCCCAGTAAGCCACGACTTCGTTCGCATGGCTGCCATCTTGATCTTGTTGCGCCCGAAATAGCGTCTCAGCCCGACCAGACACTCCATTACTGTCGAACGCTAGACGCTCTCCACTGCAGCCAGTGAACCAAGCACTGAAAGCAAGAAGAACTGAGAGAGAGGTAGGAGCTCTCATTGTGAGGCCGTCGGTGTTTTTTGAAGGACGATGATCTTGACGAGGTACCGAAGATGATTGCGAAGCGAGCGTAGCGAGTGTGTGAGGGGTTGAGAAGTTGAATTACTAGTTCAGGAGGAAGATCGGCGCTGAGCCACAACTTGATGTTCCTACTAGTGTGACGCTAGTAACTAAGCCTCATCGATAGGCGCACAGGCTGCCCGGTCGATCCATCTAGCCATCACAAATACGAAGGAGCCCCTTTCTTTTAAGCGATTACTTGCAGAAACACCAAAACTACTTGCCAAGCTTAACTTACTATAGCGCTACAATAATAATATACTACGTTATTTTAGTTAGGTATAACGTACCTTACGGGTAAGTTGGCCACACGGGTGAGTCGCCCACACGGTGGAAGGAGAATAAAGTCTACCTCCTTGTTAAAAAACCTACACATACAGCAACCAACAAAAAAACTAGACAAGGCTAAGGTTAACTTATACCTTAAAGCTACTTTAAAATTAACAACTACACTCTGCAGCAGTACAAGTGTGTAAGAAAGAATAGATTTAGATATAAGAATTACCTGTTTGCAGCTGTCTATTTGTAAAATAAGCTATTAAGGTGTTAGTGTTACTACGCGCCTCTATATCTGTGCCGCGTTGGCGCATAAAATCAAAACATTGCAGGTGACAGCAAACAACAGACAGTCGACCCGAATCTCCAGTAACCGGCAAGATGCTCTAATCTTTTAGCCTGCGGCTTGGCCAAGCGGATTAGCCAAAGAGGTTACAGCAGAATAAGCTGTGTTGTCCTATTTAGGTTAAATTGTTGTTTTAGAGTTCGTAGTGCAGCAGCTTAGCAACAGGCACAACGCACAGCCTTGTTTTCTTACCTTTATTTTTACAGCGTCTTATCTTATTGCATCCTTAGGTTCACACCCTTAACCCTTCTGGCAATCTTTCGAGGCAACTGAAAGCTTGCTCGCATAGAACTTTAACAAGATGGAACTATGTTTCAAGATATGCATACATTGCCCCAGCCCTGCTGCTAATTCTTCCTGGTGCTGTTGCGTGCACCCTTCTTCAAAGTGACTCTGCACCGAACTCCCCAGCAGCGTGCTTCGATAAGGCCAATCACGCCACCCATGCCCCCATCCCTCGGTCCGGCACCATTCCAACTCTCCTTCCCAATACCCCTAACCCGCTCCTAAACTTAGAGTATCATCCCCGCACTGTGCAACATAGGAAAACTCGCCAGATGATACCCACCCCTCAGCTCGCGCGCGCCAATGCCCGCCATTTACTTACTAGCCGCATTCGCGCTGATACTTGTGCCTTTCTTCACTCCGTATCGCTGGCACATGGGGCTGCTCATCCTGCCAATCCTACTCTCTGCTTGCGTGCTCGCGCCGTGCTATACCTTCAGCGACGTCCCGTCTGACTTCTACTACAGCTCGATTTTCATCGCCATACCTATGTGATATGTTGAGTTTGCTGTGAGATGAGGCTCTGGTCTAAGTGGGTGCAGCGAAGGATAAGAGAGACGGCCCGGCGCAGCCTTTGATCTGATGTTTGCTACTCATTTTATGGTGTTCTCCATGAGCCAAAGATGCAACTGACTAGCTGGCCAAATGGACCGACCTGAGAAATTGGCTTAAGAGCGGGACACGATTATAAGGAACTATCAAGGTATTAAGGCAGCGGTTTAGAAACAATAACAAAAAGCTAATATCCCCGCACACACGTAGAAGGAGAGGGAATTGCTAGTATCCAAGTACATAAATACTAATCCGCTAGTGCGTTGCTTAGATAGGGTTGAGCGAACGGGAAGCCTTAGGGTCACGTGCATTTGGTAGATACAAGCAACAATGAAGCACTGTGTCTTGCCTACGAACCTGATTCTAAGAACAAAAGTTTTAGCACTCAAAGATTTGGATAAAACATGACCGTGACACCCGGTGAGAGGCCTTTTCTGAGACGTACATCTATAAAAAAAAAAAAAAAAAACCCCTCTGGTTTTCATGATATTTACATAGAAAATAATACAGTCTGAAATGATCTGACCGCTGATTATGAAGCTTTTAGGGATTGGTATCTCAAGCATAGAAGTTTTCGATGTAGGATATAGGAGGTAGAGTTAATAAAAGAAATAAGAAATGTAAAAAAGGTGGAGAAGAAGAAGCTCTTGGTGGAGGAGTGACTATCCTACTTTGGGTTTTTGTGCCTCAAGATCATCTGTTACGACGGAAGATTGACTTGATGTAACACCCGAAACACCCCAAACTATCATGCGTTAGCAATGTTGTTGATTAGGAACGGGTGCTCGGTGTGACTGACCTTGACTTCCCAGGTTCTTCATAACCCTGGTGAAGACTGTGATTGAGACGAACGGTGAGAAAAGTTTGTTGAGGAAGAATCCGAGGAATAGCTTGTGTCCTCGTTTTCTGAGCTCCGGCTCCAAGAAGATTGTAGAGAAAATGAACCAAAGAAGTGGAAGTTGAGTGATGATCAGAAGAGGTAGGATGTCGAAAATGTGGAAAACTTCCACTAGTCCCTTGATAAAGAGTATTGTGTTGACAACTCGGTAGTAGATCATGGTCATGCGTACCAATTCCATGGCAGAAGCGATGCGTGTAATGATCCACATATTGTTGCCAAAACAATAGAAGTAGTTGTTAAAATAAGCGTTGGAGCCCCAACGTCGTCGTTGACTTAGGTAGTGCAGTAAGGATTGTGGCGCGACTGTCTCGCTTACGGCATCTGGAACAAATATGGTGCGCATCTTCTTGCTCTGAGAGAGCATCGAATATGTCAAGCGACGATCTGTGCCGAGGTATTGTACCTGGTGGTGAATCACAGGGAGGCCGGTGACTGGTGCGGCATACTTGGTTATAGCACCAGCCATTTCGGGTCGTACGGCAACCATGGTGATACAACCTGGCAGGCAAGTGACCTTGCCTATTGTACCTTCGGCCATTCGCCGCACAAACTGCCCGTAGGTATACTAGATCTTGTTAACACGAACGATTCCGTATAAAAATGTGATCCCACATACCTGGTATTGTTGATACAGATTCCAAATTGACCATTCGTAACCAGGCTCAAGTTCAACCAGAACCAGACCGCATGCGGCAATCGCGTCGGGTTCATGAGAAAGAGCATTCGCGAGCTTGGCCACAGCACCCTGGCAGACGGTAGAATCGGCATCGGTACAAAAGACCATATCAAAACCAGTAAAGTTATGTCCTGCAGTCAGTTGTGGTAGAATCTCTGCCCAGATTTCTTCCCGGAGATTTTGTGTGTATACAGGCATGTTCTCTCGAGGGCTGTTGAACAGATCATGGCACATAACCAAGCTGTCCTTTTTGCCAGCATTCTGGAGCTTCTCGGCCACGAAAATGGGTACATCGTCGATAAAGCCAGCGACTAACCGTAGAGTTATCTTCTTTGACTTGGTGGTAACGTATGGCCTGGTCCAAGTCTTCACCACACGTGTCATGTGTGACAGGATATCGCGATGTTTGCCATCCAGAATGACACACATTACTTGGATGTGTGGATCTACGTCGTTGTGTCGGAGGGCTTTAATTGCTTTGATGATTTGCTCTTCGCTCTCAGAGTAGGTCGGGATGAGCGAAAGGATCCACTTGCGGCTTACTTCAGGCTTGGGATGGATGCGGTTCTTGATAGAATGATACATCTTGCTGCCCACGATCATGAAAACAGATAAGACATCTTTGGCTTTGACAAAGATCATGAAGATGAGTACGAAGAGTCCTGGATGCGTGAAGATGGCCACCAACGCGACAGTGATGTTAATCGCTAAGATGGTGAAGGCGAAAAAGAATCTTTGCAAACCCAACTCCCACCCTGTCAGATGCCTTGCTGGATCTTTGATTTCTGGAAGTTCTGGCCAGTCTTGACTGTAGTCCTTTTCCTTTTGGTACACAGACGATGTAGTGTATTTGGTATCGCAACTGTTCCCGGAGTTCCGATGGTAGTAGCTTTTTGGGGGTTTTGACTCAGGATGACCGATCTGGGTAGCGAACGTCGAAGCATATCCACTCAGTACAGAGTCCGAGGACATGGGCCGCTGATTATCATATCTTTTCTCGTTGAGCGTAGTTTGTGTTGTGTTCCATGCGGTGTATCTGTCCTGCGAGTCGGCATAAAAATTGGAAGGCGGATCGGTAAAAGGATTGGAAGGCGGATCGGCAAAAGGATTGGGAGAGATCTTGTCGGCAGAAGGATCGGGAGAGATCTTGTCGGCGGAAGGATCGGGAAAGATCTTGTCGGCGGAAGGATTGGAAGACATCTTGTCTATTGATAAAGACGTTCAAAAAAATGTTGAGAAAAGATGGTGGCTCTTTGTATCGAACACTAGGAGCGCAATTTTGATATGCACAACTAGGGGCGTATGGTGGATAACGATCGTGGTGCGAAATGATTTCTGGATGGTTTATCAGTATTTGTATATCATTGATGCCGTTTGGAATTTCATACCTTTACATTCACAGATACTGGTTGAACAAAAAATGAGTGTAATTGAAAATATCAACAAGACTGTAGGCTGCCCTTGGAAACTATGGTGGACTCTTGATGATCCAACTGTTTCAGGCCCCTAGCATACCGAAAGTCTTGTTGACAGAAGAAAGAGGGGACTCGACGATACTTTTGGATTGTCAAAAGCTGCACCCTTTCACTACAAAAGTCATCAGACATGTCCATCTTGATAAGGCCCGCCGTCTAAGATGGGCAACGCCACTACAGCCGCATGCATGCCGCAATAGTACGAATCAATTGTGGAACAACACCCATGCGCGGTCTGGCCGTCGCGTGTCACCGGTTGCCCCACAGGCCTCTGCACTTTCGGGGCGGAAATCACAACCAGGCTCGGCGATATGTGGAGATGACCTGAACTCTGGAGACTTAGTTCAAGGGAGCTAAAGTAGCTTCACAGATGGCTTGCGTTGGCCATCGAGCTTGTGCCTGCCAAGGCATCTAAGCCTTCAATTCCTGCACTACTTCCCGCTGCCCTGGATCAGTTCTACACAGACTTCTGGCTACACCCGCTCTGATGAACACGTGCGTATCTAGTGACACGACTTCTTCGCATGTGGCGCAACAACTATCTGTGCATTGAGTCCAGAACATTATTGATTATCAGCCATGAGCAGTGCAACGGTCGGGGACATCACACACAAAAGTTGTATTAGGGTTCCGTGGCTTGTCGAATGATGAAACCGTATACTGTGGTTGCTGGCATAGGTAGTGAACGTGAGTCATGGAGTGGCTGATGACAAGGGCTACTGTATTAAAACTTTTACAGTCTTGCAGTGGGCAGGTAGCAGACACTTAGAAATCTACCCTGTCCTGATTGGGTGAGGCTATCAATAAGAGTTCTCGCAGCTTCGGTCCGTACCCCTGAACGCCGTTCTCCACCTACACTATTTACGCCAACAACCACATAAGCTCAGCTAGCCACTTTGAAGAGTGAGCCCATCGCTCTCGTACCTTCACCATTGGCTTGGAAATTTGAATTGTCAATGGTTCCGAGAAGTTGAAGTATCAATGGATACCCAGGCCGTAGGTCGCAGTTCGCACTTCTCCATTGTTAGGTCGTGGGAATTGAAATGCAGTGTACCGGTAGACCGGTCAAGTGCTGTTGAGCAACTCCACGGCGAAGAATATTGTGTTACGCTGGAGGCATCAAGCCTACTAACCACTTTTGGAACCGCGCTTTCAGCTACGCTACGTGGCTACCTCTTAGGGGGTGGCGTGCTTGGCAATACCGCGAAACAACAGCCGACAGCGCCGCTTATACATCACCACAGCCTTGCGGTGACTAGCGATCCTAGTCTTCGGTCAACCCGAGAGGTTGTTACAAGCTAACGTTCCTTGCAATTTTGCTGTTGTATATGTTGATTTTCTTACAGTGTCCGTGCGCGTGACGCCCGGAGTCGCATACTCGCAGAAATGAGGCTGTAGAGCTACCTACAATCACTATTATCACAAGAATCTGTGGTGCAGTAATAATTGCAAGCTTGCGATTGATTTGCGCTGACTGTATTCACTAAGAAGGTCGACATCGCGGCCGTTGCCGGTGATGACAGGCGGTAGAGCTGTAGGTGCCTCTGGGCGCGCACCGCGATGGGCAGCGTCACTACATTGTTTTTGACGCTGGTTCTTAGGTATAGAAGGTTGCGAACCCTTTCTCTTGCCTTTCTGGGGCAATTGTATAGCTTTGGCAGCGTCGCGAGCCTCCTTCTGACGCTGATTCTGAACTGCCTTCTCAGCTGCCTTCTTCCGCTGCACCTTCTTTGCCTCCTCTTGCGCTACACGCTTTTTCTTCTCCTCCTCCTCTTCTTCTCCTTCTTCTTCTTCCTCGCCTCTCTGCCTTCGCAAGCTGCTCGTCCTCTTCCTGTTGTTGTTGTTGTTGTTGTTGTTGTTGAAAGCGCACCTCTGCCTCGCGTCGCTTAGTTAGTGACCAGAACATCATCTTACTCCGGAGCCGCTTCTCCCGCTGTAGAGGTAGTGTACTACTCTTCTTGTTGTGCTTTCTCTTGGTTTGTATTGCTTCTTTGAAGCCTTGAAACTCGTGGTGGAGGAGCTGATTTTGTACTGGCAGGTGGTGGAGGGTGCGGTGGAGCTTGCGGGATTCTCTACTGTTGTTATTCTTCACTGCAGCCTTAACAAGAGACTGTATCTTGAGCTAATCGTCGCCGCTATACACAGAAGTAGAAGAATCGGAGGTCTCTGCTGCCTCCGGCGTACCGTGAGTGAAGCAATCGAGTACTTGGCTGCTGTTGGGTGGGTAAGTTACTGTTACTTTGAAGGCGCTAAGTATAATTCTGGTAGTAAAGGTCTTCACCCAAGCCCTCCAGAACAAAAAGAAGAAGTCGTCTTTCTTTGCTGAGAACCACCCCAAGCCTTGCTGAGTGAACCGAGTGAGCTCAGAGGTGTAGTTCTGGGCTAGTGGAGCGAAGCAGGTCACGTCCGACGGCTGGAGAGTCTGTGTTGAGCGTGGAGGAAGAAAAGCCCAATAGTATTCGGTTGTCAAGACAGTACTTGACGAATCCATCGTTATATGGGAGCCGTCGCCATCTAGGATCAAGAGCCGATACTGTACCCGTAGTTTCTGCTTGGTGCAGCGGTCGAATATCTGTTCAAGCCAGGCCAGGCTAACGTCGTCGTTGGTCCAGCCTGTAGGTGACGTGGTGAAGTGCACTGAGTGCTGTTGTGGGATGATATCGTCCAATCAGCTCGATTGTATAGCCTCGCCAGTTGCCTCATATTTGATACCAGGTGGTAACGCACTCCCATAAGCACACACACAAGCTAACACTGTCACCCACTGTCAGTTACCAGCATATAGTGACTGCGTGACTTCCTTCCTCTCATACTGACGCTTGTTGAAAACGCGTTCTGTTGACCTATTAGTCACGCCGATCATGAAGCTTTTCTTGTTTGTATTGTACCGATTCTCTGGCTCAACGTTGTACTGGCAGTTCTGGTAACGGTGTAGAAAGTGGGTAACCCAGCTTTCCGAGAGAGTCTCTTGCGCAACAGCTTACGCGAAATCTCGTATCGACTCTCTTTTAGGTCGTAAGCAACGCTCAGTACGCCTTTGTTATACTTGACGAGCTCAGCTTTTTATTGTGGGTTGAGTTTGTGTTGCCCGGAGATCTTGTGCCTTCGCGACAACGTTGACCGGTCAACACCACATTGATCAGCAATTTTTCGATACACAAATTGTTCTCTAAGTTTCAGTGCATTCATGTGCGCAATCGCAGCTCGAATTGCAGTCATTGGTGTTGAGTCATTACGCGTTGAAGATTGGCAGAGGTTCTGGAGATCGGGCGCTACACGACTCCGGGCGTCACGCGCACAGACACAAGTAGCGATTTCCGGAAACGGCCACAGAATTCAATACGCGTCATTCAAAAAGCCCAATACTACATGTTCAGCCACTGTTCAAAATACATGAGGCTTTGTTTAGAGGGAGCTGAATGCAGCTCACAACGAATATTAAAACATTCTCGCCTCGGCCGCGTTAGTATTGAGGGTAAGCTGATATTAGTCAACCACTATGGATCCGCTATGCCAGGAAGCACTGCGAATCTGGCCTTGTGGGCTGATGACCTTTCTAGCGGCGGCAGCTCCAGAAGGAAATGATTCTAGGGCTTGTGAGATACATCCTGCATTGACTAGGTATCAATTCTCAGCTAGCAAGGGATTGAACGAACATGGGAGACACTAGTCACTCGGTTAAGCAAGCGCCAGTGGCTTGGCGCCTCTCTGCCCACCCTGCATCTACTGTTTTACAGCAACACTCGCAGTATCTCAACCTCAACTGCAGGACAGCAAACAGCCCATCAACCACCCATACCCACACCTTTACAGCGCCAGACACTGACCCGGGTCTGGGGCTAAGGCAGTGTAGCCGTTGAAGGCGAGTGTCGAGCAGCTGCCTTTTTTCGGTGGGTCTCGGTTGCGGAAAGAGTTTTGTTGGCGAAGCGCACCTTGACGGCTGGTCCGAGTTCCAGTGCTCGGTCGCCATACACAGTAGAGCGCTCTGATGCAGGCTGAGCCTTTTCTGGGGCGAAACAGCAGGGCCGAGTCGTTCGAAGTTTGTAACGCCTGCCAAAACGGGCGATGGTCTCGTCTATGGGACTACCTAAGTGAGCGAATACAACAGACCCATATTTCTGCTTCGAGGTACTTAGCGGTCGCCTTGACCGCTGGCGCTGGCGCCGAGGTAACGATAGCCAATTCATACGCCGAGCTCGCTCGTGGCTTGCGCAGATACGGGTGCTGTCACTGTCACGGAACAAGCTCATGCCGCCCTGGACCTCGAGCACCGCCCTCATTCGCAACCTGGCATTGTCGAAGACGCACAATGGCAGTCACGCCCAACGGGCCGGCCCCATTCACCGACCACGCCGGATGACGCGAAGCCGGTCAGGATGTTGCGAGCGACGCAACGCACCGAAAGAGCACAACTAGCGTCCACCGCAGCATTCGTCAGGCCTTCGCCGGTCGAGCTGAGCCTGCCGCTAACAAGGGAACGGAGTACAAGGGGTGGCCCTGAACGGACTGGAATACGAATGTCTATGTAGATCCTAGAGGAACTAATGAGACTCGTCAGTTGTAGGTATTAACCATTCAGAAACCTCCAGAAACTTCGATGGGGCACTGCGTATTTCAGTCCGTTCAGGCACCCCCCTTGTATTCTGGCCACCAATTAGACTGCCACCGTAAGGACCCGGCCGAGGCTCATCGATCTGGGGTCTTGCCATCGGAGTACCACCTGCCACCATGGCACAGCTTCTCGCACTTTCAAGACTTCTATGCGCCTGGGCCACGGCTTCAGCTCGTACGCTCAGCAGATCGGCATCGACACAGCTGTGCTTCCAGACTGGGTCCGCGGCAATGAGCGATTGCCATATGTTGTCAACGTGCGCGTTCTTGGAGCCGTGCAGAAGCCAGTCTGTGGAGCTGAGGGTGTTGCAAAGACTTTCGAACACGATCATGCCATTGATCCAGTCGAGGAAGCGAGGAGAGCAATTGTTGGCGCGAAAACAGGCAGAGACCCCCTAGATAGTGACGTGATCGGTCCCGATATATGAACAAACGCAGCCATCTTATGATGCGTGCACCAGTCCGTGACGCTCGTGGCTGGTAACTAAACAACTTTGATGCCATTAAACATCTCTGTATCGCTGTTTCCTAAGAGTCCGCCTATCAGAGGCAAGGCGAATAGTTCCTACGTTGACAGTGACATACTTAAGTCGGCGACATGACCTTACACTTGCAGGTCAAATTGATCACACCACTTTCAACAAGAAAGATGTATTAGAGAATACACAGTTTCCCTTCACACATAGCATGATTCGTCTAAGATCTGCGCAAGAGCTTGGATTGATCACTTCTTATGACACTTCCATCTCTAATCGGGAAGAAGATGGCCAACTCAATGCCGTCATCTGCATGGAGATCAGCAACGAGATGACCACAACGACTGGCACAAGCATCGGCGTGAGCATCAACTTGGACATGGACAAGCGCGACATCACTCAGGACACAGATATTACGATTGTTGTTAACTGGTCAGGCGATGCAGTGATTAGAATTTTCTGGGTAAATAGACCCTTAATACACCGAAGAAGACTGAGGCGGCCTTTTCCAACCTTGCGGCCATAACTCCTCAGTAGTTGTACGTCATTCTGCCCAAATGTACCACGTTGAAGAGCTTCCATGTGCAGATGGCGAAGTGAAAACCCTTCGACTACCATAATGCTGGCATCTATACCAGCTTGCTCTTGAAGCACTACATGAACTGTTTGTCGGGTGGTGTTGTTGTGCGAGGTATTGGCTCTCAGGGGTTGCTTTGTAGGGTCTTTGTAGGGTCTATGTAGGGTCGTTGGTTTAATTTCTTGTCTCCGTAGTGTCAGAGTTATTCGTTCTGCTGTCTTGTGTTTCAGTATTGTGTTGTTCCGTGTCATGGATTTTTTTTAATTATTGGCTATTGGGTTTTGAAGCAAAGGATTAATGGTGCAAAAACGGCAGCGGAATACTGGCCAAGAATTACTTGAGGAGATTCATTTCAAGAAATTCCAGAGACAGAGTCAATTCGCAGATAAAATAATGCTTTTGTCCTAACATCTGATTTTGCCTTCAACATGAAAGCTTAACATGAGTGAAACTCGATGCCACGAGACAAATGCAGAATTAGAAATTATCAATTACAACAAAGCCAGTTGGTGGCACTGCAAGTATACCACTATAAAAATGAGATTGGAAGTTCGCAATGTTGTATGAAACTGTCACACTCTGGTCGATTGTGAGGTCAATGTAGATTATCCCATGACACCAAAGAGGGAAACGGGCTCGCTATGCACCTTCCTGAATCATCACGATTGAGCCCTCCAAGTTATCAAATTTTGAAACACTGTGCTTATTGCTTGCTACAGTATATGAGCAGTTGCATCCCACACGTGGTTTCCATACGACTGGTCGCAATGGGAGAGTGCGTGTTCACCTGGGCACTGCACTATGGCTGTCAACGGAACTGCGTCGCTGCGATGCATTATCTCACTGCTGTCACAGCCGCCGATTCTTCTGCACCCAACGGAGCAACAAACTTGAGAATGACGTGGGAATACTATAGTTTGGATGATCCCATGTATGATACAATGCACATCGCGACACCAATCGTGGGCTTGCTTGGGCACAGATCTGCTCCGGTCGGAATCCACCTCCCCATGACGTAGCGCTCTTGCGGAGATCTTGCAAGGCAAAGAATAATACTGAACATCTCAGTTCGAGCCGCTCCCACGCCCAACGTTGAAGCTGCACAACTACATCAAGCTTGTGCATGATCGAGTCGGACAGATATAGCCGAAGCAAAAGGTGTTTTCACCGCTAGAACACGTCCGCGTCTCATGTTCAGCTGGCTTTGGATGCGGAATTGCTGTCAGTGGTACGCACTCCATCAATGTAGACCTTGCCAACAAAAGTATGGCGGCACACTACACTTAGCGTTGCGCGTGCATCGTTTCCCCAAAGAAGCTAGATGTCGTGATTTTACCCCAGTCGTGGTGTGCTGGTTGCAGTGGCCACGCAAAATATCGAACGCGTAAAATCTTGAGCGTGGTGGTAAGTTCCGCACGCTGCACCCAGGCCGGCGAGAATGTGACGGAACGACAAGGATCTGACAGTCGCTGATCGTACCCGGGTGGCTTGTCCGTAAGCGGTAAGAGCGCGGCATGTGAGACCAGGACACGAGGAATATCACGTGACGCCAAGTCGTGCTCAGAGCCTTGCTGATTCATCAGCCGAGTTAGGAAATCCCCGCTCAGATTTCGAGTGTCTTCGAATACAACAGGGTCGGGTTGTGTAGATCCAGGCAGGATCAGGAGTGCCGACGCATGGAGATCGTTCGCGTATGCTAGCCGCATTTGTAAGAAATGATCGACCTTTGGTGGCGTCGATAGATTTAGTACAAGCCGGAGAGGCCCGTTGGGCGAGGCGCACGGACACCATCCAAAATTTCTTAGTCCAGTACCTCAGTGGTGAGTTTCCAAAGGCGAAAATCGTGCCCGGGAGACACGTCGGCCCTATGGAGCTGAGATTTACAGCCGCACGATTTGTTTTCGGCGACTTGACTCAGAAGGGTGACCTGACCCCAGGCCCATGGTGGCAGCCGTCCCAGGGTAAGGGATGTACGTTGTCTCGAGAAGCATCGTGCAGCAAGATCTGGAAGCGATCCTTCGAAATGGGAGTGAGAAGCTAAGCCTTGACACCATGCAAGCATTTCGTTAGCGCGCAATTTGCTGGTCTGCACAACACGCTATATCGATGAGTAGGTTGAGTAAGTCTAGAATCGGGAAGACGGGTGTTGACAGTGACTGCGACAGGGTGTTGGCACCAACACAGAGGCTTGGTGATTAGATAACTCACGAGTATTCTCGAGATCGCTGTAAGTACCTGGCGACTGGGACTTGTTTGAAGTGGCTTTGACGTACTATGAGCTGCAGGGGGTCCGCGCGCGTCGGGACGCCAAGGTTGGATTAAAGTTCGTTGGTTAGCGGAGGCGCCACGAGTTCGCTTAACGCAGAGGCAGGGGTATAAGTCCCAAGAACGTAATGGCCATACCTAGCTAGGGCGGATGGCGCTAGCATAGCGCCCACAAACGTTCAGGCATATACGAAAGAGCTCCTTTTTTCATTGATCGAAGCCCGCACGGTTTCTCAGAACCCCATCATCAATAGGAAGAATATGTTCAAATACAAAGAAAACAAGGTCCTGTACTAAAATGCTTTGTTTTCGTTGTTTTGGTGTAGATTACTATGAGCATCGTGAACGCGGAACATTTGGTGGGGGTCCGTGCGTTGGGGTGGATAATCAAAAAAAACGAGCTCCTTCGTACACACCCGACACGACCCTGTCTGTTCTGTCATGTCCATCTGTTGAACGGCTGATTTCCCCGTCACGGTAGGGTATCCCCGCTACAAATGCTAGTACTGTACGCACATCGTGTTTCAGTCGGTATCCGACCCTCGGTTCCAGTTATGATTGCCCAACCGTGCACAACTACGATCGTGCAGCTATCTGATCCCAATCCTGGATCGCTGTACATCGCCACGCGAAAGGAAAAAAACAGCCGACCGCTAAGAGCCCCACATCCCAACACGAAGATCAGCAATGCAACTCCATTGCAACCAGCCATAACTCTACCAAATCAAAAGCTTTTTGCATAATTATTTGTTCCTCATCAAGCACAATGTCTCGACAAGGAATTGCCAACTTTACAACCCCCCAAAAGGCATGGATAAAGGGCGCTGCTGACTACATGGACCACCTTGGCATCAAGTACTCCCATAACGATCTTTTCAAGTACCATGGCATGAACAAGCAACAAGGCTGGGCCATACTAAAGGAGGACTTGGAGCTGGCCAACAGGACCCATCATAACTCAGAATTCACCAAAGAACAACGTAGGAGACCTCTCAAACTCTCTGCCAAAGACCTTGAATGCTGTGACAGGTTCTTACAAGATGTTGGATGGGATGCAAGAGTGCTTACTTGGGATCAACTTTCAACTGAACTTGACTGTCACGGTATCCTCTCCAGATCCCCTGACAATATCCGGATCCGCTCCGTACTGTCCCTGACCGTACGCACCAAATCCCCAGCGTCCTTACGCGCCTCCGAAGCGGACGTACAACCTCCGGTCACCTCCGGAGCAGGCCTGCAACCCCCAAAGCAGGAGTATTAGAATTCTGCAAGCCCCGCTCTGGGACTTGCAACCCCAATACCTATCCAACTCAGTTCCGATTATTAACCGGTAACCAAACGAACCCACACGTAAGTATATAGACTATTGCTGGTAGAGTTCTGTTTGGTACACAACATCTTGTACCTACTTAGATACCGTACGTAGTAATTGATTTAGACTCCTAGCGAGTCCTAAAGGGCCTACTCGTAGCATCTTTGTGACATTGACCTTGGAGTATGTGGCAATACCCTCTGTACCCATCTTGGCAGTATGGATTACATGAAGTGTGTTGCTTGCACAAAGGGTTGGGTCAGTCAAAAGTTGGCTAAGAAGCGTATTAGCCGGTCTGAAGATGCACTCAAAGAGAGACCTCAGCCTGATGACTGGAAGTCTGTCCGCTTTTCAGATGAAGTACACTGGCGTGTAGGTCCCCAAGGCAAGATGTGCATCATCAGGAAACCAGGAGAGCGCTATTGTAGCGACTGCATTCAAGAGCAACTTAACCGCAATGATGAGAAGCAGTGGGAAGCTGCTCATACTTGGGCTACAATTGGGTACAACTTCAAGAGCAACTTGACGTTTTACAACACTCCAGGCAACAAAAATGGCAAGCTCTCTCTCCGTGTGTGTAACACCTATGACCATATCCACCCTGATACCAATGTGGTTCCTGCAGGTCTCAGCACACCGCTCCTTGTCTATCACAAACTACCTCCTTGTCACCTGGACAAGGGTACTTCCAATTCCCCTCCAAAAGGGATACTTAATGACTCCAATACTGTAGTTTAGATAGAGTAGTTTTTCTGTATCCTTTTGTACAAGACCTATAGGTATAGGGAATTCAATCCTAGTGTTCTCAACATCCCAGCACTCCCATATGCCTCATAGTGGACTCACACTTACTACAGGATATCTTCCCTACTGGCCTGCGTCGTTACAGTGTGTACCGCGATCAGATCCTTGAGCCAGTAGTCAAACCATGGCTTGTTTGTGGTGATACCTTCACACTTGAAGAAGACAATGACTCTGGTCATGGTGGAGGCTCAGGTAACAACATTGTAGCCATCTGGAAGCACAAAAACAAGCTTGACAGCTACTTCAACTGTCCTAATTCACCAGATCTTGCACCAATTGAGAACTGTTGGCAACCTCCAAAGCAGTACCTCAAGCAATTTCCACATTGGGATGAGTTTGAAACAAGAGAGTTAGCATATGAAGGATGGCAAAAGCAAGTTACCCAGCAGTTTATTAATGAACGTGTTCTAAGTATGCCACAGCGATTGACAGATTGCATTGAAATGGAGGGCAGAATAACAGATCATTGAGCATTGTAATACCACAAAATCACATTAAGATAGCTATTCTATAGTAATCTACAGCTTCAAAAACCTTACAAGCTTTGAATTCAGGTCAAAAAAAATATTGTTTGGAACAATTTGTATGAAGTTTGGGTGGGGGAAGTTCTGCCAAGTATTTTGCGGTCGGCTCTTTTTTTCGTTCCGCGTGATCGCACAGCTGTATCAAGGGGGTGCACGAACTGACCAGAATACGAGTGTTGATGTCGATCTTATAAGGACCAATAGGACCTTTTCAATGTAGGTACTGATCATTCAGAAACCTCCAGAAATCTCTGTGGGGCACCTCGTATTCTCGTCCGTTCGTGCTCCCCCCTTGTATGTCAGTCGGTCGCAATGCGATATTCGCCACACGTCATGCAGTACGAAAGCTTATTTATCGATTAGATCCTTGGCGATAAAATTCGTCAATGTGGCGCTCAGCCGCACGAAGCTTCTTGTCAGCTGGCTGAGGCTAAGAAAGCGAGGCTCTGCCTCCTGACTTTGACGATGTTGGGTTTGCTGCAGAATTTTAGATGTCTATTCGGGTGCAAAAAAATTCGCACACCAAACCATAGCGAAGTTGAGAAACACCAACCAGGTCACACTTTTTGTCGCGACAAAGTGCAACAACAGCAATTTAACAAATCTTACAAAAACATAGAACTACAGAGCTGCTGCTTCTTTACAATTCCGTCTGCTCAGAATCCATATTTTCGTTGTAGGTGTCTGCCACTATTGGTAGCATCTAAGGGTCTCCTTTGTGTGTGCGGCTTTTTTGGCACCCGAGGTGACAACAATGTAGTTGTGGGGTAATTGGATGCACAATCTGTGAAGGGACCTAACTTGATGTGTGCGAAGATGTCCCCATGAGGCTTGCAGCCGTCTGAGCGGTAGAGAATAATCCACCCACTACGGAACAGCTGTGTTTTTTCGTTGTTGTCAAGTCGAGCTGTCGTTTAATTTGATATCCTGGCGTTGCATCTTAACTAAGTAAACGCAAGACAGGAGTCCCGAAAACTTCGTGTACGGGTTCAAAGTAGTAGTTCTTGAATTGAAGATCAAATTATCATTTTAAGCTAAAGCAAAACGCCTGATTATGCCCTACTCAATAATGTCTAAAGAATTTAAACGAAGGTATCCGCGCGAGAATGCAATGTTGGAAATCAGCTACAAACCCTTTGACAGCCCAGATGGCGATCCCATGCTGTAGTTGGGGTTGATCAAAGTGCCAGTGAAGTCCTCGACCTTGACGCCGCGAAGCTGCTCAAGGACATCCATATCCAGACCCTCCTGGTTGACCGAGACGATGATGCCATCATATGTGCTGAGGTGCTCAGCGTTCCAGTTTGTTGTCGTGTCCATCTTGGGAACAGCGTTGTAGATGTCGGTTCCGACTAGGGGATCGGCAAACTCAACGTAGCTTCCAAAGCGGCTCTTCAATGTGCGAATAATGGCAGCGCCAGGCGAGTTGCTCATAACGTCCTGACCGCGCTTAAAGCCAACACCGACAACAAGGAGGCGAAGCTGGCTGGGATCAACAGCTGCCTGTCTGAGGGATGACTTCTCGTGAACGAGAGACTGGACAAAGCGGGTCGCAACATCTGCGGGGCGCGACCACGATATAGTAGTGGCGTGCTCAAGAAGAGGCATGGAGCAGTTGGACAGCAGGTAGTAAGGGTTGACTGGGATGCAGTGGCCACCAATACCGGGACCTGGACGGAAGGGGAGGTAGCCAAATGGCTTGGATGCAGCTGCATTGCTAACCTCAAAGGCGTTAATGCCAATGTTAGCGCATGCATCTGCCATCTCATTGGCGTAAGCGGCGCAGACCATGCGTTGGCAGTTCTCGTAGAGCTTGGTCATCTCAGCAACCTCTGGGGAAGAGACAGGAAGAAGCTGGTTAAAGACGCGGCCATAGAGGGTGGATATGGATTCCAGCGATGCCTCATCAAGGCCAGAGACGATCTTTGGGATATCCTCGAAGGCGGGGAATGTGCGACCAGGGTCAACGCGCTATGAACTGTTAGTAAGCATGTTGGAGAATTGGAATAGAGCACAATGGCTGAATTACCTCAGGAGACATGCCAACCTTGAGGTTGCGAGATGCCATCAAGGGACCAACGAGCTCGCGAGTCATGCCAACCGCGACCGAGCTCTCAACAACGACAGTGGATCCAGGCTTGACGTACTTCTCCACAGTAGCGATCGCACTACGCAGATATGCTGTGTCGATGCTCTTGTCATCCTTAAGGATTGTGGGGACTGAGATAAGAACATGGCTAGCTTCGCTGATATCCTTTGCGTTAGAAGTGAACTGGATTGGGAGACCAGTAAGTTGCTGGGCCACTTTGGCGAGTCTTTGCTCGCTGAGATCGAATGCAATGACGTTGTAGTGACCAGCGAATGCCTCAACCAGGTGGGTGCCGACATAGCCAACACCGATGACGGCAACGATGGATTCAGGTTTGGTCGGCTCGACCTCCTGTTGGCAGGCAGTCTGCGCAGGCTCCTCGATGACCCACTCTGGCGAGTGAGGGTCTGCTTCAGCAGGAGGAGTGAGTGGAAGACACACAGTGGTGACGGTGATCTCAGGCTTCTTGTCCATAGAGAAGGACATGTTGGCGAACATGCTGTCGGTGAAAGTAACGGCCATTGTAGCGAATGAGGTGAATCTCAAAAGTTGATGATGAGGAAAAAGATGGAATAAGTCACGGAGACACCGAGTCAACGATTGAAAGATTGCTTTGACCAGAGACGGTAGTAGTGAGTGGAAGTGGTTGCTTGGTGATACTTCTAGGCTCGACTTTGACCGATGTTCTTATACTCGAGTGATGTTCGTGTTGTGGTACTCCAGCTCTGGAGTTCCAGCCACGTCGATTCGCGCTGCGGGTTCAGACCTGGCGAGACTGCCATTAGGTTAGGATGACAAAAGCTTTGATCTTTGCTAACAGACCTTTCTGGCTCCTACCCTCAACAGAGCCGTCGCCTGCAACGCCTTTCGGTTGACAGGGCTATGGCTTGTGTGTTCGACAATTCCAGAGCGCCATTTTCTGCATACTCTGCAAGCCTACCGAATAAGGGGACCATGGTAGTATGGTCGAAAGCTTGTTTAGCTCATCACCGGGGCCCCCGAGCGATCGCCAAGGTCACTTGCGGGACGAAATTGTCGAGAACGCTGGCTCCATCCGCTGCTACAGAACACTGTGGCTTACTGAGTAGTATCGAGGCGAGTTGGGCTTTGCATTGTGATATCGCAAAAGAGCCTAGACTAAAGTATCCCATCCACATCAAGACTAGTTAATATTAGCCATGTACGGAGAAGGCGGCCGGAACATTCTCCATCGCTACTGGAAGCGACCAGCGCCTTGAAGGTTAATGCGAAATGTACGCACATGCAACACCCAGCGAGACCAGGCTACAATTTTTATACAGCTTATCAAACACTTGCAAAGTAGTCCTGCGAAATCAAAACATCGTATTGCAAATCACTATAGATGATATGGCAAGCTCACCGATCGGCTACCTGTTTTGTTGATGAAGCTCGTTCCAATGTACTCCAGCTGATGGTCATTACTCGCTCTTATGACACTTCCTTTTTACACTGCCGTACGAGTATACGAGGTCTAGGCAAAGACCCGGTACTCCAACCTCGACGCTCAGCCAGATGCGCTATGGGCTAGATGCCTAGCAAACTCTAAGCGGCACGAATCAAGTCTCTTGCTGTAATGGATCCATCTTTCTGAATAGAACGAGGTGAGATTTCCACGCGCGGCTTAGTCTAGAGTGGGTTAACCGCTTGCCAGCACTAATTTTGCTAGGCAGATGATGGCTTAGATAGCGCTTGATGGCTAAAGGAGACTAACTGTGCGAAACGTCTTTCATTCATTTTGGACTAGGCGGTCAGGACCCGGGGATCACCACTTAGCGAAGCCTCACGACGACGACTCTTGTTTTGGCCTGTGTTTCGCAACTTGCAACAGCAATACAATATTGTACAACTACTGCATATACTATTGCTCATATATTTCTGGTATTATACAAATCTCTCTTACGAACATAGACAAGTAAGAAGGGAAGTTATTTTGTTGCGTACACAGATTTTGGTGAAGTGACCCTGGGTTCCCAATCGGGGGCGCCCGACGGCGCCACCTGGGGCTGAACAAGCGCCTACGCCACGTGCTGCTCTGACTAAACTACTCCAGCTCAGAACCGATCTTTAGCGCACTCGAATCTGCATGCTAACACGAACAAGCCTAACCACCAAGCCACGCAAAAAGAGGCGCTCAGGTACAGATCGCCCCTGAGCTCGACAAGCATGACAAGACGGCGCCACGCCAAGCCTCACGAAAAGGGGGCTCAGGTCGCCCTAAGTTCGACAAGCATGACTAGGCGACGCCACGCCAAGTATCTATTCAGCTCTCCACCTGCAGGCCGTGAGGTGCACAGTCAGCGTTCAACAGGCTGACTTTTTGTTCTAGTCTTGCAGCAAAGAGTTATACAAGCTAGGATCAATTCAACAACTGTCGTTCATACCACAACTACGAAGGAGCGCGTCTTTTTTAAGCGAATATCTCTGTTCCACGCACCCCCTTGCCCTACTGCCCAGGCTACAACAACAACGCAATAATAATGATATCTAGGTAGAGCAGTCCTCCTAACAGAGAATTTCGCGCGCTACATTTATGCCTAACTAGAACAATTGAATTTGTTGTCGTTGCTGTTGCTGTTGCTGTTGTTGTAGCGCAATAGCAAGCTGAACTTGGCGAGTGGTCTCGGCGAGTGGTTTTGGTGTTCCCGGAAGTGATCGCTCAAAAGAAACGGGCTCCTTCCCACCGTGAACAAGATGCTCAGTGGCGTGATCCTGTTGCAAACGAGTCAAGGTTCAAATTGGGTCGCGCGAATCGGCCTTTCAGCCACGTCGATAGTCTTGAACAATTGAGAATTCCACAGTCAGTCATGCTGTCGCTAGTGCTCAACTGAAAAGGTGGAAAGCTGCAGACCAGACCATATCCGTGGCGCTCTTGTCCGGGGGATCTAGACCTCATCTTCGGCATAGCATTCACAGCTATACACCAGTTTATCGGGAATCCCGGCAAGTGTACGTGCGACTTTTGCATGTATGCTTGCATTTAAGTGCGGTCCGTTACGCTGTCAAATTGCTACAACCCAAGCTTTGTTGTGCTACCATCTTGTCACCACCGCATCTAGACTACAACCCCAGACTTGCACGACTTCACGCAGGTTGTAGCGAGTATGGGTTTTACATTCGGCAACATGGCTCGCGCCTTGAGTGCACTTGCAGCAGTGCTTCCCTTCGCCTCGGCTGTTCCATTTGGTTTGCAAATATACTCATGCACTTTGCCTGGGGTCATTGCCCCGGGTTTTGACGATGGTCCGTGGATTTATTCAGAGGATATCCTCGACCGGTGAGTGGTCTTCCAGTGATTGTTACCCTACCTTGAAGCTGCTAATTATGGTCCTAGTATGGAAGCTGCAGGTATCAAAGCCACCTGGTTCATCAATGGGGCCAATAAAGGGAACATCTACGATTACAACTCCACTTTGTTGAGGATGATCGACATGGGACACCAGATCGGATCGCACACGTAAGCAGTCTTTCTATGCATTGTAGCTTTCACGCTGACTGGGCGCATTAGATGGAGTCACAAAGATCTCGCTACTTTGACTGCTGATGAAGTAAAAGAAGAAATGCTTTTGTTAGAGGAGGCCTTGATCAACATCCTCGGCTATTTCCCTTATTACATGCGCCCTCCGTTCTTATCAGTCAGCGCGGTCGCGCTCCAAGCACTCAAGGAACTTCAGTACCATGTTATTATTGGCGACCTGAACACCAAGGATTGGGAGTATCAGACAGAATCTGGGATTGAGACTGCAAAAAAACTGTTTACCGACGGTCTTGACATTGGTCGCACCATAGTAGAGGCGCACGAGCAGGAAGTCTGGACCCACGGAGTACTCATTGACTTCATGATCCAGACAATCCAGGCTAGGGGTCTCAAAAGTAAGGGTCAAATCCACTCCATTGAATTATCGCAAAGACTAACGACTTCAAGCTGTCACCGTGGCGGAGTGCTTACAGGATACGCAAGTGTATCGCCAAGCGCGATCCACTAACACCGTAAGTAGAGTTCCTTCACCCCTATGAAGCCGCCACCTAAGTTATGCACAGACATTCACCGACCCAGAACCAACTGTGGTCTACTCCCTCAACAATCTATGTGGCAACATCAACGCCGGCAACAATCTGGGATGGACATGCCCTCCAAATGGTGGCAGGTGCTGCAGTAAGTATGGACACTGCGGTAGCGGTACCAGCTATTGCGCTCCAACCGTATGCCAGCCCGCTTTCGGATCGTGTAGTGTTGCGCCAACAAGCACATACGTCGACGAAGCCGCGAACGTTAACACCAAGACTGGAATACCCCCCCGGACTGTATCTGCAACAGCTCTTGCAACCCCCCTCGGACGTGGAAGCGTAACACCAGACAGAACCTGCGGAGACGTTGGTAAAGGCAACAACAACGGCTACGTCTGTAAAACCGGCCAGTGCTGCAGCAGGTACGGAAACTGTGGTACGGCTTCAGACTACTGTGCGCCCTCAGTATGTCAGAGCGCTTTCGGAACGTGTGATGATGCCGCTCCCGTACGTGGAAGCGTTTCACCAGACAGAACCTGCGGAGACGTTGGTAAAGGCAACAACAACGGCTACGTCTGTAAAACCGGCCAGTGCTGCAGCAGGTACGGAAACTGTGGTAACACTACAGACTATTGTGCGCCCTCAGTATGTCAGAGCGCTTTCGGAAGGTGTGATGATACCGCTCCCGGACGTGGAAGCGTTTCACCAGACGGAACCTGCGGAGACGTTGGTAAAGGCAACAACAACGGCAACGTCTGCAAACCCGGCCTCTGCTGCAGCAAGTTCGGCAACTGCGGTGCTACAAACGACTACTGTGCGGCCTCACTGGGTTGTCAGTCAGCCTTTGGTAACTGCACAGGCGTGGTTTCTTCTTCCAGCTCGTCAGGATTTTTGACAACGAGTGCAGACAGCTCCTCTCCGATCAGATTGTTGATTAGCAACATCACGACGTCTGCGACGAGTTCTTCTATGGCCTCCAGCACACTCAGCTCTACATCGAACTCCGCGAGTTCTTCCCAGAGCTCACCCAACCCCTCTGGCAGCTTAGCACCATCGACCAGTCTCGCTATCCTGTCGACCAGCAACTCAACTACGCTACCTTCTAGCAGCCCCGCAGTCAATGCTCTACTTGCTGCTTCGCTTTCCGGTAGTGCATCTGTGGCTTCCCTTAACAGTACAACAACCGATGCAGGCCTCCGCACATCTGTTAGCAGCTCTGTCAGCAGCTCTGCCAGCAGCTCTCCCACCAGCTCTGCCAGCAGCTCTCCCACCAGCTCTGACACGGTTTCATCGGCGAGTTCCGCGGCAACAAGCAGTTCGTCGAGCCAAGCTGTTGCTGCTGCTGCCGTTGCCAGCAGCTCACCCATGCCTAGCAGTATCACAGGCTCGAGCAGCACTGCAGTATCAAGCACTTTGACGGATGCAAGCAGTGCTCCGAAAACAATCCTGTCATCCATTGTGAGCAGTTCTATCATTTCGAGCAACTCTACCTCGAGCAACTCTACCTCGAGCAGCTCTACCTCGAGCAGCTCTACGAGCTCTTCCGCTCTATAAATTCTTGTAATGACGGCTCAATGTTAATGATAGCTGCGCTCAAAATATAATAATTTCTCCTCTTAGCAGTATCCCTTGCTCACTTTCAATCACTTGTGCTCCCGAGTGTGTTTAGATACGGAGCATTACTTCTGCTCTCTTATCTTCGTTATTCAGCGTATGGTTCTCAGCAAGATCCATGGCGCACGCAAAGAGCACATCAAGTGCGAGTACTGAGCTGACTGTCACTACAGAACGGTGGTTTGGAAGGTAACCTGAGATAGTCATTGAGTGAACCTTCGGAACCTTAACCTAGATTTTTAAGGTAGGCTCAGACATCTAGACTTGAAAAATGCCCCCCTTAATGGAATCGCACACGTCGAAAGGGTTACTATGGGAATCTGGTTACTTCTGGTACAAACTCTGTTTCGTCACACCTGCAAAACCCCATAATCTCCCCTTTTTTCCCCTCTTTCCCCCACCTTCTCGCTACCCTGTTAAGAGTGTTCTCTTCGTCATGGCCTTACAAACAGGCACACCGCGTCTGTCAATGAATCTTAGCTACTACTGATGGCGTCCCCGCAGACTGTGATTTGTTCAACGTGACTTAACCAAGTTGTAATAGCCAACACACGGTATGACTGCTGCATCGAGACCTCAAACGCAACAACACCAAGCCTTATCTCAGCTGTTGTGATGATAGTACGAAGTGGCAGATTGTCTTGCTGAGTGCTGCTGTACTCAGGTAAGTTGCGAGCGGGTGAGAATTAGCCGCGAAGGACTTTCCTACGTTCATCGCCGCAGACTCTAACTAGTTCGTAGATGAGTGGCAAACGGACAACATTTTCCGGTTGCTCAGCGCTTAAAGACCCCCAAAAAGGAACTCAGAACGTTGGAGGAGCGAGTTGTTGACATAACACGAAACATGTGTTGCTTTTCTACACGGCTACAAGCATAGAAAGTCATCAGCTAACATTAATACTCTTCCTATGATGGAAATGTTATCAGTTGGACCTGGTTTGCGATAGCGGTCATCTTGTCTGTACGATGGTCGATTCGAAAGTACAGAAGGTGGGCGGCTTTGCGAAGATGTGCCAAGCATAGCGTCCAAAAAGTTCAACCAAGGATAACCGAGAGACAACCTGTATCCAAGTGAAGCAAAAAGTAAGGAGCCTGCTGGGCATTCCTCAGCTGAGAAGGTATGTGGGCTGTATGTGGTGTGCTGGCCACGGACGACCAGGCTCAGTTTCAGCCTTGTCTCCGAGACGTAAGGACCTGCACCCCGATATTGGATGGCTTAAAATAAACGGGTCCTATTCTGAGGATGCATAAATGGTAGTTTAAGTCCATATGTAGCAATGGTCTCAATCGTCCAGTCAAGCGAAGCCTTCTCGTCGGTCGCGGAGTTGTGGACATATCTAGGAGCCCCCAAGACTTCCAACATTTTCTTGCAGTCGCAGATCCCATCTTGAATCTGCGAAAGAACATCAGGTAGTTGTTCCAGGATCTGATCTTTGAGAATCTTGCTGAGGCGGGACTTCAAGCTGGCGACTCCAACTTGGGTGGAGCTCAAGGATCTCCAGGCGCTTGAAGAGAAGAAGAGCTGTTCAGCTCGGTTCCGCTCTTGCAACGACGAGTATCTCGTAGTATAATCGCGATTACGGAGGACATGCCATCCAAGCTTGAATTTGACTTCTCTGTTCTGCGCAAGCTCAATGTAGAAGGACTCACTGTCAGAGCCTTCGTCCAGAGTATCGGGCTTAGTGATCAAGCCTAGGGTACGTACACCACTCGGATCGATTTCGCGGGAGTATCTCGTAATCGACTGGTTGTTGAAGTCGTTCTTGGCGGATACCACGGCACGTATGATGCTTCGAGGACTTCTCATATATCGAAGAACAAGGGATTTGACTGTGTCACTGTCGGCGTCGGATTGCGAACGGCTGCCGGCCTGGAACAATCCAGGCAGATCGACAAGGGTCAAATGTGGTTGTTCGGGACCAGAGAGTTCGATTCGAAGAATGTCGGAGCTAAAAACCTTCGTATCGTCGTCGATTCCCATACATTCTTTGGCAGACTCGATGACACCTCCTAGGTCAAGATTCTCCGCGGCGACCGCGACGTTGAAATTTAGCAGCCGCTCTTTGTCGGCCTCTGTCCGGTTTTCTTCTGATCCTGGGACAATTCGTATTCTGATGGGCACGATAGGCCCGCGGCGAAGTATCAATTCAGTCGCGAATCTGGAGGAAGCTTGCTCACATGAACAAGTAAAACAACAAGAACTGTGAGGTCACTGTAGGCAGGCAATTGGACACAGAATGGATTGGTGCCATCTGAGGGCAAATGGGATGAGATTAGACAAATCCTTGATGACTGAGCCTCAAGGTTTGTGAGGAATATATATGGGTGACCTGTGAGCCTCTGGCCCAGCCCCGGAGTACGTCTGAGGGCTGGCCGGTACATGTAAGGGGAAATACCCGTGACAAGTTGGTTGCATAAGTCTATAGAACACTCCACCAAAAGATCTTGTGGTATTAGCAATTGTGTATGGCTCTACAGCTTCATTTTGATGTGGCCTGTTGGGGTGGTTTGCGTGCACTGACTGACCGCGTGCATCGGATGCACGGATACGGTAGAGTAGCTCTAGCCAAGACCATAAACTGTTACAACTTTGATAATCACCTTGCTTCACCAGACATCACGTATCGCACACAACACATCATTCTGACCCCCAGTGTAACTTGCTTGATCAGTTAGAGGAGGACCCGTCCGTATCCTTGATACCTTCTGTTCGCTAGCAGCCCGTTGCAGTGTTTGCCAACGGTCCGCTGCACTGATAGTCCAGCTCATTCGGTTAGTTCGGTTTGCTTCACTGCTATCCACTCCTACTATATGGTCCCGATCGATCCTCGCCATAGCAATACAGATCAATCAATACTCTCAACCCTTCCACACCTTCTCCTCCAGCTTCATTCAAGCATTGAAGATTGTTTTTGATCCAACTGTCAACGCGCTCTCAGATTTCTTCGCTGTTTTTCTCCATGAATATCATACGACCATTACCATGGACCTCAACTTTGCCAAGATCGAGATGGCTTGCTTTCTCACAGCCGGCTTGCTTTCTCACAGCCGGCTTGCTTTCTCACAGCCGGCTTGCTTTCTCACAGCCGGCTTGCTTTCTCACAGCCGGCTTGCTTCAAAAATACTACTTTGCAATAGTCGTACGGCGTGTGGTAACTCGCTTCTTCGTGTTAAGCAAAGCAATGAGGCATTAGGATTGATTATATGATGGACTTTGTAGCCGGTAGAAGTAGTATATATGAGGTAGGTTGGGGTCACCTGACCCGGCCATATTCCGGCTTTCAACACTTCGGTCACAGTAAGTATGAGCAGGGGTGATAGATTAGGCAGCTGTCTTGGGGCGGGAGATGTTGCTTGCAGGACGCAGGGCCGTACAAGGTCAACAAGAGGATCGGCCACCGGAAGTGAATAGCTAGAAGGGATATCTGTCAATCCCCACGGGCGAGCTGAGCTAGACCCAAAGACCGCTTCCTAGAAGGGTGGACTTGTTGAATCCAGGAGTATGAGGCCTTTGGTGAGACTTGGACGCGCATCAGCGATAAGCAGGGGCATCAGACCTCCTCGACTGTGTCCGAGCAGCCATACGGGGCTTCCGATCAAGTCCAAAAGATTTATACTAGCCGACTGCACCTTTCGCTGCTGGTACGTAGCATTGGAGATGAGTTGGATGTTGGATGTATAGAAGGCATCGATCACAGGATCACCCACGATGCCCATGCCTGGCCACTGTGTATGCAGCTCGGCCTGAGGCCACAGGCGGTATCGTACGGGAGCGGTGAAGCGCTGCTGTATCAACTTGGCTGAGTACGTTAATGTTGCAGATGCTCCACCGCAAGATGCCCAAGCTGAGCGTTCCCGGAAGGTTTGATCTATAATGTAGACAGTATGGCCGGCTTCCAGGAATCATGAAGTCCAGGACAAGCCTCGACCCGGCTTGTTCAAGAGGTTGGTTCCAGTCTGACCTTGCCCGTGGATCAAGACGATCGAATCTGAGTTGTTGGCTATAGATGTGGCGGCTTAGGCCGCTGGTAGAATACAATGGAATACTGCGCTGAGTTGCTATCTAGCCAGGAGAAGACGACTATATACCTGACCTGTAACACACTAGACTAGGTAGTCTGCTACAGGCATAGTCAGACCTTGTACGGACTGATTGGTACTGCAACAACAGAGTAGGCTGGCGCCTGCTTTTCCATGTACATCTGGCCTTTGAAGATGTGACTACCATTTCCATTGTCGCTGTAACCACCGCCGATGTAGAAGTAGGCCCGGACTGCTGCGACTTCGGCGCTGGCATGAAAGGCACTTTGTGCAGATACGCAGCTGACGAGGAACGCTATCAGGCAATGTACTTTAATGAGAAGCTGGAGAGAAGTTGTCTTGTCGAGTTTGTGACACCTCGGATTCTCCACCTCAAGTTTGACCTCCTGAAGACCGGGCGCTTGTGTTGACGATGTTGCAGATGAAATGATTTGCGCTCAATTTTCTAATACTCCTGCAATAAATGGCCGTCGCCATCAGATCTCCGAAACTCAACCCTGGAGATACTCGAACACTCAAGCACTTGTTGCTAAAAGGCCCGTAATATCCGTACATAGTTGGTGTTTACCTGTCGTCCATTGTTGAGCGTCAATGATGGACAATACTTACAAACCCTGCCTCGAGTATAGCAAAGCTCGCCAGGATCAATATCTCTTATATGCGAAGACCATCGCAGATTATTTTATATCCTCGCCGCTATTTTTTGTACGCTTCTACGACTAGTTGTTGGAATGTTAGTTGATGGGGACATTTTGGGACTGAAGGCGTTCGACTATGGCGATCCATAATCTTGACCTCAAGACAGCATTCGCCCTTCACCAATTATTATTGCCCACCTGCAGCTAGTACCTCTTGGCGCACGGCCAGTCAGCTTCTCACAGATATGAGTAATCCAGCATAGTCGAGATGGATTGCGGATTCCTCAATCCTACGTCCTCAAATCGTCTATTATTCATGTTACCCTGCACAATCACACTTTCGTAAAGAAGTGATTGACCAAGACATTGTCGCGAAATTCGCAGCATCAAGGTCGCAGGCAGGAGCATCCCATGTTTTCACGTAAGCAAGACTAGCTTCCACACCACCAAAGCTTACCCGCGACTAGTGTGCTTATTCACCACTTGCAGTGTGGTACAGCCAATCATTCAACCACACCACTCGATAACAGCAAGCCACGGTTCTGTGCCAGGAACATCGCACGGGCGATGCCAAACGCTTGAGGCGATGCACGCGTAAATCAGATCTGAGATAGAAAAGGCGACCGCTCTTATCGATTACTGGGCGAAACTCGCGTTCTTTCATCACCATTATGACCTTGATACCAGCAGCCTCGATTGATGGCGCCGAGACACCAGCGAGTGCGACGCCTGGTCACCACCATCACCATCCTCATCTGCATGGGGCGGGAAGGAGGATAAGGCACCTGCTCCGTCCAGACGGCAGGCAAGTGCACATTGCAGGGAACCCTGAAGAGGCGCGCCGAATGAGCCAGACGTTGCGTCTGAACGAAAAAGATGACTTTGATCTGGTTGTTCACGGTAGCCCTGAACATGTGAGTTCTGATGATCCGTCGCATTAACGGATTCCTGACCAGAAGACAATAAGATCGAAGCTCTTCGCCATACGCACTCCCACCATGAGAAGCGGCATCGCCAACTAAAAGAAGAACATCCAGATCTCGCTGCCGAGTTTGAACATGTCCTCCGCGAGCTCGACGCTCTTTCATCAGAGCTTCACATGATCAGCGAGCACGCTGTGCAACTCGATGCCAACTTCTCTAAATACGGCTATTCCGCACATTTGCGGACCAGAGACGCTGGTGAAGAAGGCGACTCATCCTCTGGTGATTCCACTTTCGACAAAGAAACATGGCACGCAGGCCGCAAGCTCGGCGAGACAATGCGCTTCTACCAAAAGCCCATTGTCCGGCAGTACTTTCACAAAGGACTACTTTGGCGCGCAAGAGAAGCGCAGGAGGTCGCAAGTTATGAGCTGTTTATTGACCTGTTCTATGTTGGCATCATCGCGATCACGGGTGACACCGCGGCTGAGCACCCAGATGGAGAGTCGCTGCTGCGTTTTGTCATCACTTTCATCATGGGTTGGAAATTCTGGAGCGACATCAGTCTACTCATCTCGTGGTTCGATAGCGACGATGTACTGCGGCGCTGCAGCGTGCTGTTCATCTTAACTTGTCTGCTTGGTTTCACGACGAACATGGTGGACGCTTTCGAACATACGTATACACCGCTGGTTGCCTTCTACGTCACTGCGAGACTGTATCTGATCCTCAGCCTTTTCTGGTACGCGTACCTGATCCCTATGGTTCGAGCCTCTATGATAGGCAACGGCGTCATCGCGCTGATTCCAGTTGCACTTTGGATCGGCAGCATACATGTCGAGGAACCCGGTCGACAAGGCCTGATCTGGACTGCTATTGTGTTCGACCTGTTCGGTGGCTTCCTCATGCTTACTGTCCAGAGACCGGGTGTCATCCAGAAGAAGATGCCTGCAAGCTGGAAGGAGCGTCTAGAATTCTTCCCAGGTACGAACATTGAGCACAGAATTGAGCGAACAAATGCCTTTGTCACCCTGGTTTTTGGATCATGCGTGCTGGGCATCTTGTACCAGAGTAGCGCCGATATGGGTGTAAACGCTTTCTTTGGCAAGGCGGTGCTTGGGCTCATTCAAGCCTTCATATTCAATTGGATCTACTTCGAGATCGACTCCTTCAACCTCCACACGCATGCGATCCGACGGCATGTGACGTCCGGTAAGCCTCCTTGTCCGAAACATAAGTACTAACCAGCTGACATTGTTGACAGCGATGATCTGGTTTTCCATTCACCTACCCTTCATCATGTCGTTCGTTCTGAGCGCCGGAGCGCTCGCCGTGCTTGTCCGCGCGCACGACTGCCCAGATGCTGACGTAGAATCGCTGTATGAGACTTTCATCCCCCGATCCGAAGATCACATCTCTGCCGGTTTGCAATGGTACTACTGCGGTGGTCTAGGTATTTCTCTCATATGTTTAGCCATCATTGCATGGACCCACACACACCGAAAGATCCCAAACCAACGTATCAAGAAGCATTTTCGCCTTCTCTGCCGTATTGTAGTCGCCATCGTTATCGTTTGTCTGCCTTTAGCGCACCTCAACAGCCTAGAGTTGGTGGCAACAACGACTGGGCTGGTTGTGTGTGTGCTGGTGCTGGAACTGGTCGGAAGCACATGCTGGGGTGAGAACTTCTGGTGGAACACAAGTTGTGGCAGGAACAAATGCAACTATAGTGCGAGATGTGGTGTGAGGAAGGAAGAACTTGAAACCTCAATGAAGCATGGTACTATGTTAAACGTGGAAGAGATCGCGAAGAGAGGAGGAGGAGAGGAAGGCAGTGTGGGCGCTGTGTGATATAGGATGCTGGGATTTTTGGATGCACGCAGTGTTCTGGCGACACGGACATCATACAAGAAAGTATGAATACTCAGGAGAAAAAGTGAGCTGACTAGGCGGTCAGATTGAGATATGTTGTGGTGTAGGCCGCTGCAGTACACTGATAGCTATGGTGACCGACAATGTAGGACTATCGAGTTGATGGAATACTGCGCTGAGTTGCTATCTAGCTAGGAGAAGGCAACTATATACCTGACCTACTGAGTAGTCTGCTACGGGCATAATCAGACCTTGTATGGGCCGATTGATACCGCAACAAGATCTACTAACGTCCGTCCAGACGTGCCGGGACGCACGGTGTCCCGGGACAAGATCACACTGCGGACCTTCGGAATATCATATTCTTGTGTGTCCGGACATGCTTGGCATGCAGAGATGTCGGAGGGGTGAAGGTATCCACCGATTGCCATCTGTTTGCTAGCGGTCCACTGCACTGATTGTGTTTGCTAGCGGTCCGCTGCAGTGACTGTCCAGCTCATTTGGTTAGTTCAGTTTGCTTCCCACCCTTCACTGCTATTGCCTTCTACTATATAGTCCCGATCGATTCCAGCCAATAGCCAAAAAAGAATCAATCAACATCTCAACCCTTCCACAAGGGAACATGCAGTAGCGTGCTCAAATCTCACTGTAAGCTATTGTATTGAATTCAGCACTATGCCCCACTGTAACGGTTCATGGAGTATAGAGGTCATGTGTGCCACGTGTGTTGGCGCAGTGCTCTTGCCCTTTCCAACAAGCCCTTTCTACCTCTGTCTGAACGATAGATACGTCATGAAATCAGACCTTGATGGCCCGGTGAGAGAGACAGAACACTGAACAAGAACAACATAATATATACTGATTCCACTGCTCCGCGCGGTTTCCCCCTGACCGACTGCCCTGCGCGGTTGCACCTTCATTTATTGCAACTACTGCAACACCCACCGTTGACTAAGCTTTTGCAGACTGTTCTGACGTGCGGCAGTGAGCTTCTAGATGCGCTTCCAAGGCTGGTTCGCTGTTGGAGTTGGTGAACTGTACGCAAAGGGAAGAAGTTGAGGATTGTACTGCAGCTGTATTGTATGAAGCTACGAACAGTATATGCAGGTGAGTGGCTGTAAACAACGCTAGTGGGAAAAGGCAGCAACCTCTCACCATGGGGTGAGGTGCAGAGCGTTAGTGCAGGAGAGAACCCAAACCGTGACATTCGCTGACTGGCGATCCTGGTCGGGCTTCGGAGCGAGCGTCAGCTTGCAGCCTGCTCGACCCGTTCTGCGTAGATGCACGACACGTGCCCTACGTGACAAACATTTACTGTAACTGCATGAGCAGTGTCGGTCGGAGGCTGCCGTCAATTATTGTATTTCTATCTGTGTTGTTCGATGATGTTCTTGTACAGGAGTTCTCAGTTCAGAGGTAAGTGCACTTGCCCTCGGGCAGTGCCTTCCTCAATAGAATATGTAGCGGTGTGGACCGCTGTAGAATACTGATAGCTACGGTAAACGATAACGTAGGACTATCGGGTCGATGGAATACTGCGCTGGATCGCTATTTAGCTAGGAGGAGACGACTATATACCTGACCTGTAACACACTAGTCCAGGGTAGTGGTCAGGGGTATAGTAAGACACTGTACGGACCAACCGATACCGCAACAGAATATCATGTGACTTAGGCCACGTAGTTACATTTACTCTTGTTTTGCGTTTCTTGATCCTCTACCGTCGTAGGCTTGCATCGCGGTTAGTAAATCGGGCTAACGTTCGTCGCTTGGAGACAACATGCGGCCGCGACGATGCGTCTTCTGAAGCGCTTGCCGGGCGGCAGCTTCGAGCTGGTGTCTCACAGCAACGACAACCCTCCCCCGTATGCTACCCTATCGCATACCTGGACAGAAGGTCAAGAAGTGACGTACAATGAGCTGGTGGCGGGTACAGGCAAAGACAAGACTGGCTAAGGCAAGCTCCAGTTTTGCGGCGATCGAGCTGCGGCGGACGGCTTTGAGTACTTTTGGGTCGATACCTGCTGTATTGACAAGTCTAACAGCGATGAGCTCAGTATGGCAATTAACTCCATGTTCCGCTGGTACCAGCGTGCGTCCGCTTGCTACGTACACCTGTCGGATGTGTTTGTGCCGGACGAGATCAGTGACGCTGAAACCTTCCCTGTAGCGTGGCAGGAAGTCTTTCGACGGAGCCGATGGTTCACGCGAGGCTGGACGTTGCAGGAGCTCCTGGCGCCAGCTAGCGTCGAGTTCTTCTGCAAGCAGGGCAAGCGGCTGGGTAGCAGGGTGTTGTTGGAGCGGGAAATCCACGAGATCACTAAGATCCCTCTGGACGCACTAAGGGGACAAAGCCCCAGCGAGTTCGATATTGAGGAACGGTTGAGCTGGGCAGCCAGACGCACGACGACGATGAAGGAGGACAAAGTGTGTTGCTTGTTGGGAATTTTCGGTGTGTTCCTGTCGCTCATATACGGAAAAGGAGAAGCATACGCCATATGCTATCTGACCATTGCTAACATTGTTCAGTCTTCTCGTCGCTGCCTTTCCCTCGAAACGGCCTCTTCGTTGGACGAACAGACGAGCTCCAATGTTGCAGTAAATGCAATAAGTGAATGTGTAACCGCGCAGGGCAGTAAGTCAGGGGTAACCGCGCGAAGCAGTAAAATCAGTATATTCTGTTGTGTTGTTGTTCAGTGTTCTGTCTCTCTCACCGGGCCATCAGGGTCTGTTTACATGACGTATCTGTCGTTCAGACAGAAAGTGCTATTGGAACAGGCAAGAGCACTGCACCAGCACACGTGGCAGACATGACCGCTTTACCCCATAAACCATCACATCCAATCTCTTGAACAGCACCTCCTCGTCTCCAACACCCACTGACGGATGACAACATATGGACTGGGAGGGTGCGGGAAGTCAGCGCTTGCCATCGAGTTTGCATATCGCGCACTGGCAACACGTGCTAGACTGGTTCTCTGCGTGCCTTGGATGGCGATTCAAAGCCAGCTCGACTGCGCGACTATCTTCCCCGCAGCGACAAAGGCGCGATTCTTTTCACCACTCGGAGCAACGTAGCGCAAACACTCAACGATCAGGGAAAGTACGCTGAGGCTGAGAAGATGCAACGCGAGACGCTCAAGCTGAGAAATAAGGTGTCGGGAGAGGAGCACCCAGACACGCTGACGAGCATATACAGCCTTGCTCACCTTCTTGCAAACCAGCTACGCTTTGATGACTCGCTTTCTGTACGAGCAAGCCTGCGCTGCATACGAGAGTGTTCTTGGAGAGGACTACCCAACTACCCGCGCTTGTCACCAACACTATTGCCAGATGCTAGCGTTGCAAGAGCAGAACCTCATCCCTCTCTGTTCTGCAAGGCAGGGAAGTAGTGCAGACGTGCGCACAAGCAAGAAGCGAAGATTGGCATGAGAGGAACAAAGTTCCACATGGATCAAGGGCGCCTCATTTTTGTGTATATTCCACTCGTCTGGGCCCCGCTGTATACTTACGCTCCTTCTGATATCTGATTACTTAATAGCGTGATCTGCAAGTACTGGCGGCCGTACAGTGCGGCAACATCGCGTGGCGACGGGCACCTGTCAGCAACAGCTAGTGCGTAGGGGGCATAGCGCTGGATTCGTTACGATAGCTTACAGTAACATCTGAGCATGCTACTGCGGGCTGTCTGCATGCCAAGCGCATCAGCTCGTTCCGACACGTTAGAACGCTTTGCGCGATTTTTGCTCCTAGCCAGCGAAACTCCCAGAATGCAACTTTTCCACATCAAAGCAGATTTCAGAGCTTAGAGACACAATCTGCCTTGATAGTAGTTTCTATCAGACCCGCCAATTCTTACAGAGGCTCGTTAAGTTGCGAGCGGACAGCGAGGGTAACAACGAAGGGTCGATCGACGGCGTTGACGAAACGATCGACCGCAAGGCCAATATTGCGGCAATCTCTGCCGTAGGCTGGTACACTTACAGAGAAGTGGCTACAGAACATGAATACATCCACCACAAGTCTGTGTAGTTGCGAATAAGAGATGGCGAAGCTCCGAAGTGCGAACCTGTCCCGTTACAGCATGCGTCCCGGCACGCTTGGATGGACATTAGTCAGGGACACGACAATACCATTGAACTAACAAACATCGATTCGCTCAAGCTGGATATTTTGTCTTGACTGCGTCGTATTCCTTCTGCGTGAGCTGAGTGACGGATCCATGCTTCAAACCGGTGGGGAACCCTGAGGTACTGGACGCGGTCCACTTCCCACCGTCGATGTTCGTCGTCTCGAACGGTACATATTGGACGTAGTTATCGAGCAGAATATGGTACTTGCCAGCAACAGTGTTGTCGGCGAATGAGGCCGTGCCCTCCCACGGGCTGCCAGATGTAACGTATCCAGGTACCCTTGTCCACATACCAAACAGACCGCCAGTAGTGTTCTCCTGATAGACCTGCAGTGTAGTCTCGTTCTTAATGAACCGCGTGAAGTGACCTTTTTGACCGAGATACTGAAACTCTTGGTCTATGACTGGGGTATTGGCAGGGGCAATGTAGTCCTTAGGTGCGCTGAATGTGTTGAAGTCCTTGGTGGTGGCGTACCTAATGCGATCAAGGCCTGCGGTGCCAGTATGTGTGGTATCAGAAGAAGCGTACAGGCGCGACGCCCAGAACACGTAGAACTGTTGCGTCGCGTCGTCCCAGACTGCAGAGGGAGCCCACGCCATGCCAGCTGTGGCACCTTCGACCGTCTTCAGGCTAGCCGAAGACCAGTTAGCCAGATCGCTCGACTTCCAGACCACGATGCCACGGCTACCGGTCCGGGTGGCTTTGTCCCAAGAGAAACCAGAGGCGTTGATATCGAGATCTGAGGAGCAATGTCAGTCATGTTTTAAGGCTATATGAGAGAGCTATACCTGTAGCAATCATGTAGTATTGCGTGCGAGCGCCGTTCGACGCCAGAAAGGCATCCCGAACAGCTTTCGTACCGACCGTCGAGGTAAGGACAGGATTGCCTTTGTTCAGTTTGGTGAAGTTTGTTGGCGAGTTCCCATTCGACAAGTACCATTGCACCTTAGGATTCGCGTCTGAGAAGGTAGAGATAAGGTAGCCAGCATAGCCAGATTGGCGCTTCTCGCTCTGTACTGGTATCGCAGAGACAAACGTAAAAAGCGCTGTAGCAGCGGCGATGGAGTAAGAGACGAACCGCATCTTGATGGAGGGTAGCTTCGAGGATCTATGGAGTCATTGACCTACTCGGCGGTGCGTGTGCTTTTAGACTTAACCACGCCGGAGAATCTTGAACCAGGTTGCTGGACAGGTATACGATCCTCAGCATGGTTTCTCCACATTGCAATATAGCATCGGCGTGATGTAGATAGAATCCGGGGCGACTAGCCCAGTCAGGCAGGAGCCTGGGGCTTGATGTCTGTGCGTGTCACGATTTGCGACTCGTGGGTTTTTTTGTACCTGCATCTGTACATGGGGTGGCGTGCTTAACGGAGAACTCGGCGAAAGACCGATCGCACGGCGAAATGGATTTTCATATTATGCTGTCATGTGTGGCTTGCGTTGCGACTCTGAGAAAGGTCACGAGTGGCCTTTGTACACTTTTGCAGAATGCAACAGTCGGTGTACCGAGACACAACCATCGAGAATGAGAATCTCAGAAGCATGTTTGTGGAAATCGTGGTAACTGCGACTACAGGTATTGGGGTGGAACTTGGAGCAATGTGGGAAATGGAACTTCGGAAGAGGTCGAGAATTGAACAGACCTTGAAAACTCACAATTCAATCTCTAAGCTGGCGAAGCGCGAGCCTGCACCTATTTGTCAATCAAAAGTGTTCGGATGAGTTGATGGAAACGCTTGTGCTCAGTGATGAGGGGAAACGATTCTGCCTCAGCACCAAGCAAACACACCCCCGGACGCTATCGGACATCCGGAATCGCAAAGCAAGCGCGTCATGGACGCGTTCCTCTAGGCCGCGTCGGGTAAGGCGCCGACGCTGAGTACCACGGCGTGCAAGCCTCAATACGTGGAATGATCGAGCACGTGCGTTGCTAATTAGGACTGTTTCTATGTTGCAGTGCTGCTTCATGCTGACAATGTCCCACACCAGGCGGTTAAGTATTCGAGCACGTTCATCCCAAGCTTTTTCGATGTCCTCAGTCCCGCCCGTAACTTAGTCGTACACGGCCTGTGCCATCCACATCTTCGGTAGCACCGACAGAATGCATTTGCAGACTTGACCGGACGGGTTCTATGAGCTGCGGAAAACTGTAGCGTGCTGCTATTCCATCCTGAAGACTATGATACTCCATCCCAAACATAACCGATCGACTCACTACCTGCGGCCGGCAGTGTATATGTCGAGGCTGCGAAGGTCGGTTTGCCATTACACATGTAGGCCGACATTATAATAGACTACCGGATGATGCGCAAGCCACATCTAAACAGTCAGCATTGCGAAGCTGAAAGACAGCAGTTGATGGTCCACAACTCATTTGAATAACTACTGGCCTTTGTGAGCCAGACTAGAGCGATGTTCGACTTTCTTCGGCCTTGCCGTCGAGACCCTTGAGTGCACAACTCATGCAGGAGTGATGGAGATATGTGATTTCTAGAGGTAGATTGGTAGGAGGATGTAGGCAGGAGAGGACATGAGAACTGGGTTGATTGTACTAGCTATGTCTATGAACTGTTTATATACTTTTCAGTAGCTAAGTGATCTGCACGCACGTGATACCCAGGCACGTGAGAGGTCGGTAGAGGTCGACATGATGGTTTATGGAGTAAGGAGGTCATGTGTGCCACGTGTTTTGGTGCAGTGCTCTTGCTCGTTCCAACAAGCCCTTTCTACCCCTGGCTGCATGACAGATACGTCATGAAAACAGACCCTGCTGATGGCCTGGTGAGAGGCCAAAAGACAGAACAACAACAATACAATATACCTACTTTACTGCTTCGCGCAGTTCCCCCTGACTTATTGCCCTGCGCGGTTACACCTTCATCTATTGCATCTACTGCAACATGATACTACTGGCAATTATTTGAGCTATAAAGAGCAGCATGAATATGCGTTCGACTTACTCTCATAACGCTCATCCGTCCTTCTTCCGTGGTGTACCACTCTCTCAATACACCAAGTCACTCCTTACTCATGGCTCCTGGACTTCTACGCATTGGAGCGCTTACTCTATGGGCACCTCTACTGTATGCCCCGCAACTCCCACATGCCCCCAAGACGACTTGTGCGCTTTCACTGCAAATGGAATCACTTTTTGCAGTTAGCTGCGCCACAGATTTCTATGGGGGTGATCTTCAGTTGGCACAGGGCAGTCTGCACTACATGTTGCCTAAAAATACTTACAATGATAGAAGTCAACGCTCGCCGGGTGTATGAAGGCTTGTTCTACCATAGATAGATGTATTGCGGCCAGCTACGTAGAACAGAACTGCTACATGAAAACACACTTAACGCTGCTGCAGCGAAGCGGCAAAGTAGTTCTCACACATTCGTCATGGAATGACATGCTAACATCAGCAGCACAAATGTGATCGGTGTATCCGTCACGTCTCATACGACTACGGCCTTGTTCGCCAGCAGTCCGTTGCAGTGTTTGTCAGCGGTCCGCTGCACTGATTGTCCAGCTCATTCGGTCAGTTCAGTTTGCTTTCCCATCCCTTCACTGCTATTCCCTTCTACTATATAGTCCCGATCCATCCCCGTAATAGCTCACAGACAGACCAATCATCTCAATCATCTCAACTCTTCCACAGACCTCGTCTACAGTAGCGTCTCCACAAACATGCCCTTCCAGTTACAGCTGCCATGAAACGATGGCTGTACTTTCAGAGGAGCTGACTTGCGTGCTTCACTCTATTATGCGGGACCGAGTTCTATGGAGGCTATCTCTCTGGCACGTATGCGGAGAGCTACTAGAGCTGCACGGGGGCTTGTGCAGATGACTCCAGTTATGTTGCTGCCTCGTACACCGGTGGCTCAGGCTCAGGCTACTGCTATCTGAGAAGCACAAAGAAACGAACCAAATGTCAACGACAACGTTGATGTTAAGTGATGCCTTACATGCAGACGAGACCCTTGCTGATATGATCGGCCGTCTTCCTTGATACAGGGGTCCAGTCTCCAAGTTTCATCTCCACCACCGTCAGCACATCTTCCGCTTTCGCTTCAACATCCACGTGCGCCTCTCTCAACAGCTTTGTCACGTCCCCTTCCGCGATCTCTTCTGCAACTTCTTTCTCTCCCACATCGTCAAGCAGTGTTGTTACGTCCGGCTCGTCTACATCTTCTCCAACCGCGACTTCTCTGCCAGCTGGCACGAACGTATTGACAAACAACGGCTTCAAAACGAGTAGCGGCACGTGCGGGGCTTAGCTAGCTAGGAGGTCATCAATAACGTCGTTAACGCGCAAGTGTACGCTCATGGCGGGAATGCATACACGTAAGTTGTTAACAATTTCCCCTGGCTATTCAAGCTGACCATGATATGCAGCGTGATGTACCTCAGTGGGACAATTACCGAACTGTTCCAGACAGTGACAACTCTTGATGTCACCCGATCTCACAGGGTCAACTTTTGATGGCCCCAACTCAGTACTGGAACAATGCCGGCACATGTACCATCGAAGTTTTCCTGAACGACTCCAAGGTATACATCAAGACGCTCAACAGCGCAAACACTGCTCCAAAGCCGGTGCTGGCGATCGGCTTCGTCAACAGCTTTAATACCCACCTTGCCGAAGCAGACGCTCAGGTTCAGATATTCGTGTAACAACGAGCAACTCGAACTGCATCCTCGTGGATGATGTCAACTTGACGTACGTTTAATGAGCGTTTCACAACCAGCTACCTACTGCAGGGCCTCTGGGACGATATACTGAGCACCTATTAGGAGCTAGTCAATGTAACATCTTACTTAATATGCGCAACCATAATCATGTTTACCAAGCCTTAACCTTTCTTCCACGGTGGATATACCTCATGAACATTGTACGTCACATGCGTTGCCGTCTGTTAGCCTCGGTCCCAGCACACACCATGGAGGGGCTCGGTGTGTGAAGGTGAAGATGAAGCGCGGAACCTTCCGGAACGAAAATGGACGTACCAGTCAATCCAACTATTTGCTAGCTCAAGCTGTCACGATTTTGTCTTTCCTTTGAGCCACTGTCACCTACATTGAGCGTCTCTGCAACCTAACGAAACAGTTCCGCCATTCTAGCGCACCCGCAGCTCTCTTCAAAGCAGCCACAATGATGAATGAAACGCCGACTACTTTCCAATCCTACGACTCTTCCACAATGACGAAGCATCGTAGCGGTATCTTGACTCGGGCACATGCTGCATTGTCTAGCTTGTCAAAACCAGTCGATAATTGGGGTGTCAGCGACGTTCCTATTCTCTCCTCACAGATCACGCCGAGGAGAAGTCGATCACGCCAATACAGCGACAGTAATAAGAGCGTGACTATGTCCCCTCTTAAGCCCACTCGCAGCCGTGCACCCGGAAATCGGTCGCGAGTGCTTTCTATGCGACCATTGAGCATCGCGAGTGTGTCTACTTTCGGCGCGTGGATGTTAGACCAGATTTGCGCTGACGACGAAGCGGATAGCGACCACAATGAGTACGATACTGAGACCGAAACTCAGTCAATCAGCAAGCTATCGGTGCCGGCTTCCTATAGTGAGGCTCAACACGAAACACCAGTGCAGCACAAGTACGTCTATCCAGATTATCCATCTGTCAACCTCAATGGGAGCTTGTTCCGTGATCTCGGAACCGGTACACACCCGCTGCGCATGCACCCACCTTCGTCGTCCCCTTCACTTCGAGATCAAGCGACGGCTATGCGGAAACAGGACGCCCCACGACTATCACAAACTTCGAGCTGTCTGTATGTACCAACTACTCCACTTCTCGACGATGGAGCCTCCAAGGCATCTCAGGATACCATCAGCACGCGGCGCAGCCGTCCTACACTCACCGAGCTGGACATCAATGTGGCCAACAACAACGTCCAAACCAACGATGAGAAACCCATCAACGAGCGTCAAGAGATCAACGATGATATGCAAAAGATACTGGTGTCCGCTCCTGAGGACGTTTCTGTGCCTTGTGACGTTGGTTACGTTGAAGCCATGCGTCTTTGGTATGAGGAGAAAGAGAATGCGGCATTGGAAGACCAGGCCCGTGGACGCAGGAATGCAAGAAAGATAGGGATCGGTGGATGCGCGATGTCCAGTGCATCTGCATGCCAACGGCTCTAGGATAGTTGAGCAGAACTACGTACTGGCGGGTTGTTACCTATGTTTGTATGACTTCAGGCTAAGGCATGATAGTCGGGTTTTGGACAGGCTATGCGAGGGTTTCGTTGAGCGAGGGGGGCGAAGGGGTAGCAACGTCATCTTGGACTAGCACACTTTGGAGTAGAATGGAAATTTATACGTCATATGAATGACTACATTCTGAATCCTTTAGCCTATATATGTTTCTTACCTTGCGAGACAGATGTGTGACTCTATCCTTACTGTGCATGGAAGCACATGTTACAATTTTACGATGCCCAGGAGCTTCTCCATTGCGCTGCAATTACGTATCTGTGTCTGGCCTACAGTATAATACAATACCACTCATGCTACATAGAAGCCGGATGTGAGAGTAATGCTCGGGGAAGTTAAGATCATCATAGCTGACCTAGATCCACGATCAGTTAAGGACTGCACGTCATCCTGGAGACGACATATCTTGCCCATAACTCATCGAAAACCTCCAGGCGCTTTCGCGGAAGTTGATCAGTGGTAGCTGTTGTATTCGTCCCTACCTGCAAAGTGCCTTGAGGTTGGGAAGCAGCACCACCAAAAAGGTGGACACCCTGGCACCTTCCATCAGTTTGGCATAGTCCCAATCCGATGAAACGAGCAGGCGAAAAGCAAGCAGAAGGCTGCAAAAGCATAAAAATTGACCTAACCAGGGGTCGAACCTGGAATCTCTTGATTGCGGCTTCCAGGTTTAATACCTAGTTATTCGTAGTCAAGCGCCTTGCCATTGGGCCATTAGGCCAGATATTGAACTGATTGATGGGATAAAGGCTATCTTGAAGCATTATAGTCTTGATCAGCCAGCCCTCATGCAACACTCTGGATATCTGAAATGCGGGAGCGGGGATATGTCTCTGATGGGGTTGTGGTAGAGCGTGAAGAGTTTTCTCGCCGAAGTTGCGGCTAACGTGCTGTGGGGCATCGCCGACAACCTACCTTCTTTGCGAACAACACCAAAATGCGAGACCTGGAATCGTAAAGATGATCGGTATACATTTGTTGCTTGGATATTCGAGGTAGATAAGATCATGCGTGGGATATCCGGAATCTTCGTAACGAGCAGAGGTTGACCTTTGCGCCGCTGAGTGAGGTCCTAACAGTAGCCGCTGGGTGATGGATATTGGTCTAATCTTGTCTTGTCTCGTCTCGTCAGATGCATCGAACGCGCATAACATTCCGGTGACGTCGTACCTGGCGATGAAAATTGACGGAGCTCAGAGATAGCAGAGGTGTAGCTGCGACGTAGAGGTTGTGATACATGACATCAGAGAACCACGCTAGATTGGGCCCCAGCAGGGTTCGAGAGCAAATTTGTCTGTCATCGCCTCCTTCGCTCACTCACTGCAACAATGCGCATCACTTGAATTGTAGTACGCTCAGATGCTCTGCTCGGGTGTTTGTTGCAAAACATATTTGCTATAGGGACACGCTCTTCTAACACGTAGAAAATCCTTGTACTGTTCATAAATGATCGTCAACAAAAGCAGTATATTCAAAACTTCACTCTACTGCTGAATCTGCTCGCTCGGCCTATGGCTTCAGGAACTGGAAGTCATTGAGATAGCTCGTCGAACCCTTCCGGATCACCAGAGCAGTCCACCACAGTCCCTCCATCTCCAAACCACCCGAAGTCATTACCATCGACATACTCCATTTCGAAGTCCTCTCACCGCACCGACTTCATTGCCTTTATAGTATGCACGCTACTCCCAGGCCACGATGCCGTGACGCGGCCCCGCATACGCTGCTCGGTCGACAAACCTGGCGGCGCTGTCTTGTACCAGCTCAGGCAGTCTGCGGTGTACACGGTGCGCTTGAAGTACTCATCGCAGTATGCTGTGAACTTTTCGACCGGATCGCGCTTTGGCTCGACGGTCTTGACGTTACCTGTTGATAGGCGTTCCAGTACTTGCGCAATGTATGAGTGGATGGACTCGATCATCACGAGTAAGCTGCCTGCACCTTGGAAAGAGTTGGGGCCCAAGGAATGGAAGAAGTTCGGGAAGACGTCGGTGCAAAGACCGAGGTAACTTCGTGGGTAGTCACTATACTCGTGTCGGAGGTTCAGACCATCACGGCCATATATGGGAAAGCCAGAGGAGACGGATGTATCAAAGCCTGTCGCGCAAGTGATGGCATCCACAGGTCTGTGTCGGCCGTCTTTAGTGATGATGTCAGTCGCATTTATCGACTGTATGTTTGAGGTAATGACATCCACGTTGGGTAATGCCAGCGCCTCGAGGTAGCCCGGACCTGGAGTCAGACGCGTGCAAAGTGGTGGATAACTGGGAAGAAGTGACTCGATGAGTTCAGGGTTTGCCCATAGTCGCTCCTTCATCACTCGTGCAAACTTTGTTTCAATACCTACGCACTTTGGGTTGTCGCGTTTGCAGGTGGCGTAAAACCCCTGGAGTGACAATTCAACTTCCTTACGATAACGGAGGTAGGCATCGGGATCATTCAGCCAAGCTTGCCTCTCCTCTAATGAGTACGAGAAGTTGCCGTTTGTGCCTTCGCTCTGACGCTCTCTCACAAGTTGTTCGGCAATCTGATTTGCGATCCATGTTTTTGCGCGTATGTAGTGGTCCATACTGGCGAATCGATTCGGCTCCACGAAGGGTGAACTGCGATCTTGCAAGACGCGCAAGGAGGTCGACAGTGTCGTAGACAAGTACTAAGGCGACCTCGTAAAGCTGTTCCTGCAGTGATATGGCAACTTCCACCGGGACGCGCGAGTCATTACTTATGACTACAAGGTCTGAAGCGATGAGCTCCAGGCTATTCTGCTTCTGTCCAGCGGCTAAATGAAGGAAGTTTTGATATAGATTGGCGGATATGGCGTTCTTGACTGCCCCCAAGCGGTCGGTTGGAATGTGCCATCAGACACGATGAGATGAATGGAACCGAATACCTGAACCCTGGCCTTCGTGAGCTTGTAAGCCTGAGAATCATTTCCAGCTGCGTTTGAGCGAGACCTTAACTCTCGTTTGTCCAACATGACCTGCAGAATTTTTACCTACTTTAATCCCTCCTAGGATCAGGTATGATTAGACGTGCTTTCACTTACGATTGCGCGGCTGCCTGGGGCTTGATGGCACGCCCGTTTGCTTGCAACAAACTCGACAAGATCAACCTTCCGCACAGTCCCTTCCACCCACTACCGCAGACTTTCCATACCCAAACACTTAATATTAGTCCGCCGCACGCTCTCAACGTCGCCGACATGTCAACAGCCGAAGGCCAAAAGCGCACAGCAGACTTCTCACCCACCACACCAACCAACCCCAATCCTCCTCCTCAGAACACCACCGCACCACACATTTTACGCCGACACCAGCACCGCCGTCGCAACATCGCCGCCAGCGTCTGGGGCCCCGAACTTCCTCCACCCCCATCCACACCCGGCATCTCCCAACCAGCATCACGCGCGACCTCCTCAATCTTCCGTAAACCGCCCTTCAACATCTACAAATCGCTCCTCCGCCACCCCAACCTGTTCTTCCAATTCTGTATCCGCCTTCCCTATACCAGCATAATCTCGCTGTACAGCATTGACAAAGAATTCCACTACCGGCTCAACAAATACAGCCTCAGCCTAATCCACGACTACGCGCGCTACCATGCCCTCCTCGCGAGTCATGTGTTCAGCTGGGTGCTATTCCCGAAGTTATGTATCAGCGACCCCATGTTGCGGCCGATGGATGGGCGGGAGTGGTTGGCGCGCGACGTCCCGGGGTTCCGGTGGGTGGGTATGGTATTACACCGACAGAAGGTTGTACGCGGAATTCTGACGTGTCTGGCGGTCGAGGGGTTGAGAGTGCCGAACAAGGCGTTTGAGGTGCTGTGCAAGTTTTGGTGTGTTATGGAGTGCAAGAGCGTCGCGCTGAGGGAGGCGTTCCTGCAAGATGGGGATATCTGGTCTGACCAGGAGATCTTGGTCTTTCAGCTCCTGCTCGTGAAGCTGGATATGCGGTTCTCAGATCCGGTGCTAGGGAATGGGGTTGGAGAGTTGAGTCATATGCTGTTGACGCAGAAGGGGCTGGGGATACTATACAAAGTCTTGATGGGGCAGATAAGGATCGACTACGACAAAGCAACAGATATCCTGGTCCGCACCTACCTGAGCGAGGATCTCGACACTGACACGCACACCTGGCTTGACGACGAGATAGACAATGGTGTCCCAGAGGAAGAATGGGGGCTACTTTCCAGAGAAGGGTGGCATATGGACGGGAAGAGGATGGACAGTGCGGTTGACATGGTGATTATGGAGGGTATCAGAAGAGGACTGGATGTACAGAGGTACTACCTTGACTTCGTCCTATATGGATTCGTTGATGGAGACGGAAACAATGTACCAGTGCCACGGATGCTCAGACAGGGAAACGGTGTGAACGTGGTCGAGGTTGGTTTGCCGAACGAGCAGGCGAGAAAGCAAGCCCTTGGGAAGTTGAGAGAATTTGCAGGGCTCTCATGTATTGATGGAATGGAGGTCGATACTCAGTCGTGACGATTAGACCGACAGGCGGTATCAGCACCGTCTCGATCGATCTACATCTCATATAGCTCTTCCGGTTTACGTCGCGCCGCAAAACAGTTCGTTGCCTGCTTCTTGGACTTATCGAAACATAGTCTCACACCGCAATATCGTCAATCTTCCAAGGGTGAGCCTTGTGGATCCATGACAACAACTTCAGTTGCATCGTGTCGTTGATTCGAAGATCAGCCGAAGAATGGTGGACGACGTGGGGTCGAAGTAGCTTGTGACAGGCGCTAGGTACTGAATGGCAGATCCCGCCGCAACTGCTTCCGAAATCTCCCAGGTTCGATGTCGACACAAGGACTGTTGCCAGCGATGCTCTTCAAAAATCATTGCACCGTGCCTCAGATAGACTACAGATTACTAGGGGAAGACGGCTCCATCCAATCAGCAATTCAACAATCCTGTTGACATGGCTGTGCGCGCTGAAACACGACATCTTACAGGCACGTAATCGCTCGCAAGCAATGTCGTGATCGCCTGCCCACCAATGCGCCCACACAGCGCCTTAATCGCGCTTTCTGGCGTGCAACTGCCACGAACAGCAGGTGGCGGCGCGCTTTACCTTTGCCGTTGACGAGCGCTGGAGTCACAATGGCACGAGAGTGGGCTGATCCGACAGCCCAGCGCAGTATTCCTTGCGGCTTGGAACGAATTTGGACCCTCAGCTGCGCTTCGGGCGCCCACCAGACGGGCAGGTTAGGGTCTACCCCACATTTTCCGTGCATACAATTACCTTCAGCCTCTCCCGTGTTGCGTGTGGTTCTGTGAAACATTCTCCCGTAATCTGTTTGTCAGGCACCAGCTTTCCAAGTAATCAATCAGCTTCGGCATTTACTAGTGTTCTCAAATTTGAAGGTCGGCATACCAAAGCGACGCTCTTAGAGCAAGTGCAGCCAGCCCTACAAGAGGAGCTCCTCCGAAGCCCTACGGTTGCCTGACTCAAGGACCACTTTGCATCATCGCCCGCGCTAGATTGTGAGTACCCTTGCTGAGACATAAAGCAGAGCTGCCCGTCTGCTGTGTGATTCTATTGTTATTCATCTCTGTTCAGCCTGTTTGATCGTAGCTGATTTGCAAAGCCACGCAGCCTCATTCAGCCCTCCACCTCGAACACGGCTGCCTAGCCCCACCGCCAGGCCATCCATAAGAGCAGCTGGTTTCATATCGAGACAACTTGAATCTCAGTCAAGTTCGACTTCACAACACAATCACAATGGCCGTCTCAACACAAGCCCTCTCCTCCATCCGCCGGTACTCCACATCCCTACCGCGTGACCCCCACTACCGACTCAAAGCCACACTCGCAACGGGCTATGTTGTATCGGCGCTTGCACTGCCGTTTGTACCACCGCTGCTCGAGACTAGGAGAGCGAAGGCTGATGGAAGCTATCTGACGAGGTGAGTACGGGATGTCTTGTCTACTTTTGGTGGATGGTCCCGGAAGAACACTCTTCCAGCCAATCACACCATCATGTCAGGCCGGATGTAGAGTGGAGGAACAAGGCTGACGACGTGTAGGGAGAATGTGTATTGCTCGAGTCAGTTCCATCAGTGCGCTCGATGAGCACGAGCACGGGTGAGGCGACCTCGACTTCTTTGTCCACCGTCCTTGCACTAACATTGCTTTGCAGGCCTCCAGGTTTTACAAGAAACCGACATCTTCGTTCTTGAGCCTTTTACATTCATCATACCCATTATTTTCCTATGGTATTTCGGCGTTTGGATGTCCGCATGAGGACCGCATAGTTGGTGTTCTGGGCTCTTCGTCTGCGTTTGGATATGTACACGCCAGATATTGCGTGATTATACATGGCAAATATCACTCCCATCTCGAGGCTCTCCCTGTCCGCGCTATGAATGTATTGCCAATAGCACGGAACCGTTGCAGGGTTATCCATCACCCTGGAAACACATGCACTATCAAGGTGCCAACCCACACCATTGGCAAGATGTGCATATATGTAGCGGAGCTGCCGGCATTCCACCAGCTTCCTGTATGGAGTTATGCTGAAACGGGAGCCTGGAGGTACTCATACTGTTGGCATCGCGGGATACTGCTGCCTGGTGCCGCGTGGTTGTGAGCGTGTACCGTGGGATTTGCTGGCACGGATCACGTATGTGCCGCAAACGTCATTGGTCCAAGCTGTCCCTTCCCCCACATGAAAAGTGCCGCCCCGCAGCTTTGCGGCCCCTCAAAGATTCGACGCGACTCTGAACGCGTTACGCAAAAGACCCTTCGAACCCTGAACCGCAGCCGCCATGGCTTCGACGCTGCTCGGTAGCATCGATCACCGGCTGCCCAACGAGCTCACCCTCGCCGTCGTCCAACAGCTCGCCAACGACAACCGCACATTATGCATCCTGGCGCAGACATGCCGCGGCTTCCAGCAGCTCGCCGAGGAACACATCTATAAGACGATCAAGCTGCGATCTGTTCGAGACCTCCAGCGAATCATCTCCGCCTTCGTCGCCCGCCACGACCGCGTTCGCGCCGTACAGACACTCAAGATCCTGTATCGATGGAGCGAGCATCTCGAGGTTAGCTTAGAGAGGCGGAAAGCCTTCAACGAGTGCGTCGCACAGATGGTCAGTCTACGCGAGTGGCACATCGAGAGCCCGTACGACAACTTCAAGTGGGAAAAGGGCGGCCATGAGTGGGTTGAGGGCGACATGGCGCGCTTCAGGCAGGCGTTGGAGAAGGCTTGTGTTGAAGGGGCGCAAGAGAAGGAGCGTTTTGCACGTGACCAGCAATTGTGTAGGAGCTTACAGCGTACCGTGGGGCTGGCGCAGCTGGAGTCACTCACGATACACTCGCACGGCGCGCATGCAGACTTCTGGCCACTGGACGGCTTCCACTGCCTCTTCCGCCACCCAAGCCTTCGATACCTGCACGTGTCTTGCGTTACGTTTCCCGAGACGTTGGAGGTGCTGGAATCGTGTAAGAGGACGACACCGCTGACGACGCTCATCTTTGACGAATGCATTCTGGAGCCCAAGAGCTTACAGCACATTCTGGGCACCCCCGAGACGTTGAGGCACCTCACCATCGGCGAGAACGTCTTCAACATCAACAGGACCCACCGTTGTGACCCAAGGCTTTCTCCAAACCCAGCTGCAGCCCTCGAGGCCATCGCACCGGTCGCGCATTCACTCGAGACCCTAACCCACCTGGACTCAAAATGGCGGCTCAACCCAGACAAACACCTCGTTACCCGCAGACGCGTCCCGGGCTCAGGATTGCGGCACTTCCATTCCCTAAGAACCATGGAGTGCGACACCGACTCCTTCCTCCACGAAGCCATCGTCATGCACCACGATCTCTGCCCCCCGAACCTCGACACGCTAATCGTGCGCCGCCACTTCTACGTAGCTGAGAATTTCTTCGACTACCTCCCCGACGCGGGGATCTACACGACGCTGCCATCTCTCAACACCCTCGAGCTCAGGCAATCAGCAGCCTCGTTGAATAAGCTTTCAACATCTGAGTACATCTGTGAGCCCGACCGTCTGCGCAACCGCCACGCATACGGCTACAAGCTGTCCAGGAGCGATATCAACTTCAAAGTCAGCATTGAGCTGGGGCGGGGGTCGTCGCTGATACCGCCATACCTGCACGGCGAGCCGGCGCCAGAAGTCCGCTGCCTGTACGATGCCTCCAAAATTGGATTCAGGCGGCGCGTCAACAACGAGCCAGTCGTGTACAATGCTGCCGAGTGTGGCGAGATGCATGTTCTCACCCCGTTTCATCCGTTCCGCAGAGAGAGCTTCAACAGCCGGCTTCGCAGACCCGTTCCCTACCCTTCCGAATCTACAAGTGCACTCACCGCAGCCGCCGCCGACGACGACCTCCCCGAGACAGACCAACTCGACGACGCCGCCGTCCAGCAAATCACCGGCGAAACGGGCCGCGTCCTCGACAGAATGAAAGAGCGCTTCACGCGCGGGTGGCGTCTCGAGCGCTCGCTCTCGGACCCAGACCTGGACGAGCCGTGGTCCGAAGACGACGACTTCGAAGCCACGGACGAAGAGACGGACAGCGATTTCGAAGCGATGATGGCAGACTTGCAGAACGATGGGGACGAGGCGGCGTTTCTGCAGTTCATTGAGCATATGCAGGAGCAGGGGATTGCGATTGAGATGCAGAGTGGAGATGAGGAGGAGGATGGGGATGATGATTTTGTGGATGCGGAAGAGGATGTGGACACGGATTGGGAGGATGCGGAGGATGATTTGGAGGAGCATGAGGCGAATCTGGACTGAGATGGAGAGTAACGCCTGATATTGTGGGTTACGAGCAGGCAGACCTGCATTACCACAGCTCCTCAACAATGTCAAGATGAATACGACCATGGTGCATGTTCTGCTCTATCAAGGCTTTGCATTGTGTGATAAGGTCAACTATAATACTGTACCTAGACATACTGTATAGACATACTGTACCTAGACATAGGCCAGTGTGTGGTCCTCGCGGAATGTCGCGTTGAAGCCGAGAGACGCCTCGCCACCAGCCACTGATGAGCCAGTAACAACAAGCTCGCCAATCGATTGCTCCTCGGTTGTCTTGAGGCCGGGCGTGTCTCTAACCTTGACTTCCACGGCACTCAACGGAACACCAAAGTGGCTGTGTTTATTCGACGACGTTCCCAGCCTGTAATCGTATATGTTCGTCTGCGCGACAGCACCAGCGACCTTGGCAGCTGTCAGAGCGTACACAACGCGTGCCTGGGTGTAAATGCGCAAATCCGACAAGTCTTTCGAGCTCAGCGGAGGTGTGTTCAGGCCAGCTCGCTCAGAAGTGAAGAGCAAGCGCAACTTGCCTGGAGTGGTGCCGATTGTTGCTCTTGTGGGTGCGTTGAGACGACTCAGGAGGCTGTCGGTCGGTAGACGGCCGGAGGCGAGCACGCGGGATTCGAGATAATGCGCAAGCTGCTTCAAGCCGCCTACGGCTGACGCAGCAGTTGTGCTGTGGACCTTTGCGGCCGTCTCAGCGGAGACGACTACGATGGTAGGGGCTAGGGAACGGGTGGCCAAGGCCAGGTCGACACCGGGACCTGCGACTGAGTTGATGATGACGGTCGAGTGTGAGAACAGCGCTGCAAGAGTGAGACAGAGGCAGTAAGAGTTTGTGAAGGCGTCAGCCGGGAGGAAAGTGTCCGAAGCCGAGAGGCGTTGTGCGGTGGGCAGAGAGGTGATGAGCGAGCCGACGGCGGCGGCGATGTTCTTCTGGGTGTTAGCAACCGCTCTCAGCAAAGACCCGAAAGACGTACCTGTTGAGTGAACTTGACGATTTCAGCTGGCTTACCAACGGCTTCTTGCCAGAGGAAGATGACGCCTGGGGCATGGCCTCCATCTGATGGCAGGACGTTTTCGGTGTGCTTCGAATCTTGCACAAGCTCATGCCAAACGGAGACGTCGACCTTGCCGCCGATGCCCTCGGGGACCTCGCTCCAGTCCATATGTCTGCTCGTCTTCTCTACTGTCCAAACGATCTGGCGCAGGCCGGGCACACTTCGGGTGACATCAGCCAGGGGGACCGAGCCGGCCTGTGCGATGAGAGAGTCGGCACCAGTGGCCTGGAGCAGCTCTACGAGAGTCGCATGTGGCTGGTTGTAGGGGATGAGGACGGGGGTGAAGCCGAAGAAAGCGCCAGCGAACAGCACTGTCAGGAACTCGAGACTGTTTGGCAAGTATACGGCCACTTGCTTGGCGTTGCGCTCCTGCAGATGCTTTCCGACAATGGCCATCTCCCTCGAGATTCCCGCAATGCTGTGCTCTGAGATCTCTTCCTTGCCCAGGACGGTCATGATGGTCGCGGTGCCGGCCGAGCTGGCCTTCTTCTCCAGAGGAATTTCGCCCGTCACGCGACGCCAGATATCGCGAAGGTCGCCGTCTTTGCCAGCCGAGTACATGGGAGCGCCGGGAGGCTTGACGGCGAGCCCGGTCCGTAGGGGGTCTTGATCGTATCAGCTGAGCAGTTCGGCACAGGGCGTACTCGGGTAAACATACAGCCGTGAGGCGTCTCGGGAGACCTGAAGACTGCAGACTCTCGCGGCTGCCTCACATACGAGGCCTGTGCCTGTCTGGCGAGCAGCAGTGGGTGGGTGTCAGCATCCGCGTTGTTGGCTACAACCCAGCCAACGAGGCCCAAGATGCCGACGAGAAGCACGGTGGAGTATACATTCCAGCCCTGGAACAGATCGGAGATGGCTCCGTCCAGCTGCTCCAAGAGACCGGGCATCGTGGAGGCTACTCGATGTACGGGAATGTGCGGAGAGAGAAGAGTGAAGCTGCAACGCTGGCTGACAGCTGCAATGGCGGCGGGGTCCACGGCTACGCTAACTAGCGGCGGGTGGAGAGGCGGCGTGGGTGCAGAAAGCTCCGAGGCGCCGACGTGCATCGGTTGTTTTGACAACCGTCACTGCGACCATGACTGCCGGATGTGCAATGCCGCGATAGCCACTCGATCCTCGCCGCGCTACTAGCTACTAACCCACAGAGACAGCGAAGACAGCGAAGACAGCGAAGACTGTGAAAAGCGGCTGGTTGCACGTATCCCCGGATTGCGGACCGAAGCTCGTCGGCGTCATAGTCCTCCATACTCTTAGACTCACATAGGACGCTGAAACAACCAATCGTCGGCGTCACAATCGTCAGCGTCACAATCGTCGGCGTCCCAATCGTCGGCGTCACAGAGCTCCCATGGCCCTCTCGATGGCAGCGCCTGCTACACCACAGACGGCCGCGCCGCACACACCGCAGCTGCACACGCCCAATGGCACCTGGAAACACCCCAAGTTTGACGAGATCACGCGCCGCCAGTATGCGACAGCGTTCGACGAGAGCAACGTGAAAGCGATTGTTGCAAACGCCGGTCTCCTCGCCGCCTCGTTCTTCGCAGACGCAGTCTCCTCCAAGGTCAGGCTGCTGGAATATGCCGCGTATGTACATGCAGCGAGAACAAGCGTCGGCCGTTGTCCGCTAACGTTCAAAGAACACCCCTCAAGGCCCTCGTGCACCACACCCCTTATAGCGATTGGGGCATTCTGGCTATCCGCCTGTTCTTCGCCGTCAACATCGCAGCCGCCTTCCTGCCCCTCGTCCGCCGCTACTACCCCGACGACATCGCCGACATCCCGCTCACGCCCTCTCAGCGCACCTCAATGGGCCTCAAGCCCAGCGCCGCTTCGCAAACACCAGGCTCCTCCTACGCGTCGCCCGCTTACGTGACACCGCCGCGCTACTCGAGATCCACACCGCGGAGCAGCTTCAGCAACCAGGGCGAGCCTCCTTTCCTCGGTTCAGGCAGTCCCGCTGCTGGTCTTGGCAGGTCGACTTCGACCACATCGTACTCGCCTGGTGGTCTGGGTGGCTCAGCGAGCAGGCGCGCAAGCTATGGCGGAGGCAGCCCGTTCAACAGCAGCTTGTTCGCTGACAGTGGATCGAGCGCTGGACCTGGTACACCGACACCGTCTGCCGGGAAGGCTAGCGTTGGGTTGAACAACAAGTGGCTGTACGAGAAGCGGAGGAATAGCCCGAGGAGTGGCATGTTTGCATGAGCTTGCACGGAGCAGGACGAGTAGATGTGCGAGTAGACGTGCGAGTAGACACCGCTTTATACCCTGCTATATCGCGTCGGCGTTTGGGTACTTGTCCATCTAGCACTTACAAGGCACATCATTTATACATGGACATTACGGCATCCGAGAGCTTCCGCTGTAGAACGTACTGTAGTGCTCGAGCACAATCACTGGACGCTCCATGCTTCGTGATATCATACATGCGAAAACGCCTGGGGCTATTCTTCTGCTCCGCAACTGCACTCGCACTGCCCAATCTGTGATGTACATTCCTTCGCCTACTGCACGATCTTACGAGAAGCGGTCTCCCTTCCTACTCCTAAACACATCGCTAGCCTCATACTTGCTCTTCTCCTTCCCCTCGGTCTCCGGCGCATGCCTCGTCGCCGCCGGATCCTGACTCGCCTGCAAACTCGGGTTCCCGCTATCTTCATGCGCCCTATCCTCCCGTCTAATCTGGCCCGCCAATGCGCCCTTGTCGCTTGTGCTCCGAGGAGCAGTTGTGTTCGACGAGACTACTGCGTTGGGGGAAATGGTGGGGTTCGATGATGTCTCGCCGTGCAGGCCGTGGGCTTGCTCGAGCTGGCGCTGGCGGGTGCGCTTTTGGCGGTCCGCTTCTGCTTTTTGAGCCCGGTCGGCGTTGATGGATTTCTTTGCAAAGTAGTAGGCACCGCCGCCGGCGGCGATGAGGGTCGCCCAGCCGTAGCTATCATTGTGAGTCAGTAGGAGTTGTGGCGGGCGCTGTTGGTCGTTGGTGAGGCTGGTGCTGCGGCGCGGAGCCGTGACGTACTACACTGATTTGACCTGGGAGCTGTTAGCTAGCTGTTGCGGAAGAGCGAGCGAGAGACGCTTACTGTGTTCATGATTGCAGCTGTACAGATGAGTGCGATTGAGGAATTAAAAGGGCAGCAGTCGTGTTGGAAGCTGTGCTTCCGAAATGTTTTCCTGGTGGTGTTGAAAGTGGTCTGATTCCATAGGGCTGGACGTCCCCGATTGGTGCGGCACATTGCGAGCTCTCCACCTTCGCCTTCAGTGCATCATCCATCATCCATCCTATCGTCCCCTCTCGACGTTGCATACAAATCCTCAATATTACCGTGTCAAGGCATTTATAACTCGTTGGACCGCTCGAGCTGAGGGCTGGAGATGCTGCATCGCACGGAGACTGGTTTCATCGAAACATAGCATCCTAACAAAGCAGCACGTTCTGCGCCGCCAGCTGGAAGCTGCCTGCTGCCTCGTATAATAAGCTTTGATGACGCGAAGGCAAGTTGACTTGAGCCATCGATAGAGTCCGACTCGTGTGAAGACCCAAGCATCCCACAGAGCTTCAGACCTCGTGCGGCTTTTAGACGGTCCTTTGATATCCTCAAACAGGCGGCACCAGTTGCCTATCAGGACGCGCCCCAAAACAACACTTCGCCTCAAAACAACAATTGATGGCCTGATATCATCACTCGCATTGTCCAAGACACTGCGCAACTTCTGTCTGCGATGTGTTGATACACGCGCCCCACCGTCATGTCTCAAGAACGACCCGCTTTTTACAGCGCCTGACTCTCAAACACCAGCTTCCTGAGGCTAATCCAACCTCATAGCTACACCACTCGCACAGTGTTTGATCGCTCTTATTTGCCAAGAGTTCGGCATGTGTCCGGACAGGAGATACATCGGGACCAAGCTGTCGCGTTTCGTCGTGGCATGTTACCGCTCGCTTCGAAACTTGACACAAAATCTCCAAACCCGAATCGCTTCAGCACTCACCAAACGGCAGGCAAAAAGTTCTTGGCACCAGCCTTCCGCTCGCTGCATACAGCCCGTCTAGCTCTACACGAGCTCTAGAAGTTTGAGGCTGGTGGGTGCGCCTCATCATCGCAGCTACGCGCCACCAAACTGGCGAGGGCATTCCGCGGAGCGTCAATAGCAGGCACCTGTTACTCGTCGCTCAGCGCGTCAGATGCAACGTCCACCCATCGAAGGACCCTCCTCAAGGGGTTGCGAGGCAGCCTCAGGCTGCTGACATACGCATCCTTCACTTCACCATGGTAATAGCTCGTCTCGTGGGAGTGGGCACCGCATGGGCCCTGAGCAGATTTGCTCTCTTCGGCAGCGTTGAGTTCTCGCCTCTACATCGAGAGTATATAGGTCCACTTGAAGCTCCGCAAAGTATACTCTACCTCCATCACTGATCAACAGTTCTCACTGTCCGTTGTTCTCTTCCATCCTTTCCTTGCTTTTACTTTCTATTCGAAGCGCCGGACGCAATCTCTATTCCTACTTCAATTACAATGTATTACTCAGCTTCCGCCATTGCGCTAGTCGCTTTCGCCGCCAACGTTCACGCTCATGGAGTCATCCTTGCAGCTGTTGGAGACTCTGGCCAGAGTCAAGGTTTCTTGGGTACGAAACCTTACCTACCATGGACATGAACATCACCTAACGCATAAAAAGTTGACCAGAACCTTGCTCGTAACTGCACAACAATCTCGCCATGCCAGCAGGACTCGACCATCATTCGCGACTCTGAGATTACACAGAACATCGTGAACTCCTGTGGACGAACAGAAATTGCTGGCAACATCGATGTCGGCGAGCAGACTGAGAATGAGCTGGCTGCCAACCGTGTGACCCAGGTCTCAGCTGGCACCGTGATGACTGTTACCATCCACCAGGTTAGTGACACACGGTGCTTGGCTATTTGCAAATACTAACGTAGCTTTCAAGGTCAACGCTGACGGTGCCGGACCCTACGAGTGCGACCTGGACGAGACCAGCAACGCTGCCACAAAGTTCACTCCACTCAAGGTTGCCAACAATGTTCCTGGTGCCAACGGACTCTCGCAAGCCAAGGAGCAAGACTTCACGATCAATGTTGCTATGCCTGACAACTTTAATTGCATCGGTGCATCGACCGGTAACATCTGCACTGTACGATGCCGCAACACCGCTGTAGCGGGCCCCTTTGGAGGCTGCTTCGCTGTTCAGCAGACCGATAGCCAAGGTCGCACCGACACAACCGCTGCTGGTAAGTCACAACTTCCTTTTCATCAACACTTTCATCCCAAATACATAGACTCACCTTGACGGTAGGTGTCGATACAGCACAAACGCTACAAGGCATCTCGAACCAGATCCTGCAGAACCAGCAGGATCTTCCTGTTGCCATCGCAGCTAATCAAGCCGCTGGCGCTGCAGGTGGCAATGAGGGTGCAAGTGCCATTTCTGGTGCGTTCTCCTTTCCCTTCGTCACGCTCCAGTATACAGCTCGAGCAAAGACTGACTCCTCTCCAGCTCTCATCTCCGCCACAGCTGCGCCCGCAGTAGCTACTCAGACCGCAGCAGCAGGCAATGGCAACAACCAGAACCAGAACGCAAACAATAACAACAACCAAAATCAAAATGCAGGCGGAAACAATCAAAACGCGAACAACAACAATGGAAACAACCAAAATGCAGGCGGCAATGCGAACGGCAACAACCAAAACGCAGGAAACGCGAACCAGAACACAGCTAATGGAAACGGCAATGCCAATGGCAACAATGCTAATGGTAACGGAAACGGAAATGGACAAGGAGGACGCGGAGGCGGCCGTGGTAACAACAACAACAACAACAACAACAACAACAACAACAACAACAAGCGGTCCAACACGAAGTTCCTCTCTAGGTTTCTGCTATGATAGGTAAACGTACGAGGACATACGACAGCAATCACGATAGTCGAATGACGACAAGAGGTGGACCAACGATGACATCAAGCGCTCTGGCAGGCTTGTATTTCCTTTCTATAGGCTGAGCCGAAATCCTTTATAGACATGTATATACCCCTATGCAAGCATGTTCCTACACCAGGCCAACGCCAAGTCAATTGTGCTTTGAAGGGTAGGCTTTTCATGTTCACTGACGCTTGTCTGTGTAAGTGGGGCCAACAGTATCGCAACGTGGGGAACTTCCCCAAGCGGGGAAGTGTAACTGATAACACCCGACAACACGACGATCACTTTCTTTTATCCAGGTTTCTTATCTTTCGTGCATGAGTTTCACAGGGTTCCAGTCAGCCTCAATCCATTTGCTATCGAATGGTGCTCTGCACAATTGCCGGCCATGTCCGTGAAGTCTTTGCGCTCGACACATGAGTGGTTGGGATGAAATGCCTAGGACTGGGGCATTCGTTTAACCACCCAGAACGAGGCGACACATGCAGCATCGAGGTCAAGCTTATCTTATCGGCTCTCGACGACTGATAGCTGCATGTAACCCACCATCTCTGCCGGGGTCCAGCTGCAGGTCAATAAATATGCTGAACTCCCCTCACGCGACAGTACCCTGTACCCAAACCCGAACCCGCGGCCAGGGCTTCAAAGTCCTTCGTCCTACAAGATGCTTGGCATCGAGCGACCGAATCTTACGCTCAAGGTCGAGCAGACGGAGTCGACCTTTGCTGAAGGGAGTGCGCGATGGTATGTACCCAGAACAAAACCAGACAGAAGGTTCATGGCGATCGACTGAAAATACTAACTACCTCCAGGACGAACAAAGACCTGGATCCCGTTCCAAGGCACAATCGAAAGTGGGGTGTAACGAGCTTCCTCGCCTACTGGATATCTGATGCCTTCAAGTATGACCTCCAACACTCGCACCCAACAGAATCGAACACTGACACTACTGAAGTGCCGCGACATGGCAGTTCGCCTCGAGCATCATCGCAATCGGTACGACAGCACCCCACTCAACTACCTCAATAATATGCTGACAACATCCAGGCCTCACGTGGCGAGAATCTCTCGGCATAGTCGCCCTGGCTTTCTTCATCATCTCCTTCGTAATCGCACTCAACGGCGCAATCGGCGTCATCCACCACGCGCCATTTCCAGTCCTCGCTCGAGCATCATGGGGCTTCTGGGGTTCATACATCGCCATTGTATCGCGCGCCGTTCTCGCCGTCTTCTGGTTCGCCATTCAGAACATGAACGGAGCCAACTCTGTCAAATGCATGATCGCAGCAATTTGGCCCTCCTTCTTGACGCTGCATAATGGCATTCCAGAGTCTCAGGGCATTGAGACGAACACGATGATCAGCTTCTTCATCTTTTGGCTCATTTCGCTGCCCTTTTTGTGTATTCATCCGAATAACCTTAGGTGGTTGTTTATGGCTAAGTCGATCATTGTGCCCATTGCGTGGATTGCAATTCTGATCTGGGCGTTTGTATCGACGGATGGTGGGGCGATGTGGAACCAGAAGCCAACCTTGTCTGGGTCGGCGTACTCGTGGGCTTTCTTGTCGAGCTTGACAAGCGTCATTGGAAACTATGCTACCTTGTCGGTCAACCAGGTACGTTGATCCCCAATCCCCGGTTCCAAGATTGAAGACATTGACAACCTCCAGGCTGACTTCTCTCGCTACTCCCGCGTTAGCGTAAAATGGCAAATTATCTATGTCCCCTTCCTGCCGCTCGTCTTCACCTTCATCGCCTTCATCGGCATCGCTGCCTCCTCCGCCGGCGCCGTCAAATACGGCGAACTAAACTGGGACCCGATCGCCCTGATCTCGCACTGGGACAGCCGCGCATGCCGCTTCTTCGGCGCATTCAGCTTCGCCCTCGCCGCGCTCGGTGTCAATATCTCCGCAAACTCGCTGTCCGCTGCGAACGACCTGACGGCGCTGTTTCCGCGCTTCGTTAATATCAGGAGAGGCCAGCTTATTTGCGCGGTTGTTGCGTGGGCGCTGGTGCCGTGGAAGATTCTCAAGAGTGCGGGCAGCTTTTTGAATTTTATGTCTGCGTATGCGGTTTTCCTGGGGCCTATTGCGGCGATCATGGTGTTTGATTTCTGGCTCGTTCATGGGCGGAAGTACGACACTCTAGCGCTGTACCAGCCCCATAGCATCTACCGCTACACCCATGGCTGGAACTGGCGAGCCCTCGTAGCTTTCTTTGTTGGTGTGGCCCCTAATCTACCGGGCTTCATCAGTAGCATCAACACCAGCATCGATGTCGGAACAGGAGCGAGGCCGTATCACTTCGGATGGTTCCTTGGCTTCGTGGCCACGAGCATCGTGTACATCGTGCTTAGCATGTTCGTTGCGCCGCCGAGAGAAACGTTCATCGAGAAAGCAGTCCTGCCGGACGAGATCTACGACCAGCATGGCGTTGTTGACGAAGGCCTTTCGCTGGGTGGAAGTGGCAGTGGAGAGGAAGGTGTCACGAGAGAGAAGGCCGGCTGGAAGGCAAGGCTGACGAAGATACTGTAGGGCGATGACTTAGGGCATACAGCTTCAGTCATCGCAAAGCCGTAGCAGTCGAATCATAGGCGCAAAGACCAATAGTCCATAATCGAACGTGTCCGTTAACGTTTAGGATGACAGCTAATGCAAGCCTACGTTGCTTGTAATCAGCTGTGACCTGCACGTCAATATCGATGACAAGACGCGTAAATGTCTGAGCTGACGACGCGAGTATGAGCGCGCAGCGTTGTTCTTCAGATGTAAGGGTTGTGTTTTAAGAGTAAGATGCCGGCGATGAACGTCCCGTTTCACCGACCAATCGACAGCCGGGCCTTCCGCTTCGAGCATCACCACGACCTCACCACCAGCAACCGTTCTTTTCACACAACCAAGCATCCTCGCGTCCCTCGATCCCTGATCAAATCTGCAGTGCCAAAAGCTTCTTTCGGGGGATTTACGCGATATGATGGCGCAGGACGCACATGACTGACAGACGCAGACGCGGTGCATACTCGAAGATTATCCTCCGCGTTTCTCCCCCACCCCCATTCTCCGAAATCTACATCCGCCATCGAACAACCAATGGCTTGGAACACATCCTCTACCGGAACCAATCAAACAATGTTCAAAGTTCATAGCTGTCTCACATTTTCTTGCCCTTACTCCTCTAGCACCGCATCTGCCACTCTGGACTCGGCAATTCACAGACGCTACCCGTAAGGCTGAGTGCCCTGCAGCTTCCTAGCGAACAACTGCCCAGCTTTCAAACGCGTCAGCTGCCGCACGTCATGTCCTCATGTGTGAAGATCGATGAGATGAGCCTCGCGGGACCCCTCCGGACTCTATGACGGTCTGCAGGTCAGCGAGGGGCGTCCAATGGTTATGTGGGCCGCGTATGTGACGCTGGACGTATTTGAAGGTCTTTATGTCGTGTGCTAGGTCTTTTCACTCTATATCTTCAAGTGCAACCATTTCACATTCCCATCGTCAACATTTCAAATATCGAGTCGGGCGAGAACCTCAGTCTCCATATTTCAATCAACTACAAACGCCATGAAGATCAGCTTCACAGCACTCGCAGCGCTCGCTGTCCCAGCATTTTCGCAATCTACAACAGCTGGACCTCTCACGCCCATCGTCACTCCACCATGGGCATCCTCAGACCTTCCTAAATGGTCATCCCTCTACAACTCCCTCGTCTCTGCTGGCAAGGTCCCCACAACACTCACAGCTGCACCCTGGCCAACCGGCGGCTACGGACCCGGCTCAGGACCATGGGGCCCAGGATATCACAATGACGATGACGATAACGACGGTCCTGGGGGTCGCGGTGGCCCTGGACGCTGGGGAGGTATGCTTTTCCCTTCCATTCACACTCAAGGACGAACATGCTAACAAGATTAGGACCCAACGGCCCCGGTCCTTGGGGAACAGGCAGCTACGGCCCGTGGAGCGACTGGGCCACCAAATCCGACTGGCGCTCCAGCCCCTGGACAGCGTGGTGGGGCGGCAGCGCGTGTCCGCCTTCAGACTGGCCGGGCTGGACTGCTGGGCCATGGAGCACCGCCGCACCGTGGACGACGTGGTCGGGATGTACGGCTAGCACGACAGCGACGAGCGTGGGGACTGCTACTGTGAACGGCACCGTGACACCGACGACGGCCTATGGACTGCAGGTTGCTGCTGCTAGTGGTACGGGTGCGGTGGTTACGACGGGCAGCACGGGTGGTGCTGATATGAAGACTGTGAGTATGGGGTTGGCGGTTGGTGCTGCTGTGCTTGGATTAGCTGTTGGTCTCTAAGCAGTTGCTGGAGCCAGACAACTAGAAGTTTAGCAGAGGCGAAACGTCGCTATCTTACTACTACATAATGATGGAGAAGCTTAGGGGAGTTCAGGATGCCTTACGCTCGTTGATGATATACCACCGTTTCTATAGAATGTTCATTCTTCTCTTCAATCGTGCTTTCCTGCCCTCTCTTCAAGATCGCGACATCTACACTACCTCCCATACACCGCCTTCGCATTCTGATTAATAAAGTCAATCCCCTCCTTCCTCCAAGTGTCAGCCTCCACCCCGCTCGTCTTATTAACCTCAAAGACGAAATCCTTCGGCTCATCCAGACTGTATTTCGGCCACTGCACCACACTTGCGTTCCGCCCCTTCCAAGAGTTCGGATCGCCATCACTCACAAAGCTAACCCAGGTCTTGCTAATAAAGTCGGCAAGATCAACATAGCGCTGCGGCTTCCCTTCAAACGGCTTGACATCCGGTCTAAACCCCACACCTTGAATATTGTTGAACACGAAGCCGATCTCCTTGAAGTGACTGACTGCCAACTCGGTTGCGAACCCGGCTTGGTCGGCGTTGAAGCGGTATGCGTACGCTGTAGCGTTGTGCTGTGCCCAACTCACCGCCGTCTGTCGGCGTGGCGCGACGAACAGCTGGTCTCCGATGTACGTAGCCACGCGGCGGAACTGTTGGCCGAAGCGTGCTGCGGGTCGTTGGTCGCCGAGGGCTGCGATGACGTTGGTGGAGAGGTCGTCAGGGTACGCCTGGAGCAGGAAGTTTTGCAGTGCCAGAGGTAGCCCGTTGGCTGCCAGAGCCGCTTGGAACTGAGCAGTCGTGTTGATACCGTAGGGAGCGAACGAGGCGCCTTCATCGCTGTTCGTGCCGACGATGATAGGCACTTTGACGAATTCGCCGCGCGAGAGCTGCGCGGAGCCGTAGTCTTGGATGAAGTCACCGTCTGTGACGGGCGTGAAGCCCCCGGTGGAGGAGAGCGTGCCGTTCATGGTCGCGTTGAGGGCTGCGAAGGGGGTGTCGCGGAGGCATTGGATTTTGTTTGGGGAGGAAGAGCAGCCGACTTGTGACACAACGGTGTTGAAGGCGGCCTGTGAGGCGTTGGAGCCGCGTTGGGCGCTGTAGAAGATGGGGTTGCCGGATTGTAAGATGGCGGAGCGGAAGAGGTGGTCGTCGCGGCCGCGGTAGGCTGTGAGCTGTTGAAAGTCAGTATGAACATCGTTGAAGTATAGAAACGTGTAGATCATACTTGAAATCCGATCGAAGCAGCACCGGCTGATTCACCGAAGATGGTGACCTTCCTCGGATCACCTCCGAAAGCTTTGATGTTTTCTTGCACCCAATGCAGTGCAAGTCTTTGATCCTTCAGACCGATGTTCAGCAGACCTTCGTTAGCAAGTTCATTTGAGCTAGTGAAACCCCAAAGACTGAGACGGTAGTTGATCGAAACGCCGATGATCGGCTTACCGATCTTGACAGACTGTTCGACAATGAAAGAGAGATTGTAACGTTGATCTGCGCTTCCGCCTGGAATCTATGGTCAGCCTTGAATCCCTTGGAGATTTCATCGGTGCTTTACCATTCGTAAACGTTCCGCCGTGAATCCAGAAGGCAACCGGAAGCTTTTTGTTCTCGTACCCCGATGGCCGGACAACGTTGAGGTACAAGCAGTCTTCCGAGGCTTTGTAAAAGGTTTGGTCGAGCTGAGGAGTCATCAGAATACAAATGTTTACAACAAATGGTAATATTACTGACTCCGTAGCCAACACAGTGTGTCGCATATTGCTTTGCGTCCCGGTTGCCCTTCCATGTTGTGTTTAGCGACTGAGCTTGTTTGAAGCGAAGGTCACCAAGCGGCGGTTGAGCGAAAGGGACACCAAGGAAGAAGTCCTGATTGTATGAAGCCGAGTGCACTCCTGCGATAGTACCGTTCTTGACGCGGGCAGTTGGTGATGCCTTTTTGGATGGGGCCGCGAAAGCGGTTGCCGAGAGTGCCAGCAAGGCTGTCAGTGAGGACCACATGGCTGAAGCTGCTCTTGCGGTCGGGTTGCGATTTGCTTTAACACGGTTCAAGTTGGTATGCTACACCACTTGTAGTTATATTCGTGTTGATACTCCTCATTTCGGCAGTCAGCAACCGCGAATGACGCAATCGGCTCAAGGCTCGTTAAGGTAAGTCAAGCTTTCTACGACCAGGGGGAGATACCGCTTACAGCACTATATGCGCCCACCAAGCTGTATGTAGCCTCGTGCGTTCGCGGAAGCGAATGTCGTGACAGCAAGACGGACTTTGAGTCGCAACTTTCTACAAGCCGCGGACGTGGAATGGCGGAGTTTGTTGTGTGCGCCTACTACCAGAGAGGCAATCAGCACGAGGAAGAATCACATATCGGCCAAGAGACCGGTCGGTCAAAGTCTCCAACCTCCATGCTCACCACCGGTCATATGTGATTCAAAAACGAGTAACAATGAATCTGTTTAGCATCAGCCAAATATAGAATGACAGCTATGTTCGTGCGGCTTCATCGTTTGATTCGGCATGTCTATCATCAATCGTCTCCCTTCGTCTAAGCCACGTCCGGTAATCGTACAGCAATATCGCCGGATTGAGTGATGTATCGTACCCAAGGCAACGATGGATATTGCAGCTGCGTCATTGTCAGCAGCACTCAAGTGAAGCGGTACGCTGGGACCTACCTTGGGTTCGATGATCTTCAGGTACCGGACCTGGATACCACTTGTCGTGAAATAGGGGATCTCAAACTTGACGTTGATCGGCCTCTTTGCCTTTCCACCTCCAACACCACCCATGCTGCCGCCAAAACCACCCATCATACCGCCACCCTTCTCATCGTCACCACGCACAGAAGGCAGACCAAGTTCTGCGCGCATCAAGAATTCCTTACTTCCTCCGAATTGCTTGATCTTCCATACTATCGAGGATGTCTCCGGCGCGTAGTGTACGGTACCGATGTTTGTGCGGAATCGAGGTGTGTCGGCGTCTTCGGGTACAGGGATCGAGATTTGGACGTTGTTCGCTGTGCTTCGCCTCTTGAACTGTGCTTTGGCCTATGTTGCATTAGCTGTGCAACTTGATTGAGAGAAGAGGATGTTTACCTTCAGCATGTACTCTATCCTGCTACCAGAATGGCTCTCGACTATGCACTCAACCCAGATCAACGGCTTGACTTGTGTATTGAGACGGTAGCTCATCAGCTCGAACTCGCCATCTGGTGGGATGAAACTGATTGTCCGGTCATTCTCGAATCTTGACAAACGCACACACTGATGGAACTTGACGTCTTCCATCTCGACCGCCTTTCCTCTTGTTGCTCTTCCTGTTGTTTCGAACATGGCCTTATCGTTCAGACCCAACCGCAGCTCAGGCATACCGGACAGGTAGCACTTCATCTTAATGGCACCCAAAATCTCGGATCGCAGTACGTTTCCGTTCGCGGATACAAGAAGATTGAGCGATTCGACGACATCGAGGAAGACTTCGTTCTTGCGGTAGCGAATGCCTTCACTTCGCCAACTAACGGCATTTGTGACTGCGATAGGTGGCCGTGCTTGTACCTCGAGCTTGTGTGACTCTTGTGTGATGTACTCCTGCAAGATCTTTGTCTCGGTCGTTTGTGGATATCCAAAGTCCATCATCTCGTCCAGCAGCTCGTAGATGACAACGAAGTTGTCTCTTATACTCTCCTCCTCAAGTTCCTTAAAGTACTCTGTGAAGACCTCGACGATCTTGTGGAGGAAGAGAAGAATTTCGGCGGCATTGGTGTTACGCTTGGTCAGGGCGAGGAGATACAAGTTGTTATGGCGGATGTAGAGGTAGTTGATGCCTTCGTTGGAGAAGCATGGCGGTACGGCGGAGCTCTCTTCTTCAGCCTCGCTAAGCAGAACAGGAAACTTCTCGACCGCTGACATAGGGATGTCACCACGGTAGTTGCGCGCCAGCAGGGTCTAAACGTGCCTGTTAGCAGGCAGCTCCTTCACACGGGTGCCCCACGAGCGTACCTTGCCCTTCAAGTCAAGAAAGAACACCGCCGACGCCATGATGGGGGATCTATATCGTCAAATTAAGGGTTGCTAATTCGAATCGTTCATGGGATCATTATGCGCATGCGAGAAGGAGAGGCTGACGTCGTTGGCGGTGTGTTGTTGCTGTTGCACCCTGAATTCATTGAACACTGAACTGGCCACGGGAGCCCGCAATTGCCAAGCCCAGGAGCACGCTAACATCGTTCCTGCCTGACGGCCATATGCGAGGTCTTCACAACACCATCACTATATCTATGCTTGCCAATTTTATATTATTGCTCAGAAAGACAACAGCTTCAATTTCCCAGGCCATAATTATCAAGGCCGCGTCTTGAGAACAGTGACGTCAGGCGAAACGTTGAGCTGCGTTCATCGAACAAACAAATCAATAGCACGGTGAACGCTCGTCAAGCAACGAGCAGCTCGCGAAAGTGCAGCCAACACTTCTCAGCCGGTCGAGAGCTCAACTAAAACTGCGGTCTTGAATGAAGGCAGTCACATAGCTCAGCCCTGCAATACGTCCTACCCTGAAGGAAGTCATGCGATTGGTTGATCGGCAGCCCTCTGCGAAGCTTGCTTGTCCAGCTTGTCCGCCTTGTCCAGCTCTCGCAGAGCTGGTCTCGACCTCGACTGCCAGAGCTTTGTTAGTCTGTGTCTGCGCAAAGTTCTTATGATATTACACTGCGGGAGCTGAATAAACGACTTGACGTCCTATTGCGGCCTAGATCGGAGAGAGTGTTCTTAGCTATTACAATGACGTCGAGGTTTAGAGCTTCCAGCACACGGTGGACTGAAGGGGTCCAAACTCATTTCAGCTCACACGATCCCTACATCGTCGTCACTGCAACATGGCTCCCTTGCGCAGCGACTCATCCCTGTCCAAGAGACGCAGCAAACACACGAGGAGCACGAAACAACGTTCTGGATCTCGCGAGATTCTCTCCGAAAGTGGATTTAACATCAGGTTGAAGTAAACTACGAGGTTGTCTGTTGTAAAATTTCCCCAGATCTTGGGATCGTCGTTGTCGATCCGAGTCTAAAGCGCGGGGAAGCCTACCAGGTGAACGTGCCGCCATATTTACGACCACCGAATGCAGCCAATCGCGCCGAGCACGTCATTCAGTCTTTCGTCATGACGGGAGAGCATCTGAATGCTGGTCGAGCCTCGCATGCATCATTGAAATAGCTGTGACATTCCAGAGAGTCACACAAATGTGTGAACCATCGACCATTTTGACTACCTTCATCCTGACATCTACAGGAAACTGAGAGATTCGACACCATATTTGTAACTGGCTCCAGAAGGCCATTCTGTGGCCTGACAGGCACATGGCTCACTGTCTGGGTCACAGTGGCCTGCGCGACCGACATGGTGAGCTCAATCACATCCACCCGAGGCAATGGGATTAACACGCATATAGGCACTTTTGGGTTATGATCAAGGTGCCTTCGGTATGTTTCAACTACTATCCAGGAGTACAGCATATTTGACGACTTCCCAGGCGGTGCTGTTGTCACTCCGGATTTTCTCGATAAGCTCAATTTGAACAACAACTCATCGCTCATCAGTACGGTCACAGCTATCTACGGCATTGGATGTTTCTTCGGCGCGGTCTCGGTCTGTGCTATTGGCGATCCACTCGGGAGGAAGAAGTGTGTGCTACTGGGTATGACTATCATGAGCATTGGCGCTATCATCTAGATTGCCTCGTTCGGCGTGCCTAAGATGATTGTGGGAAGGTTAATACCCCCGGCTGCTCCAACCTTCGGTCACTGAACAGGCTCGAACCACTCGCTTATCCTCCCTAGTTTTGTCACTGGAAGTGCCTCGTGGCGTGTCCCATTAGCCTTCAAGTTCCTGTTCATCATCATTCTCCTCGCACCTGTCCCATGACTGCCAGAATCGCTGCGATGGCTAATGGCAAAGGGACGCGCTGATGAGGTCGAGAGGATCCTTGCTGATCTCGAAGCTGCCGATGTCGACAATCCGTACATTATCACTCAGTCAAAAGATATCCAATGGGCTGTGCAGTACGAAAAGGACTATGCCGTATGTTGGCGCGATCTGCTTCGTGGCCGCGCTGGAGACCAGGCTGGCACGCATACCATCAGACGAGTGAGCCTCGGCATGGGAACACAGGCTATGCAACAGCTGTGTAGGTTCCACACCCACCATCAATTGAGTTGACTGACAAATTGCCAGCTAGCACTAACGTGACTTCCTACTACTTGGCCACTGTCCTCATCGAGTCAGTGGGCCTGTCCAATAATCTCGCCTGCCTCCTGGCTGCATGCAACTCAGTCTCTTGCCTTCTCTTCTATCTCATCAGCATACCCAACGTCGAGCATTGGGGCCGCCGGAAGATGATGATGTATGCCGCAGCAGGCCAGTTCTTCTGCTACACGATCATCACCATATGCATCCGGTATAACGAAGACACATCTGTTGCGGTATTAGTCGGTCCATACAAGACCCTATTACCCTTGCTTAGACTGTTCTTGACTAGCACATTCCAGAGTCAGTATATAGTCGTCTTCTGCTCGCTAGATAGCAATTCAGCGCAGTATTTCATCGACCGATAGTCCTACGTTATCTTTTACTGTAGTTATCAGTTCTACAGCGGCCCACGCCGCCACAACATCACTCTCACCAACTACAAATCAACCATGGGCAAAAGGGTCAATTGCGTTCTTCTTCCTATACTCTGTCTTCTTCGATGTTGGATGGCAAGGCGTGGCATGGGTAGGTTCCTGCTCACTTGTGTTTGGCCTTACTGACTGTGACAAGCTCTACCCGACAGAGATCAACTCCATGATAATGCGAACAAAGGGCGCTGCCCTGGGAACAGCAACTAATTGGTAAGTCAGAACGCTACAGAAATTGATTATTTGCTGACGATGCCTCAAGGTTCTTCAGTTTCATGGTCGTCAAAATCACACCTCCAGGCATCAGGAACCTCAGCTGGCAATTCTACATCTGGTGCGTGTTCAACTTCGCATTCATTCGAATAGGTGAGTATTTTCCTCCTCGCTTACCTCCCGTCCCTTCTAACGATCTCGCGGTTTACTTCTTTTACCCTGAGACCACCGGCTGCACGCTCGAAGATCTGGATCGCTACTTTCGTGGCGATGCGCCTCTGTTTGTATTTAAGGACAAGGAAGCTATTACTTCGACACGACCGGAAAGTGGATCAAGAGCGAGAAGCCAGAGATTAGGAGGCACAGTAGTGTGGTCACAGGCGACGTGGCCGCTGCGAATGATGCAAATCAGAAGAAGTCGAGAACGGAGGGAGCGGAGTACCATGACGACGTATGAAGCCAGTGACTAAGAGGATGCACTAAGGTGAAGGATGGCTACTGCTCAACAGATCTGCAGTCCGATTCCCCCTCGGATTACCAAGAGTGAGGTCGAAGTCTAATTCTGTGCCTATCAAAGTCTCAAGATCGCCAATCTGTAGGAGAGCAACGACTGAATTGTTGACAAGCGGAAGAAGCGAGATGATTTGATTGAAGAGGCAAGATATACCGATAGTGATTATATGTATACCAAAGGATATCCAGCCGAGAGAGCAGTTGATTAGGGGGTCGTGGCTCGGTCAGAACGCAGTTGACGATAACCATGCGTGGAGCATATACAGTTAGGGGTCTGCCGGACGGGACTGTTATTAATAGTTTGACTTCTTCATCAAGTTTCGTTCGTGCATCTCAAATGGCATCGTCTATTGCATTGCGATTCTGACCCACGATGACCTTGTGCCCAACGACAGACAATGCCATTGCTAGTGCGTTGGCAACACCCCACCAGTCTCGGGTAAGAGCCGTCGAGATAATCATGAGGAGTAAACCACAGGTTCCAAGCAGAGCTGCACTGAGTCAGTGTTGCTCGGATATCGGACGTCGTGTATGTGATTGGAAAAGACAGGAGCCATCTTGTGAGCTAGTGTTCGCCAGCGGACCGTTGCAGTGTTTGCCAGCGGTCCGCTGCACTGATTGTCCAGCTCATTAGGTTAGTTCAGTTTGCTTCCCCAACCCTTCACTGCTATCCCCTTCTACTATATAGTCTCGATCGATTCTAGCCAATAGCTCCCAAGATCAACCAACACAATCCACTCACTTCAACAGCCTGTTTCGTGGAAGGCCGGTATCTGTCTTCGAAGAGCCTGATTCAAGTAGGCAACGACTACTTAGCTGCGAAGTCACACCAGTCTGGTCGACCTGAGGTGCATGCTGCTATGAAGCATGCCACCCACACTCATCTACACCTTTTCAGCCATCGCCAGTTGTCAGAGGCCAGGCATTGAATTTTCTTGTACAGCTATTGTGCTACTTTTTTGGTGTTGTTGCATCGTGAGGCAGTTGCGCAATTGGCTCATCCACCACCATCATGGAAGCAGTTCTTCCTGTGATATTTCAACACCTTTATCACTACATCAGGGATCCCATCAATCTATTTGTTGATAGCTTCTTGTGGTAGTGCTTCCCATTCAGCCTCAGTCATTCCGTTAGTGCTGGCCCTGATCAGCTTGCGAGGATCTTGATAAAGCAGGACACTCTACCGCTTATAACATGTAGTGCGAACAAGAAGTGGAGCAACCCTCAGAGCGTGAAATTGATTGATCTGGAGCCACGGCAACCTTTTCAGCCATTTGTGGCTATCTCTCATGTGTGGGCAGATGGTCGTGGAAAACCAAACGCGAACGCATTGGCACATTATCAGATGGTCCACTTGAGTCAGGTGGTCCCTAAACTTACTGGAAGGGGCAATATACCACTCTGGTTAGATACCATCTGTGTTCCTCCAGACTCACCGCTAAAGGCCATTTCTCGTATCCGCAACAAGCACCCCCGCTAGTGCAATGGGATTTCCTGCGGGGATTTCTACAATTTGAGCCCTGACCCATCAAACAGTATCAAATTACTTGCGAATGCGCTGGCACTTCGTGCAACGAGCCAAACGCCTGACGAAGCTATTTGTCTCTCCATGCTCTAGAATTCGATGTGCAGGAGATTCTCAACGTACCAGATCCCGTCCCAAATGTGAAGGACAAGAAAGCAGAGGCACGGATGCAGAAACTCTGCAGCACGTTCAACCAGGTCCCTCGCGCACTTTTCGAGTTGTATGGGCCATACCTTGCCAAAAGAGCTACAGGTGGGCCCCGAAATTTTGGCTAATGACAGAAGACACGCCACTTCACGCACGTCGGTCATGGCTTTCGGCACATATGGAGCCTGCTGTGCGAATGCAGGATGGACTCGACATCGCTTTGACTGGCATGCATCTCTGCAGAAACATTCTATTGGGCCTCGAATTCCGTGTTCCAGACCAAAATTGAGTGTTCTGTCGAACTTACCATGTCTAAGGGCAAGGCTAATACTTATACTCACAATCACAGTGGCATAAAGCAGACCGAAAGGTGCATCGATCCTCAAGAGGTCTCCCAAACCGACATTGTCGCATTCCTGTGCGAGCCCGTCAACGAGTATCTGCCAAAGGATTCAGCAGCGTCACATATCGCCGATACTGGCATTCTCGTGGCTGTGTGGGGGAAGCCGACTGATTCTAGAGTGGAAGTCCGCAAGCTTGGATTTGCGGTCCGGAAAATACTGAAGGAGACGCAATACACCGATCCACAGAAACTGAGGGATCACATTAAGGCTTCTAAAGATCTTCAACGAGCCTATGAGAATGGAGCGCTGTTCTGTGCCAAAGGAACGATTGTGGCGAAGAAGGATTGGCGGTTGATACGAGGACAACGAAGTCTCTCAAATGTCTACATATTCGGGCCCAGTGGCGTACTAGTTAAATTACAATTATCCTTTATTCGAACTGTTCAGCCCCCAACTTCGCGTTCAGATCCATCTTCAACAGCTCCTTCTGCAAGATTTCCTCCTTCCTTCCCACCAGATCCTCAACGTCCCAGTTAGAAGCCACAAATCTGCCACTCAAGAAGCTCCGATCAGGACCTTCCCAACCAGCGAGCCAAACTCCAATACCACCAACAAGCTCCGGCTTGTCAAGGGCAAACTTTCTGAACATGTCTTTCACCATATCGGTCATTACAACACCTGGATGCAACGCTGTTGCAACCACATTAGGGTTTTCGATTGCGACGTACGCCATGAGCTCAAGGACTGCAAGCTTCGACAGGCCGTAGGCGCTGAGACCAGGGAAGACTTGGTAAGCGGCGCCGGTTGTCAAGGTGATGATCTTGGCTGGAGTTTCTGGCGATGGGAGCAGCTTCAGGAATTGTTGGGTTGCGAGGAAAGTACCGCGGATATTGATGCTCTACATGTGAGTTAGTAGGCGATTGATAGGAGGTAGACAAGACATGGACATACCATCTCATCCCACCAGGTTTGCTGGTCAACATCCTTGACAGGCTGCTCCTCCTTGAAGACGGCTGCGTTGTTCACGAGTACATCGGCGTGTCCGTACTTCTGCTTCACCTTCTCGAAAAGCGTAGTAACTGATGCCGGGTCGCCAATGTCGGTAGGCACAACGAGGGTCTCGACGTTAGGGTGAGATTTGGCGATGTCGTCGGCCACCTCTTGGAGCTTATCGGCACTGCGAGCTACAAGGACGATGGCTTTTGGGCCGGCAGCTGCGAATGAGGGGACGAAACCTCGGGCACCGATACCTTGGCTGGCTCCAGTGATGATCACGACCTTGCCCTTCTGTGAGAGAGCTGCTTGGGTGGGGTCGATTGCAGCGTAAACATCTCGGTGAGTTCGTGCAGTGAACTGCATGGACTTGACGAAGTGGTCGGTTGGAAGGTTCTCCATTGTTGTAGATGGCGCTTTTGATTAGAGGGTCGCTGGAGTATCGAAGGATGTGTAAGTGCAGTGTTGGAGGGGAATAGGGGCGGCGCTTATTGTAGTATTTTAAGTCTCATGCAGCTTACGCCTCGGAGGAAGACATGACCGAGCAATTGGTAAGCGATACTGTACTTTGAAATGCGTTCCAGCGTCTGTCGGTTTACGTCGATAATGTTCGCTCGAAGCTTCGCTTACATCAAACTTACAGATTATGGTTTAGCATGTAAGTTGATGTTGTGGAGCTGTACAGTAAAATGGATACAAGATATATGCATGAACAAGGATCACGACTTGCCGAAAGCGGCTTACGCGCCTTCTATTGTTTCGCCAAGACTCTCGAAAATAGCAGTTGGTTCTTCCTCCAAAGTTGGCATCACGAGTCTGTGATTTACAATCTGCATTACCTCATCTCGAATCAGCTCGTCGCTGCCAGCAGAAACTTTGTCCACCCACAACACACCCTTGACAGCATTCAGCACTTCGCTCCAGCTACGAAGTTGCATATTCCTCACAACCATCGCCAACATGAAGACGAATTGACTGCGTTCCGCCAAGTCGCTTGTCTCGACTGCGGCAAAGTAGAGTGTCCAAACGAGAAGTGGCTTGAGCTCATTCCATTCCGTCTTGAACTGCAAGAGCACGAGTTGAAGGTTTCGAGAAATCGCCGCAGTCCACACAGGAGACTGCCCCAGGGTCCGCCAGCAAGGAGCCAAGAATAGTAGGGTACCGAGTCGGCACACCTCTTCGAGTACATTCTTGCGGTCGTTGCCGAGCAGTAGTGGTCGAATGGCAAGCAAGCGGTACATGGTTGGCTCAACCCAACTACCACTTGTGACCGCTAACTCCAGCTGCTGCTCGTTGAAAGCACGATCTAGTGATATCAAATGCACAACGTCGTCAAAAATCGTCACCCAATCAAGCTGCATGGGTAGTTGTTGCTTCCATACAAGCGATATGGAGCTGTGCGGTCGAGGAGATCCAGGTGACGATCTAGAGTCGGCTTCCCATTTGCGAGGTAGTGGCACCGAAGGCGGTATGTCTTGTGCGAACGAACCCATGAGATCGCCCCTATTGACAGTTAGCACTTCTCTTATATCAAAACCACGGCATCTTCGCTGCATAAGGTGGGAGACACACCATGATATTGTAATTCGAAGATATTCCTGGTCGATGGTATTGTAACCACCTCTCAGATCAATAATTTCCAACAAAGCATTATGATGCTGCTTCCACTCACCACCACCAAAACTGCCCAATAGAGCCTGAGCCTGTAAGCCCTGGTCACCATCCTCGGAAGCTGTACTTACATGATGGCAGATGAATGATACGATTGTGCCGAGAGCCTTGTTGCTCGTGTGTTTAGTCGAGTCACTCAACAACTCCCTCGCAAAACGAAGCGCCTTTTGGTGGTGAATTAAGGCCTGCGCGTTGTCCTGTGAGGGGAAGTATCCGTACATCTTCTGGAAGATGAAGTTCTGCGAATTTGCTAACGCATGGTGAAAAGCTGCTGGGCTGTCAAGTCCAACTGGAAACCACGATCCTCTCAATTGGCTCGCATGGCGACTTTCGGGATTGAAAACTCATTTATGGTCAGCAGTCAGTCCTCCAGTCTGCATGTATACTCACTATTTGCGAGTAAAACTCGAGCATTGTCGTCAAGTTCGATTGGATAGTGACTGAAAGGATCAATACTTCCACTACCTAAACGATCGATATTAGGCTGTCTTTGTGTGGCATTGCGAAGCTCCAGGACGACCTCGTTTCGTTCACGTTTGGTCCTTGGTTTGCGTCGCGCTTTGCCAACTTCTGTCATTGCCAGTCGCCGTATGCGAAGCTGTGTCTCTTCATCCTTCAGGTCATCCGGGTGCTTGAGGTTCACGAAGCTGAAGGTGGGCTTTGACGATCGATCCATTGTGCGATGATAAGCTGTACTGTGCTTCAAACCTAGTTCAGAAGCTTCAGATATACGCCCTTACTATCTGGGCCTCTCAAGAGTATGCTTAGGCTATCTGCTTTCGATATCGATTATCATCATGGAGATCTCTCAGCACGGGCCGGGCGGGACAAGGCTGACTGCAGCAACGGGCAGCGAATCGAGCCACTGAGGCAATACCATCAACGCTTCATGCGAGCAGCCACGCAGCGCAAGGCAAGCTTACGGAAGAAGCACATTGAGACAAAGGATGCTGCACGGTAAGCAGGCTCTTGACGAAGGTCGTGCGTATGTGGAAGATGTGATCGGCTGCGAATGCGGCTTTGTAATCGCAAATGGCTCCTGCGTCATTACACTCAAGGCGGCGCGAAGCAGGACATGCAGTTTATGATTAAGGTTACCAGTAAAGGAACCTTGGAAGTGCAAAATGCCTTGAGCGCGTCCGAGCCTCAACTTTTGGTCCGAGCCCCTAGTGGCCGGTTAGTTCCGCTGACTAAACCATCCATCTCAATAAAATTTTCGCCGCACCAAACCCATCGCTTCTCCAACGCACCATCAGACAGTTCATCCGCCTATCTCATCAGCCTCTTACGTTTTGTTCGAGCGCTATCGAGTCTACACATTGGGCGGTTGCGATTCAGCGCTGCGGAGAGGGAAGCTATCGAGCACCATTAGAGCTGGCTGCGCATTTTTCACTGTTGCGCAGGCGGTGTCATAGGAGCTGTACATACCTATGCACACGTGATACCTTGGAATGGGATTTATGATCAGGCTTTCGTCACTGCTGCGACGAGTTGAAAGTCGGATCCTGCAAACCCTTCGGAGATTGCTCTTCCATAGAGTTTATCTGGAGGGCCTTGTCGTAGGATGATGCTAATGACGGTATCCCTTCGAGTGGCCTTTATCAACGTTGATCATGGCGACCACTGTATACGCAAGATGTCTACATTCATGCTGCGAGGCCAGGCTGGACCATGCCGTTGTTGCACAATGTCTGCTTATCCAAAATACTATGTACAACTACCAATTCTACCGCTGATTGGTGCACATTGTTGCAAAACAATACCAACACGGTATAAGACGTGCAACGTTTGCATTTAACGCCTACAGAACCAAGTCATCCAACATCCAGCAACAATCAACCCTACAACATGGCCTCTGTAAACAACATCACCGTCACTCCTTCGCCTGAAGTCCAGGCCTGTCTCTTCGAGATTGCAAATCAAGTAGCCCTTAAGTACGTTCAAGACTAGAACTGGTTCACATGGCATTCTTGGACGCTGTCAAAGAAGTTTAATCCAGAGGTCAGGTTGGCTTACGTGGCACCGATCGCAACTTCTGGCACACGACTGGGCGCTTCGATCGTGCTTAGGCGCGTCTACAAGTATGGTCACCGACCTCCAGGCCGAACTTGGTCGTAACACCACTATGGACCTCCGCCAGTATGCAAAAACAGTCCAATTAATGACATGCGCTCAACATGCAACAGCAGAGACTAAGTATCATGCCGTAGTTACTATGTGCTTCGACTACTTCGCCATTGTCATCGGCTACGCTTTGCATCCTGCAGCAATAAAGATTCCACTCGGTGGCCAATTCAACGTGGCTCCCTACATCCCCATCATCGGGCAAGAGGGCCAGAAGCGCTTCAAGTACTTCCTGAAAGATGGTAGGTACAAGCTATCGATGGACAACAAGAACGCCACTTATAAGCCTCTTCACTTCTCAGAAATGAATATCAATAAGGCAACTGACCAGATAGCCATCCCAGCTGCGCTCGAGGAGCAACCAGTCAAGGGCCAAGAGCATGTCTCCATGCCTCCGCGAAAGTACTTCTCTGGTCGCTCGCTGCTCGATCGAGAGCCGCAGCTCATCGCAGCGGAGCCCGTCGATGGTAAGTGGCTTGCAACCACCGTACGCGTACAAGTCAACTTCGCATATCCGATGATAACCATGCAGATCCCCATGACCGACTGGCTCTTGAAGCCTCAATCCAAGGATTGGCACTCGAAGCTCGCGTACGCTCCGGATTGTTTACGGGTCACCAATACAGATGCTACTGTCTTGCTGCAGCTTGAGCTTGATGCACAGAAGCAGGAGCACCCATACCACGAGCTGCCTGGGCTTGTGTATATGCAGGCGCTTGGTGAGAGTTTGGATTGGATTACGCGGTGTTGAACAACATGATGTACTCGGTCTATCGAGTGCGGGCGCCATATTGCTCGAAGCGTGCCGATTCCATCATCGACGGCGAGACGTCCGGGGGTGACACGTCTGAAGGTGAGGCTTAAGTCGATGTTTGTGTTTTGTAACCATGCTGGCCCATGGTATGAAGTACGAAGGAGGGAATTCAAGTTTCTACAATACAATTCAGTAGTATCTTTCAACATTTTCCCATGTGTGATACATTCTATTGTTTCTTGTTATTCATTTTCGCTTCATGAAGATCTTTTCGAGCATGCTGCACAAAGTCAGCGTTGAAGCTCTCCACACCTCGGCAACCCCAGCGCTTTCCCCGCGGGAATGGGCAGGTAGCCGATCTCACAACCAACAATGTCGACGTCGAGTATGGGCTATACGAGTATCGCAGCGCCCTCGACCTGCTGTCAGTTGCTTCACGACCTCCCATACACTTGACATCACGAACAGTACACACATAATGGCGATCGCAACCCACCAGCCACCGCCGCTCACACGGCTGCGCGTCCTCGAATTCGCAGGCCTCGCGCCAGGTACAATTCACAATCACCCACAACAAGACACCATGCTAACAGTACGCAGGACCCTTCGCGGGCATGCTCCTCGCCGACTACGGCGCAACAGTTCTGCGCCTCGACCGCGCACCCGCCCACAACTCCGGCGCGCCCAGTGACCAACTCACGCGCCGCAAGACGAGCATATGCGTAAACATGAAAACACCCTCGGGCCTTGAGCTCATCAGGAAAATAATCCCTAACGTCGACATCATTATTGACCCCTTTCGCCCAGGCGTGCTCGAGAAAGCTGGACTAGGGCCTGAAGATGTGCTGCTCAAGCTCAACCCGCGGCTAATCGTAGCGCGCATGACAGGCTTCAGGCGAGACGGAAAGTACAGCGCTATGGCTGGACACGATATAAATTACATCGCCGTCTCAGGTGTATTATCACTCTTCGGCAGGAAGGGCGAGAAACCGTATCCGCCGGGCAATCTCATGGGCGACTTCGCTGGCGGAGGCGCAATGTGCTTTATCGGTATCTTGCTTGCGCTGCTGGCGAAGGAGAAGAACGGGATCGGACAGGTTGTCGAGGCGAATATGGTGGATGGGAGCGCGATATTGGCGACGATGCCGAGACTGGGGTTGAAGAGTCAGGTCTGGGGCGCGGAGAGGGGGACGAATATGTTGGATGGTGGGGCGCCCTTTTACGATACATATGAGACGAAGGATGGGAAGTATACGGCGGTGTAAGTGCGCTCTGCGCAGTGTCATGACCTCGAGCTAACGAAATGTCAGTGGCGCGATAGAGCCTCAGTTCTGGGCTGCGCTGCTGAAAGGCCTTGAGCTGACGCCCTCCGACCTGCCTGGGAGTCGCGACAACAAGGCTGACTGGCCGAGGCTGAAAGAGTTCTTCACCACGGTGTTCAAGAAGAAGACGCGCGATGAGTGGGAGGCCATCTTCGACGGCACAGATGCCTGTTGTACGCCAGTGTTCACACAGCAGGAACTGGAAGCCCAGGGTTTCGACCAGCGGCCAGCAGTAACGTTAAAGTCATCACCAGGGTTGGCGATCCACGGAGGCGAGGATTCGAGACCTGCCGCCGTCGGACAAGGTATTGGTGTGGAAGGTAGTGGTTGGGTCCAGCGAGGATTGAAGGCTGGTGACGGCGGCGAGGAGACACTCGCGAGGTGGACGGGGTGGACGAAGGGTCGGCAGTTCGTAGACGAGAGCGGGTTTTTGGGGTGGAAGGGTACTGCGAAGCTGTGAATAAACCTGTCTTGCGGTCAACTGCCGAGACAATCTCTGAGCGAGTTTCATGTGACCGAACATGCGTTTGCCAGCAAGCTGAATGTACAATGCTTCTGTTGTTCCTACACATATAGTTATACACCCAAGAATCTCGCTCAAGCCCTTTGCTGCCTCTTCTTTGGCTTCGCTGTCTTCTTTCCAGCATTCCTCAACTTCTTCCTCTCGATGTTGGCCTGTATCCTGGCATTTGACTTGCGCCACGCTGTCCACCGGTCGCCTGGTACGAACTTCTTGACCTGGACGTTCGCCTTCTCTGCTGCCCGACCAATCGCCCAGTTGGCTTCGCGGAAGGCGTAGCCCTTCTTGGCCTTGGCCACTGCCTTCGCTGGTCGTGGTGTATCCATGATACTGCTGTCACTCCCAGGACCCTCTCCAACCTGCAAATCGTTGACCACAACCTGTGCTTCCGCTTCCGTCTGCGTCACCGGTACGGCCACGAAGCCTAACCGTCTTGCTCGCGGGGCGTTTCTTGGGTATGGTAGTTGGTGATCCTTCTCGAGAGCCACGCCGATATACTGGCGCTTGGGGTGCTTAAGGGGATCCTTGTAGTATCGAACGTATCCGGACTCGGTGGCGAAGATGCAGTGGTCACGCCCGAATTTACAGTTCTCGCCCGGGAACCAGTGGGTGCCGCGTTGGCGAAAGATGATGTTGCCCGGAATCACGTACTCTCCTGCATGTCGCGGTCAGCCCTCTATTTCCTTCGCTATGTCCCGAGACTGAGTTCCGTACCTCCGCTCTTTTTTGCTCCCAGTCGCTTTCCCGGCCCATCCTTGGCGCCGTTGGCTCGTCCTTGAGCCTGATGTGCTGAATGTCTTACGAAAGACAGGGTTGGTGCATGTGCGGAGGCGCCATTGGCAGTGCGGAGGGCATCGATGACGCGAGAGGCCGGAAGGATAAAGGTTGAGGGTATCTGTACTGATGCGCGTACGGGCGCGAGTATCCGTGGGAGCAGCATGGCTGCGCTGGTGTTGACGTCGCTGCTGGTCGTGGTTGCTGTCCGAGAGTTTTCGAGATGGCGCGTTCTCAATCGGGACTAGTGCGCTTTCATGGCCGCACCTGCAGCTTGCAGCACTCCAGGGCTCCTCACATCGCCTTGGACAACGAACACGACAACACTATTTGATGACTGCACTTCTACGGCTGGTTCCCATTCTTCTACTGGTATATCTGACTATCATATTCTGGAGGACTTCAGGAGCCCAGATGATAGCCGGAACCAGCTTCATTCACGTTCACATTCGCACGTGCATCAAGTACTGTATCTCAAGTTTATACCTGCGCAGTGCACTGTATCTGCAAAAATACCTGGCCGCAGACTTCGTCCTTGTTTCAAGAACCTGGGCTTGGGATGCTCTCCTCATGTTAGTCAAAGTGATGAAGAACTCAGTTGGCTACTATACTCGATGTTACGCTGGGCCTCTTGGCACGGGTGGTGTTTGCACAACAGCAGTCATCTCGCTTTGTAATGGACATTATCCGACGAAATGTAGCTACAGTCCTTCGGTTCCTACGAAGCTGCGAAGGGGTCGATCAAGATCGTCCTAAGACGAACGCTAGCTTATTGCTGGACTCACCACTTAATCTAGCATCAGCGCTCTCTGGATATCAACGAGACTTGGAGTAAAAGAAGGAGGCAGTCGAACAAGTATGTTTCATTATGATATGTATGCCGACAACAGTTGTTCATAATCAGTTGCTCGAAAACTGGTGTTCTACGAGAGGAGCAGAAACATTTGTACAACGTTTACATGCCGAGTCCGAAGCCACCATCAAAGGAATTCCAAGTCGAATCCCGCGACCCTCCAGAACGTGACACCCTAATTTTCCTACGCCACCAATGCCAAAAAGAAGCTGAGATGCAAAATATGGGTATCGTAAAAACATTCGGGTTCATCATAGTAACTCGCTGGCGATTGTTCAAAGTGTTATGGTGGTTCGACAACGACGTATACGGTCGATGTCGTCGACACCCCTTGTGGTTCTGTCCAGGTCGTGTCGCCCAGGGCTATGGTCTTCTAGCAGTGATTTCCATCACCACTGATGAGAAACGTTTAGCCAGACCGCGAATAGGTTGAAGAAGCGGCCTTTGAGAAGAGTACGACTTTGAGCTGTCGGTAGGCCTCGATAGCAGCCTCTCGGGACATGGCGTCGGCATCTGAGGCAGAGTGTGGTTGAGGGCTGCGTTCAATGGAGGATGTCCATGATGTGATAAAGGAGGCCCGTCCTGGCGTCAAGTATTGGTGTTGAGACTGTTGAGATGCCACAGAGGCCATGGTCTCTGACGAGCAGATGGATGATGTTCGTGATGATGTTCGTGGAGCCATTGTGGTAGCAGGCAACGTGGGTTGAGGGACGAGATATGTTCAGGGTGGACGATTTGCAAATCTCGTAGGCGGCCGTCAGACTATTTTAATCGCGTGGTAAGTCTGCGACACGTTTTGCACGATTCGGTATCCGAAGGCTGCGGGACGAGCCTTCTACTTGTCTACAAATAACACCTTATCCTAAGCACTAGATAAGAAATGCCATATCCCACCGGAAGATGATGACATGGCTACAAGGATTTGCGAAAGCAAGACGGAACGTCTGCCATTAGAGCTTGAAATAAGCGAGAACAGTCCAATGAGCGTGTAGCAGATTTGGTGGGCCTTGGTTTCATCCTGCAGATGAATACACCGTAAGAATGGGAATCAGGCATTCTTGACAAATTGCTGTTGTACGCGAGCTCTCATGCAAGCCTCAACCCTAGCCGCCTCGTGGTTATTTCAAATATCCCCAAACGAGATGGCGCTAGCGCACCTTCCCGAAACATTCTCCAACCATCGCCCGGTTGCAGTCACGCACGCACTCAAATCTCGTCTGCACTTGGTGTTCAAAGAAAGCTTAACTTGTCTTCAGGCCAATGCCGATGTGAGAAATCATTCACCTGGCTCCACCTGCACTCCTTCCACGCTCGCTTACGCGCCGAGAACCCTCGGGAAGTTCGACCTTCCAAGCTAAACACAACCTCCATGACTCCACCATGTATTGACTTCATATACTCGCTATCATGTCGGATCGGCTCGGATGTCGCTACAGGTATCTCAACACGCTTCTCCATGCAGCTCGAGTAACGTCGACCCATGAGACCTCCGCAACCTGACTTATGCGCCCTGTACCTCACCTATCACGATTTCGACATGGGTTCACCATGCCGCTGTAGCCTAACCAAGGCACCCACATGCTACTCCATTGACGATACGTCTTGCGTACGCTGCATCTCGTCACAGACTTTTTTGTATCAGACCGCTTACTTGCAGCATACTGACAAATATCGAGGACCACCGCCCAGGCTTCAAGCAAGCTGAGGAATACAATTTCATTCCACTATCTCCAAAATTCATATATCCCATATGCAGCCACTTGGACCGCCCCATCGCACTGCATCGCGGTATACCAAACTGAGGATGTCCGTCCTGTGGGTTTGAGGATCACCAAGGCTCGCAATGAGAACAACTCAAATACTTTGTGGCACAATAACGGACCATCTCGACGTGTTTGGATCTGATGAGTTCAAGGACGTCCTTCCGGCTGGAGTTATCCAAGTATCCCAAGGCATGCACATATCTTATGGCTGACACTAGCGTGTACTCGTCATCAATCGACAACTTCAATGTGTCCATCACGACAAATTCATATAGGCAACCCGGTTTGCTTTTCTTACCATGAGGCACAGCTGCTGACCAGATCTTTCCGTTGCCTGGCTCATCAGGTTGACGGACTCACGACGCTTCCATGTTTGCTATCATGCCCAAGCAGGAACCGACATCATCTATGTAAGATTTACCACTCTTCACTACCATATGGAAACAGTCTCTGAAATTGCCCTTCCGTTCTTCAAAGGGTAAGCAAGTCTCCATCGACATCCTTCCAGAGACTGCATGTCCAGGTCCGATTTCCTGTGGTCAGGCTACTATTGATCAATGTCCAACTTCACACCCTCTAAACTATGAGCCCGTTGTCCAGTTGGTACCATAACTCGATGCTACAAACCTGCTTTGGGGTGGAGGTGAGTTCATGATTGTAGTATGCATTTGCACTCATGCATCGTGACTGCAATCATCACGGGAGTACCACATAGTAACAATAAGGATCTGTGTGCAGCACGTTGTGTTGCCAACTTGAACCAGTGGTCGTTCTGTTGATGCCTATGACAACATGCGTTGACCCCTCAACCATATTTCAGGGCCAACTCGATGATTCTAGTGCACATCGGTTCCACACTCCTCGACCCCTGGCCCACTCTACCCAATGTTCATCTCAACGGTCGAGCTTGGCATCGCAGACAAGGGAATCGGTCTTTGTCAGCTCATTGTTGATATTACACGTGGACAAAGGACATTGGGACTGAGTGCAGTTGCATTGTTGTTCATCGCTAGTCACCACTCGCATCCACGGTAACAGAAAGCTTTACAGGCCATCGTCATCCACTGTTCGACGACCTTACATCATGTCAACCAGTCTCTGATACCATTAACGGTACGCCCCGAACGGAATGTTGGGATGACCCTGACTACAAAGCTCTCCACGCATGTCTCGGAGTACACCGCAAGCACTGTTTTCAGGTGTCTCACTACGGCATGCTCACGCTTCACATACTCGAGGCTGGGTGACAGTACGACCTTCACAAAATGCAGATACACTCTCCCAGCTGGTTTGTGTTGTCCCAAAAGGCAACGGCGAACCTTCAGCAGTCAGCTCTCATCCCAGCCCTCGTTTTTACGACCCTGGCTCTACTCATCGTAATACTCCGATGGTACAGCAGGATATGTCTTGCGCCAGGTACATGGCACATTGAGGACTTTGTTGTTACAGCTGCCTTGGTAAGCACCTTCCAGCGTCTTGATAACATCGGGGCTGACCCTAAACCAGCTTCTGTCTATCGGGATAACTGCTGTAGTTGGCGCAGGTAAGCTTGTCCCCTGCCAGCGTCTGATGATAGCCTAAGAGATTCTTACAGAGTTCGGCCTTGACATGACACCCGCCAAGGACGAGCAATCTACCCTTCGTCGCCTGTCATGCATGCTCAAGGTACACACACATCGCTTCGCCACCCTTCAGTCCCCTCTAACACCCCTCAGCTGGTCTTCGCACAATCCCTCCTCTATCAACTAGCAGTCAACCTCGTCAAAACCGGATTCACGTTCCAATACTTCCGCATCTTCTCCCATCTTCCCTATCCCAAGTACTACTGCTATCTCCTCTTCTTCCTAATCGTCGGCGCCACTGCTTGGGGCGTGTTCGGCATCATCTTTCTATGCAATCCAGTCAAGACGTACTGGGATGTCAAAGTCGACGGGCAGTGTATGAACGCGGAGCATCACTTTTGGAGCACTAGTATCATGGGTCTTGTGATTGACTGGGCGATTTGGGTGCTGCCAATGCCGATTGTGGGGAAGTTGAGGCTGCCGAGACGGCAGAAATGGGGCCTTTGGGGGGTGTTTGGGTTGGGTGGGTTGTAAGTTTGACATCTGCTCTGAAAGTCCTTGATATGTCGACATGCTGATTGACTGGTCGTAGCGTGTGCATTGTCAGTATCCTGAGATTGACGCTGGTGCACAAGGCTGCACATGAGGGCAAGATGACTAGTAAGTTCCCAATTTGTAACATTCTCCAGGATTTGCTAAGTTGATATAGAGTCTGGCACGTATGCAGTGGTTTGGTCCACGACCGAGCTCAACGTGGGCATCATCTGCGCGTCGCTGCTAGTCATGAAGCCGTTGTTCGCTAAATGGATCCCAGCTATAGTATCCGAGCAGCCTGTGTCGGCCAGTGAGGACAGGAGAGTATTGAGGCAGTTGACAGGATTGGTATTGTTGGATGGTGGGTTGGTGGACGAAGAGAAAGTGCCCGAGCAGGGGCAAGGCAGGCGAGATACTGGTGTTGTAGATCTGAGTCGTGGTCGCGGTAGCGAGGGCAGCGAAGTGCCAGTGAGGATGCAGGTTCTCAGGAGCCCAGTCTTGAGTACGAGTACAACCACAAGTGGTCCTAATTGATACCCCAATATTAGTTGTCGATTACACTGGAAGTATTCAGCACATAGCATGCTGTGTAGTCCTGTATTGCAGTGTTGTAGATCTACAATATCCGTTGTATATACACCAACTGTTCGAGGTCTCAAAACGGCTCTAGAACACCTTTCCATGCATTGTGGACGATTTAAGGCCCGTCTGCTGCACTGTCGATGTGCTTTTACCGAAATGACGTATGCCTCGTTATTTAGCAGCATTGTAGCTCTTACAAGCGTGTGTCAGAGCCCACAGAGGAGCTGAGTGCGCATGAGACGGTGCTGTGCATCTAATCACATTCAAAACTCTCAAACTCTTGTCGCATCCGGGGGTTTAACTGTTGACGGCATATGACGCTGATTTAACTTTGCCTTGTTGGAGCTTGGACCGTCGCGCTAACAGGCTGTGGAGCAACTCCAGCCTGCACCATCGTCGACGTTGATGCTCAATCGCCCTCGCCTTACCAAGCGACCCTCCCTCCTCGATCTTATTCAAAAGAAGAACATCTCCTATATCTCGTCTTTCTCGAGCAGTAGCAGCCTGTTCGAAGACGACGTCGAGCCGCGCACTGTCCCGCTCCCAAGGAGCCCACCGAGAACACCGCACCGCGAAGACGTCAGCGAACCACCGCCGCCGCCCATCGCATTGAACGACGATAGCAACAAGGGCCGCAAAGAGATCCCAGTAGCAAATATGGGTCCCGTAAGCTCTACAACAAGGCACAGTTGGTCCGGCGCAGACAGCTAATCGGCGGGGTGGCAGAAACCAAAGAAGCAGCAGGAGAAGCCCCAGCAGTCGCAGCAGGCTGAGGGCAAGCAGCCTGATGGTGAGTGTGCATTCTTGCGAACGAATATTATGTACTCGAGCAATAGCTAACAGCTTACAGGCCAGGTCTTCTCCGTCTCTGGGTACGTCACCGCATCGCACGTCTGCATCGCCTGCTAATTATTCTAGTCCCGTCATTGTGGCCGAGAACATGATTGGTGTTGCCATGTACGAGCTTGTATGATGTCTGAAAATCCATCAGGGAGGCATGGGCTAATGGCTTTAGGTCCGTGTTGGTCACGACAGCCTCGTAGGGGAGGTCATTCGAATTGAGAACGACAAGGCCACCATCCAGGTCTACGAGGAGACTGGTACGCCAAGCGCGAGGAAAATTACTGAGTTTGTAGGCTGACGAAATACAGCTGGTGTCACCGTAGGCGACCCCGTCCAGAGGTCTGGACAGCCTCTCTCCGTCGAACTCGGCCCTGGTCTTATGGAGACGATCTACGACGGTATCCAGCGTCCTCTCAAGGGCATCGCCGACGACTCGAACTCGATCTACATTCCCCGTGGTATCGATTTGCCCGCTCTTGACCGCAAGAAGAAGTGGGACTTCACACCCGGCAACCTGAAGGTTGGCGACCACATTACTGGTGGTGATGTGTTCGGAACCGTCTTCGAGAACTCCCTGCTCAGCGAGCACAAGATCCTCCTCCCTCCCCGCGCGCGCGGAACCATCACCCGTATCGCCGAGAAGGGCAGCTACACCGTTGACGAGAAGATCTTGGAGATCGAGTTCAACGGCACCAAGACTGAGCACAGCATGATGCACCGCTGGCCTGTGCGAGTGCCTCGTCCTTCCAACGAGAAGCTGTCCTCCGACCAGCCTCTTATCGTCGGCCAGCGTGTCTTGGACTCGCTTTTCCCCTCCGTCCAGGGTGGTACTGTCTGCATTCCCGGCGCTTTCGGCTGCGGAAAGACTGTCATTTCCCAATCTCTGTCCAAGTTCTCCAACTCTGACATCATTGTCTACGTCGGATGTGAGTAGTTCATCACAGCGCAAATCAAGTGGTAGCTAACGAGACTACAGGTGGTGAGCGCGGTAACGAGATGGCTGAAGTCTTGATGGATTTCCCCGAGCTGACCATCGACGTCAACGGCAAGAAGGAGCCCATCATGAAGCGTACCACGCTCATTGCCAACACCTCGAACATGCCCGTGGCTGCTCGTGAAGCCTCCATCTATACCGGTATTACAGTTGCCGAATACTTCCGCGATCAGGGTAAGGACGTCGCCATGATGGCTGACTCCTCCTCGCGATGGGCCGAGGCTCTTCGTGAAATTTCCGGTCGTCTCGGAGAAATGCCTGCTGATCAGGGTTTCCCTGCTTACCTCAGTGCTAAGCTTGCATCTTTCTACGAGCGCGCTGGTCGCGTCACTGCTCTCGGTAGTCCTGAACGCCACGGATCCGTCTCTATCGTCGGTGCCGTCAGTCCTCCCGGTGGTGATTTCTCCGATCCTGTTACAACCAGTACACTCAACATTGTGCAAGTCTTCTGGGGTCTTGACAAGAAGCTCGCTCAGCGAAAGCACTTCCCCTCGGTCAACACCTCGATCAGTTACTCGAAGTACACAACACCGCTCGATAAGTACTACGCCGAGAACAACCCCGACTTCCCTCGCCTGCGCGACCGCATCAAGGAACTGCTCACAACTTCCGACGATCTCGACCAGGTCGTGCAGCTTGTCGGTAAATCCGCCTTGGGTGATTCTGACAAGATTACCCTTGACGTAGCCACATTGCTCAAGGAGGACTTCTTGCAGCAGAATGGTTACTCTGATTACGACCAGTTCTGTCCGCTATGGAAGACCGAATGGATGATGAAGAACATGATGGCGTTCCACGATGAGGCACAGAAGGCAGTTGCGCAGGGACACAGCTGGCCCAAGGTTCGTGATGCGACATCAGAGATCCAGAGCCAGCTGCGCAGCATGAAGTTTGAGGTCCCTTCTGAAGGCGAAGAGGCAATCACAAAGAAGGTAAGTCAGGATCATCCAGCCCACATGCAACGTCCACTAATGGCATCTACAGTACGAGCAGCTGTTGCAGAAGCTGACAGAGAAATTTGCCTCTGTCATCGACGAGTAGACGCCAGTACAAGAAGGCGTTGTTTGCATGGCGAAGTAGTCCCGAGTATATTGCTGAACATAGAATGTGAATTGTATCAAGAACGAAATGCTGTCGCCTGAAATCGCTGACGACGCTTGCTCGTGCCCTGTGACCGCAATTTTCGTCATGCTAGGCTGCGCAACACCAACCTAACAGGAAAAGGCCAAAACAGGCTATTTGTTGCATTTGGTAGTGATTGTCATGTCGTAAATGTCGATTTCATTCACTTGTAGTCGCTAAAGCGTGCTCTTCAGTGAAAGTCCAGGGTCTCCACGCACTGTGACGAAAGCTACTCAGCCACAGTGGCGCTCTTAGTTCGGGAACGCATGTGGGTTGCATAGCTGCAACTCAACGCCCAGAATCCCAAACACACCCGCCATCGGCGACCGAGCGAACAACTTCCCTCTTCCTACATATCCTCCCTCGTGCACATATTGACTGCGTACTCTACAACACCTCGCACATTCGCCCACCATGGCGGCTAACCCTAATGCGTACGTTTTGTTCTCGAGGGGCATCTGGGGATGCGGTCTGGAGTTCAAAGCTAACAGGGTGACAGCATCAACGTCAACGACCCTAGCTTGATCACCCTTGTGAACAAGTTGCAGGATGTCTTCACCACAGTCGGAGTATGTACTTCCTCTATCCCGCCGCAAACGCGCATGCGCCGCCTTGTCTTGCCCGCGACGCACCCATATCGAAGCGTACAATACTGATGCCTGTCTCAGGTGCAAAATCCCATAGATTTGCCCCAGATCGCCGTCGTTGGATCGCAGTCTAGCGGAAAGAGTTCAGTACTCGAAAACATCGTCGGTCGCGATTTGTAAGTGTCTCGAGAGTGTGCGCTTTATCGCAGCTGTTGGGCACCCATACTGACTACCTTTCCCCAACAGCTTGCCTCGAGGCTCCGGTATTGTTACCCGAAGACCGCTCATTCTGCAGCTGATCAACCGCGCCGCGCAATCGAACGGTGTAAAGGCGGAGGAGGTCAAGACCAGCGACGCCGAGTCCAACGTCGACGAGTGGGGAGAATTCCTGCACATTCCCGGCCAGAAGTTCCACGACTTCAACAAGATCAGAGAAGAGATAATTCGCGAGACAGAGGCAAAGACTGGACGCAATGCGGGCATTTCACCAGCACCTATCAACCTGCGGATATACTCGCCGAATGTCCTGACCCTCACCCTCGTTGATTTGCCCGGTCTGACACGAGTGCCAGTTGGTGATCAGCCAAGGGATATTGAGCGACAAATTCAAGACATGGTCTTGAAGCAGATCAGCAAGCCCAACGCCATCATCCTGGCTGTCACCGCCGCGAACACCGATTTGGCCAACTCAGATGGTCTGAAGCTGGCGCGAGAGGTCGACCCCGAGGGTCAACGAACGATCGGTGTCTTGACAAAGGTCGATTTGATGGACGAAGGAACTGACGTTGTCGACATTCTTGCTGGACGCATCATCCCTCTGCGACTGGGTTACGTTCCAGTTGTGAACCGAGGGCAGAGGGATATTGAGAACAAGAAGGCGATTTCCCATGCTCTCGAGCACGAGAGGTCGTTCTTTGAAAACCACAAGGCATACCGTAACAAGGCTGCGTACTGCGGTACACCGTACCTCGCTCGCAAGCTCAACTTGGTAGGCTTTGAGCTGGCACAATGCGTGGTACATCTGCTAACGTTGTTAGATCCTCATGATGCACATCAAGCAAACCCTCCCTGATATTAAGGCGCGCATTTCCTCCTCGCTACAAAAGTATCAGCTCGAGCTCGGTCAACTCGGAAACTCCATGCTTGGCAACAGCTCGAATATCGTTCTTAACATGATCACAGAGTTTACGAACGAGTACAGGGGTGTCCTTGACGGTAACAACCAGGAGCTATCTGCGACCGAGCTTTCGGGTGGAGCGCGTATTTCCTTCGTCTACCACGAGCTGTACGCAAATGGTGTGAAGGCGGTGGATCCTTTCGACCAAGTCAAGGACGTCGATATCAGGACCGTACTCTACAACTCTTCTGGCTCGTCGCCGGCACTGTTCGTCGGTACAACGGCTTTCGAACTCATTGTCAAGCAGCAGATCAAGCGATTGGAAGATCCCAGCTTGAAGTGTGTAAGCTTAGTCTACGACGAGCTGATCCGCATTCTCGGCCAGCTCTTGAACAAGCCAACCTTCAGGCGTTACCCAGCACTCAAGGAGAAGCTGTACGCTGTTGTTGTTCAGTTCTTTAAGAAGGCTATGGAGCCCACCAACAAGCTCGTTCGCGATCTTGTTGGCATGGAGGCCGTATACATCAACACTGGCCACCCTGATTTCATCAACGGCTCGCGCGCCATGGCCATTGTGCACGAGCGACACAACTCTACCAAGCCGCAACAGGTTGACCCTAAGACGGGCAAGCCTCTGCCACCCCAGGTACCTCCACGATCGATGTCACCGTCTCTGGGAGGCTCAGATGAGAGCGGCGGCTTCTTCGGCTCTTTCTTCGCTAGCAAGAACAAGAAGAAGATGGCGGCTATGGAGCCTCCACCACCGACACTGAAGGCTTCTGGCACCCTCTCGGAGAAGGAAGCGCAAGAAGTCGAAGTCATCAGTAAGTGCTTGCTATGCACAACGACCTATATTATGCTAACGATTTTACAGAACTCCTCATCACATCCTACTTCAACATCGTCCGCCGCACAATGATCGACATGGTTCCCAAGGCCATTATGCTAAACCTCGTTTCGTGGTCAAGGGAGAATATGCAGGGCGAGCTGCTCACCAACATGTACAAGACCGACGAGCTTGAAGAGCTGCTGAAGGAGTCCGAGTACACAGTCAGGAGGCGGAAGGACTGCCAGCAGATGGTGGAGAGTCTGACGAAGGCGCAGGAGATTGTTAACCAGGTGCAGTAGATGGGAAGGCTGGGTGGTTAGATTTCTGCTACTTTCTCCGGGCTGGCATTCTCTGTAGGGTGTTCTGGTGCTAGATTTCTGTCGTGTAGTCAATTGAGCGCACTTTATATCCACAGCAAATAAGAATGAAGCGGCAGCAACACAATGTGATGATATATCGGTGACAATCATGGGATTACTGTTCGCTTTGCGCGAGCAACATGACTGCTGTGCCTACGAGGTTAGCTTCCTGTCAAAAGTGGGGCTGCGGCTGCCTCGGTCCTTCCAGCAAGCCAAATGTGCGGTCTTTTCTACACCCGCACACATCGAATCCCTTCTTCACATGAGCCCATTCTAATTGCAAGACGTCCGGCGGCATTTCAATTGACCCCTCCAAGCAATGCACCGTTTTTGTACATGAAGAGCTTGGAATAGAATGGATCATACTCCCGCACTAGCACCTCTTCATGGCGACAACACATAAACGAACGCGAACTGGATGCTGGACATGCAGAGAAGCTGGATACAAGTGCGACGAACAGAAGCCTTTCTGCCAACGATGTACAAGACTCAAGATCACTTGCAAAGGTTACGGTGTCAGACTCAAGTGGCAAGATCATACTGTCGGAACGGTGGTGAAAAAGCCGCGAGCTTCTAGGAAGAAGAAAGTGTTCGATAACACCTGTAGTTCCATTCCAGCGAGCGTTATCAGTGATGAATCGACATCTTCTTCATTCACGAGTACACCTACTACGTTGCAATCGCCTATGTCAGTATTCAGTGTCCCACGCACACCCGTCCATAGCACAGGTCTAGGTCCGGACTTCTCTGCAAGCGATAGGAGACTGCTCCACTACTGGGTCGAACAGCTCTCTTCATTGATCTCCGTAGCCCCGAGAAATGGCAGGCCGACCCCGTTCCAGCTCCATTTAACGTCAATGGTGTACGACTCGACCGCTCTTCGATCGACTGTACTATCGATGGCAGCGCACCACCTGGCTCTACAAACTTCGGATCCGTCACTGCGCTTCCAGGCTTACCGTCATCAACGCGATGCTATTCATCTGCTACAGGATCTTATCCAGGACCCTCGACAGGCGCACTCCGAGTCCGCGCTTGCCACCGTGTTGATGATGCAGGTTTCAGCACGTTTGTTTGGAGAAGACGATGAAGCAAATGTGGTCAATCACCTGATGGGAGCCAAAGCCATGATTGCCAGACGTGGAGCAGATGACTGGCTGGGTCCATCAAGCGCACGCTTTCTCTTGAGCCTCTTCGCATATCATGATATTCTCTCGTCCATCTCACGAGGCCATCGACCTTTGTTCGATCACGGAGCAGACTTCAAGGCAATAGAAGGCGTAGAAGATATGCGCAGCATCGCTAAGGTCTTGTTAATCGTTGCGCGAACAAGCCAACTTCAACACGCAATCAAGATCGGACGAGAAGGTGGCAGAGAACCTGCACTCACCGAAGAGGAAGACGCCACTGGCCGGGATCTCCAGCAGAAGCTGCTAGCCATGCAATTTGATGCTCAGCGCAACGAGCCTCACAACAATTTAGATATCAGCCTCACAGCTGAGGCCTACCGCCACGCCGCATTCATCTACCTCTACCGGACCTGGCTTGGTGTGGGCGCCCCGAATCCTATCAGCATTGAACACATCCAGAACTGTTTAGCCTACATATCACGAGTTGACGTGACATCGCCTCTCACATCTTCACATGTCTGGCCGTTATTCACAGCAGGTTGCGAGGTCATCGATAACACACAGCGACAATTTGTGAGAGACAGATTCCAAGCCATGTATGCCTCCAAGTTATTTCCGAGCTGGAATAGGGTAATGCGAGATATCGAGGACGTGTGGGCTGCCAAGGATGAGGAGGAAAGAATGAAAGGGCAGGATGGGATGGCGAAGGTGGATTGTATTCAGGTTATCTTGAGGAGGAGAGGAAGGGAGGTCGATCTTGCGTAGATTCAAGATATCTAGGTCATCTATTACAATCACCCAAACCTCTCAGGCTATGTATGGATAAAAATTTGTGCCATCTTCCTCCCCACATGTTGTGAGCAAGATACAAGTGAGAGACCGTGGCTGTATAACTTCGCTTCTTGAATGAATATTCCGCAAATATCAGCACACGTCGGAGCAATATCGAGAGAACATTCGCTGGGCTTCAGCGTCCACCCAGTGCAATGCGAACACTCTCAACCTACTCCATCGTGCTGAGGTATCATTCTCTCGACGCCAATTGTTACTCTTGAACAGGAAGGTATAGCCTTCATGATGATCAGAAGGTAAGATGAGCCGACCGAACTAGCGTCATGTCTGTGCGCCCAAAAGTTCCATTGCCCATGCCCGCGGCTTTGCGATCAACAGTCGCAAAACCGCAAAACACATTTTGCCCAGACAACTGTTATTGCTCGTTAACTCTCTCACTCACATCAATACAGTTTGAAGCAGAAGTGCCTACTCCAACAATATGTCGGGCAGCACACCAAAGTCGATGTCAAATCGGCTCATGACAATGAAGGTAAGCTTTCCAGACGCGTGCACTGCAAGACGATCGCCAACAAGAATACAGTTCATGCAGCGCTCAGCAGCAAAAAACGTAGCGTCCTCACCAACAACACCAAACGGCCCCGCCTCAAAGAAAGTGCGACTCTCCAATGGTAGTTCGGCTGCTGCCGACCAACAGATCTTGCAATCGGCGCTCGCCGAAGAAGCGAAAAAGCAACAAGAGGCGCTCGACAAAGCTGCGCAATACACAGGCGAAACAAAGTGGGTGCTCAGCTACAGGGATCCACTAGAAGGCAAGCGAGGTGATGCTCTCAGCGTCAGACAGGCAGGGTTCGCAGAGCTCGATGCAGAGGACAGCGAAGACGAGGACGACGGGCCAGCGCAACCAATAAGAAAACAGTACGGCGGTGGTGTAAAGCAGGCAGACGTATGTTGCAAGAAGGCACCAAGCTCTAGCATTGCGCGCTGACAAAAAACAGAAACCTGTGTTTGAGAAACCAGACGGCTCCGAAGGCGAGACCGAATCCTCCTCTGAAGACGAATACGATTCGGACGATCCGACCGCCGAGCTCATACGCGAGACGAAGCGAGAAATGTCTTCCAAGAAACGAGAATCGCGAAAGAGCCTGGGGGGTGCATCGCCGAGAGGAGCTTCCAGACTGGTCAACGAAGACGCCAACCTCGATCGCTTAACCTCGCTGAGCGGAAGTCGCAAGCCTGCAGGGCGTGACATGAGCAACATGGAGTGCTTCAAATGCGGGCAGAAGGGCCATGCGAAGGCAGATTGCCCGAACCCTGGGCGAGGCTCTGCTGGACGAGGCAGAGGTCGAGGCGGACGAAGGTAAAGAAGACGCCACGTACCTCATATACCTCCAACCAACCCGGACGCCTGGCGGTATCTGGGCCAAGTAATGCTACAGTAGAATGCTAGCTCACCGAACAGAAAGCGCTACAGTCGATCGATTGTGGCCCATCTGCACCCAAACAGCGCCCTTTCAATCTAGACGCGCTGCGCGCTTGGTTGCAAAACTAGTTGAGAGCTGAGAACGTGAGAGTCTTGTCCATAGCAATGCTCTGTAGGCCTGCGTCGACATGAGGGGTCGAGCTGATGTTTATTCTTCCCCGCACACTGTGGCTGGCAGCTAAACGTATGGCGGGTCAGCCGCAAGCCATGGCAACTGCTGTCAGGCTATAGCACTCCAACAGTGTCCTCACGTGCGGTACAGCGTCCAAACTAAAACAGCGAACAGCAAGTGGCACTGCTCCGGAGCGTCACTACGGATGCCATCCCGGTCCAGCTACGCGTTCAGTGGAGCTGAGAAACTCATGAGATGATGCGCCGTGTAATGGAATTCGGCTGTGAGCTGACAACTCCTCTCATATATAAGTAGCTGCTGCTGTTCGTAAGATAGGTAGAAAGCAAAGCAGATCACCGTCAATACCTCTCTCGCCTTCAGATCCCCAGTTGAACACAATGTCCGTTCCAACGAGGCCAGCATTCGTCCACTACGGAACCTGGGACGACGAGACCCGCGCCCACCCAGCCATGAAGTGGATGTGCGTCCCTCCCCGCCCACACTCCCATTTCCACCCATCTAACCCCACACCAGGGAACAGTACACCCTCACCTACGACTCCAAAGCCTACGACGAAATTAAGAACAACCTACTGACCGACGACCACCTCCTTGTCCGCACCACGGGCCAAAAGCACCAAGGCGCCCAAGCCTCCGCCGACGCCATGTACAAGGAAATCTACGCCCCCTTCGCCAAATGGTCGCACGTCCCGTACCACATCATCGCCTACGAAGTCGACGACGGCTGGGAGATGATGGGGCTCGCGACGCTGTACTGGACGCTTGCTGTCCCTGCGAAGCAGGAGAGTGGTGACAAGGTGAGGGATGCGGAGGGCAATGAGTGGGATGGAGCGAATCCCGCGGCATTTAATTTTAGGTATAGAAAGGTTGGGGATGGGATTCGGTTGGCTAAGACGGAGATTGCGGCGGATCGGACGGCGGCGGTTGTAGGCATGTTGAAGAGGGGGATGATGAAACCTGAAGATTTGCTGAAGTAGGCTTGTGAATGAGGTGTCGAGGCGCGATCGAGCGGGGGTTCGTTCTCCCTGCTCTTGTGACCGCTGCGATGGGTACACAATTCGTAGGCAGCGCAGACTGATAGTGTGTTCAGCCCACTTTCTCCCCGTTCTCAATCAACATGTATTCGTCGCCGACCATCAGCTGCATCTGGCTGTCGTCCATGAAGTTCTCGTGATCGCCGTTCAATGCCGCACCATTCTTATCATACAGGAACTTTGCCAGACACAGGTAGTCTGGGAACACAAACGTACAAATCGCATCGTAGTCCATTAACTTCGCTCTGCCATGCATGATGTCTTGAATCATCTTCCTGTCACGCTCCAGATGATACGTCAGGCTGTAGCTGATGATGCCGTGCCTTTGCAGGATGGGCACGGCGCGCTGAGCATGGTTGTTATTGTAGTACTCGACGAAGTCGGCGTCTGACATGCCGTCCTTTTTCTTGATGTAGACGGTGGCTTTGACGACTTTGCGGAAGCCGGTGGTGTTCGGGTATCCTGCCTCGAAGGCTTTGGGCACCATGATGGACGGCTAAAAGGGCCGCGATATGTGTGAGATTTGAAACGCAGCGCCGTGCCTATGATGGTTGTACAGACACGGGTGCAGATGCCTGACCACCTCCAGAACTGTTGAGCCGCAAGGCTTTTGCAAGCCTTTTGTCTAGCCTTATGGTGTGCATGGCTCTGATGATGTATCGACTAGAGCGGTATAGCAGCTGTATGTCTTGCGCCCCAGCTCACCGGTACCGAGGAGCCGGATCCATATCGATAAGTCACCGCAGCAGCATCTTGCCGGCGCACTTCCACATTCCCTCGCATTCCACGCTGTAGCTGCTTACCAGCCTCACTTCACCGCCCTTTGTTGCCGTCGTGGGTGCTGGCCCAGATTGCGCGCACTTAATTGGCGCACACAAGTTACCGTGCTTGGTTTGACAGCGCGTTACAAACGCGCGCGCTGGAAACAATTCTACCCCACTGTTCTCGTGCGTGGATGAAGCCTGCCCAGTATCTGGGGAACTTGTGCCTCTTGCCACACACTCGATCGCTCCTTCTTGCACGCTCACCCACTGTCTGTGAGATTGCGCGATTCACGCCGTCATCTACGTGTCCTGCTGTCCTGCTATCCGCCACTAGTTCCCCACGTCTGCCGCGCCATCAGCGTTCGGCGACTCACCCACACACTGCCTCGCGATTTCCGCACACTGCTCGCCGACACTGCACAAACTCGAACACCGCCCGGGCAGCGCACACAGACACCATGGGCGAGCCGCTGGCAAGGGAAGCTGTGAGGGAGCGCATCGAGAACTTGGAGCGACCGCAGCTCGATGACCGCTCCTATCGCATCATCACGCTGCCAAACAAGCTTGAGGTGCTGCTGATACACGAGGCGGGGAGCGACAAGGCGGCTGCCGCGCTGGATGTCAACGTGGGCAGCTTCAGCGATGCCAAGGACATGCCGGGCATCGCCCACGCAGTCGAGCACCTGCTGTTCATGGGCACGGAGAAGTACCCAAAGGAGAACGCATACAACACGTACCTGACTTCCCACGGCGGCTACTCGAACGCCTTCACTGCCGCCACCTCGACCAACTACTACTTCGAATTGTCCTACCAGCCCGCTACGGAAGACACAGACCTCGACTCAAAGGAGGATTCGCCGCTGTGGGGCGGGTTGGATCGATTCGGCCAGTTCTTCATAGCCCCGCTGTTCCTCGAGGACACAGTCGACCGCGAGATCAAGGCGGTCGACTCGGAGAACAAGAAGAACCTGCAGAACGACACATGGCGGCTGCACCAGCTGAACAAGGCCCTCGCAAACCCCGAACACCCATACTGCCACTTCTCGACGGGAAGCTGGAAGACGCTGCACGATGACCCGATTGCGCGAGGCGTGAAGATCCGCGACGAGTTCATGAAGTTCCACTCCAAGCACTACTCGGCGAACAAGATGAAGTTGGTTGTCTTGGGCCGTGAGAGTCTGGATACATTGGAGCAGTGGGTGGAGGACGTCTTTGCGCAGGTACCGAACAAGGACTTGCCCAAGTCGCGATGGGACATGCCGGTCTACACAGAGAAGGAGCTGCTTACACAGGTTTTCGCAAAGCCGGTCCTGGAGTCGAGGTCGCTAGAACTTCAGTTCTTGTACCGCGACGAGGAGGAATTCTACGAGTCCCACCCATCGAGATATCTCAGCCACCTGCTTGGTCACGAAGGTCCCGGCAGCATCCTTGCATACATCAAAGAGAAGGGTTGGGCGAACGGACTGGGCGCGGGAGGGTCTACCTTGTGCCCTGGTTCTGGTCTGTTCAGCGTCAACGTGAAGCTGACAGAGGAGGGTCTGAAGAACTACAAGGAGATCACGAAGATCATCTTTCAATACATCGCTATGATCCGCGAGCAGCCACCCCAGGAATGGGTAGTGGACGAGCAGAAGCGCATCAGCGAGGTCGAGTTCCGCTTCAAGCAGAAGAGCCCGCCGAGTCGAACCGCGAGTGGGTTGGCTGGTGTCATGCAGAAGCCGTACGATCGCACAAAGCTTTTGAGCGGCCCAGCAGTCATCAGCAAATTTGATTCCAACCTCATCAGTGAGGCGATGTCGTACCTGCGACCCGACAACTTCAGGATGACCATCGTTAGCCAGGACTTCCCGGGCGACTGGGACCGCAAGGAGAAATGGTACGGTACCGAGCACAAGGTTGAAAAGATTCCCGAAGACTTGCTCAAGGAGGTCAGAGAAGCGTTTGAGAGCAAGCGCAGGCCCAAGGAGTTACACTTCCCTCACCGTAACGAGTTTATTCCGAGCCGTCTAGACGTTGAAAAGAAGGAGGTGGAGACACCGGCCAAGGAGCCAAAGTTGATCAGGCATGACGACAATGTGCGCATCTGGTGGAAGAAGGACGACCAGTTCTGGGTGCCGAAGGCAAACGTTCACATTTACTTCAAGACGCCGATTACATACGTTAGCGCACGAGTAGTGCTCATTTGCACGCTCTTCCGTGAGCTTGTCAATGATGCGCTTGTTGAGTACTCATACGATGCCGACATCTCAGGTCTAGTATACGACTTCAGCAACCATATTAGTGGTCTTTCGATCACTGTTAGTGGATACAACGATAAGCTGCACGTTCTACTTGAGAAGGTTCTTCTGCAAGTACGCGACCTGGATGTGCGCGAAGACCGCTTTGCCGTCATTCACGACAGGATGTCACGATCTCTGCGCAACTGGGATATCGGGCAGCCGTACGGACAAGTCGGCACCTACTCACGCACATTCAAGAGCGACAGGAGCTTCATGAACGAGGACCTGACGAAAGAGCTGGACAATGTGACAGCCAAGGATGTGCAGGAGTTCTACCCTCAGATCCTGGCCCAGTGTCAGATTGAAGTTCTAGCTCACGGCAACTTGTACAAAGAGGAAGCATTGAAGATCACGGATCAGGTCATCGAGATCATGAAGCCTAAGCACCTTCCGCCGAGCCAGATTCCCATCCGACGAAACATCGTTCTGCCTCCCGGTAGCAACTTCATCTATGAGAAGCAACTGAGAGACCCTGCGAACGTGAATCACTGCATCGAGTACAGCTTATACGCTGGCAACCGATATGACAACGACCTCCGCGCCAAACTGCTTCTTGTCGGACAGATGACCGACGAGCCGTGCTTCAACCAGCTGCGAACTATTGAGCAACTCGGCTACGTTGTCTTCTCGAGCGCAGCCTTCCACGACACCTGGGCAGGTTACCGTATTCTGATCCAGAGTGAGAAGGACTGCAGATACCTCGAAGGTCGCATCGAGAACTTCCTGAACTCCTTTGAGAAGACACTTCAAGAGATGAGCGAAGAAGACTTCGCGAGCCACAAGCGAGCCATCATCAACAAGCGTCTGGCGAAGCTGAAGAACCTGAGTCAGGAAGACAACAGGTTTTGGAATCATATCTACAGCGACTCGTATGATTTCCTGCAAGGTACGTACCCCTTGAAACTACCAGATTTACCTCCACTGATTTTTTTTTATAGCCGACACCGACGCCGAGTACATCGGCAAGCTCACCAAAAAGGACCTCACAGACTTCTACGCGCACTACATGTCCACCTCCTCTCCTCAGCGTGCCAAGCTCTCCGTACATCTGCAAGCGCAATCCAAGCCCAAGGAGCCTACACTCGACGAGAAGAAACAAGCCGCCATCGCTGCGCTCAGCGTCGTCCTCGGCGAGTACAAGATCGAGGCTGATACCGAGGATGTCAAGACCCGCATCAACGACGTCTCCTCTGCCGAGTCCATCCCTGACGCTGTTGCCACATACCTCAGCACCCTATCCCTCGACAAAGAGATCACAGACAAGATCCTCGACTCCGCGAAGGCGGCACTGGGTATCGCCGACGCTGGTCTGCCCGCCGAGCCAGAAGTCAAAGAAGACGCAGCGAGCTCGTCAGGCGCGGGCCAGCCGGTTCTCATCAAGGATGTGTATGCATGGAAGGCGGGCATGCAGGTCAGCGCTGGCGTTAAGCCGGTCAAGCCACTGGATAACTTTGTCGAGATTGCGGAGAGGCTTTAGGAAGGCCTTAAGGATCTTAATGAGAGAGTGTCTCAGTCTGAGGGGGAGAACGGGAAGGAAATAGGGTGGATGTACTTCCGGATCGAAGATGACGCGAATGAAAGCATCTAAAAGTGTGCACGCTGTAGATGGATGGTGGGCGGGGGGTTTTTTTTTGCAAAGGGAATGTGCGGAAATCGCTATCAAATGCGATGCTATCTCCCCAGTCTGCTTTGATACTTCAATCCGTTCGTTGCTCATCGTGCTGTCTGATCTCTACATCATACTTTCCGTCTCGGAGTTCATCAACAGATACCGGGTGGCTAGGCAGTCCTAAACTCCACGCCCGCGGAAACGACATACCGTATCGACACATTAATCTTCTCAACTCGTCCTCCGTTCCAGGCACAATGTTCACAAACAACCTGTCCATCCCACACGGTGGCTCAGAATGCACTGCCCCTGCCTCTTCACCAATGCGGAAGAACGCTACCTCCCCATACTCCGCCTGCACGACGTCTTCACCCGCGAATGAAGTAGCGCAGGTACGGCGGACGGCTTCCCCTGTATCAAAACAGCCCGCGCACCGGATCGAGGAGCAAACGTGTGGACGCTTCTCGCTCTCCTTCCTCTTCGTGTCGCGCAATATACGCAGTGCCGCCGCATTCCTAGATTGCCGCAAAAACAGCGTCGAGGGGCCGACGAGCGTGGTGCACAGTTTCCAACCCCCTTCCCTACTCTGCCTCCCCGCTCCTTTCCCTTTCTTACTCTCCCCACTCACATCCCCTGGCGCGGAAGTGCTGGATAGAGGCGACAAGAAGTCGTCATCCACATGCCACCGCGGCACATCATACTCCTTGGTCGGCGTTGTTGCGCGCAAGGTTAGCCAGTAGTGCTGGACTCCCGCCGCGATTAGGAAATCTTCGAGGAAGGTGAGGAGCGGGATGAGGCGCGTGAGTAATGCGGATGGTGGAGTTACTGCGATGGAAGACCAGGCTTGTAGTGATGAGGGGAGGTGAGGCGGTGTGAGGAGCGGGCCGCAGTATGTCCATGTTGATGTGTGCTTGATGTTGAAGAAGGGAGGGTCTGCGTGTGGTGTGGAGGGGAGGTAGGGGAGAAACGCGTAGGCGCCGTGCTGGTGGGATGGATCCATCTTTCCAGATGTTGCAGATTTCTGGACCCGTCACGTTCGTTCTATGCGTCCCTTTCTCTTGAATCGCTCGATCACAGATCGGGCAGGGCTTCAGGTGATGGCGCAAGTCGTTTTGTGGTAGGTTTCAATGCGCAGCTTGAAATTAAGGGACGCTATTCTGTGTGTTTGCAGGTGCGAACGAAGCGTAGGGCGCCCGAATTCGTCGTTGATGTTCAAGGTGTGGAGGATAAACAAGGATGGTAATGCAGCGCGTCGACGCGTCGAAGCCGAGGCGCACGATGTTCGAACGTCATGCGTCAACGGAGCGCTTGAACTCTCTTCACATCCGTTCTTCAAGCCTGCCCAAGCTCGGACAAAAGCACATCCCAATCGCCCATCATGATACAACGAATTCTCCTACGAGCAGCGCAGCGCAGAATCCCAAACATCCACACCTTCCGCCCTCGACGCTTCGCAACACAACCCACACCACCACCAACCTCCGCCTCCCGCATCGACCGCTTCAACCGCCGCCTCCCCAAATTCCTGCACAAATACACCTCCGCGCTCGCCACCGCGCCCCTCTCGCACATAACCTCCTTCCTGATCCTGCACGAACTCACCGCCATAGTCCCGCTACTCGGCCTCGCAGCCACGTTCCACTACACGCACTGGCTGCCCTCCTGGTTCGCCGAGGGCGCATGGGTGCTCGCCGGCGTCGAGCGGTTCGGGGCGTACTTCAAACGCAAAGGCTGGGTCCGGAGCGAGGACGTCGCCGAGGCGGAAGTCGAGGTTGAGATGCGGAGGCGGGATCGGGTGTGGAATTTGGGAGAGGGTGGGGCGAGAGTGTTGGTTGAATTTGCGACGGCGTATACGATTACGAAGGCGTTGCTGCCGGTCAGGATTATGTTTAGTGTTTGGGGCACTCCGGGGTTTGCGAGGTGGGCGGTTCTTCCGGTGATTAGGAGGTTCAAGACCATGTTTGGAAGGGGGAAGAAGCCGGACGTTAAGAAGGCGGCGGGCACTGGAGCTCTTGAAGGTGGTGCGGTGCCATTGAAGGCCGCTGAGAAAGCTACGAAGAGTTGAGGAAGGATGATTCCATAAGCTGCAGCATTGTTGAGTGATGGAAGCGCTCCAGATCTCGTTCGAACAGTGTTACAGCTGAGGCACATTCGATTCAGCAAGATTCAGCAAAAGAAGAAACAGGCCCTGCAAAAGCGGTAGCTCGCAAAAGACAATGGAAGCTTGGATAGCCGCACTCAAGTGTCCACGTGCGCGTACAGTGGAGAGCAAGGCACTTGTGGTGAAGGGTCTTCCTCGGACGATAGTACGTCAACGGCCGTTTGCTGTCCACTCCCAATTGCACCAAAATTCTCTCAGCCTTTCTCATTCGACAACAAGTCGCAGCACCAAAATGTGTTTTGACGACAGGACCAGATACACCACGAGGACCCGCGTCCAGAATGGCGTGCGGTTCCAGGAAGAGGTGGTCATGCCTCGACACCGAAGCTCCTGGCGCCGCAGGTATGGAGCGTCTTACTATCCTTCGAGGTACTATGCTCGCCCTCCTAGAGCTCACTACGTGGGCGGCGCCGTGTCATACCCTGCACGGTACCCTGCAAATGTTGGCTACCACCGAGCCATGGCTACCTCAGCAATGGTACCTCGAGGCTACGTACATAGCACTGGTAGCTACATGTCTGGGGGTCGCGCTCTCATGCCGAGCGCCTACAACATGGTGAGTGGACAGTTTCCTCTCAATTTCGTTTGGTCTCCCCTCGCACTTGCCTTCATCACACCGCTTGTCCACGTGCACTGGCTCGAACTGGACCTCGAACGCTGTTAGTCAGTCTGACTCAACCCCAAAGACGCTTCCTTCTCATCTGCCTGGGGTTGCTTCTTACCTACCTTCACCCCGCCTTCACCTGCGCCTTCTTCGGCACAGCTTTTCCTCATCGTCCCACACCCCACCACCACTTCCCCAACACAACAATCGCTTCCACTCGCCGAGCGTCACTCAGCATCATGGTCATGGAGGGCTACCCAAAGCCGCGCCACAATTACGTCTACACACCTCGATACGGTCAGCGCGGCGTCCTCACCTACGCAGGCCAGCAGGCAAACGGCGCATACCCCTCCGGCGTCGCTGGCGGCATCATGACCGGCTACGGCTACGGCTACGGCGTTGGAGGTGTAGGTTACGCTAGCCCTGCATACCCGGTATACAACACTTCAACTTACTCCTACCCATACTCCGGCGCCAGCTACTACGGCTCGAGCTACTACCCAAGCTACTCCACCTATGGTGGGCTTGGAAGCTACTACAACTACGGACTCTATGGCTCGATGTACCCACTTGCTAACTTCTATTCTCCATATCAGAGGTCTTACTACAACACGGTGCCGACTTACGGACATACGGCATACGTCTATCCGCCTGGCCCAACTACGACGACGACCACCTACCGCGTCACCAACAACCATGTCCCAGTCACCACTGCGCCGCAAGCCCCAGTGAGAGAGACAAGGACTGCATGTGCACACACTATGACACGCGAGGACATCCAGATGGAAAACCGAAGGATTGCGACGGAGCGCGGTGCATACAGCGCCAGGAAGATCAAGCCCGCCGATGCTCGCGACGACGACCCTTTCTGGTGCCGGGAGCGCAACGGCGAGTGGCACCTAAGGACCTTCTACCAGATCGAGAACGAGTGCTACCCGGGTCAATGGCTCATGGACGCCGAGCTGGGTTTCCTCGTCTTTCACCGCGGCTGAAACTGCCCCCCCCCCCTCCTGTTGGATGATCACATCTTGGATCTCGAAACACGATCTGCTGCCATCTCCAATACCTTGACAATTTCTACACGGCCTCCAAATTGCGAATCGGTCTCTCCCGCCCCAACATCCTTTACGTCACGGCGCTTCTCACCCAACGATATCCAACATTCCCAGAGCCGACGTTCTCGCCACAAAGGTCTCTCGATATTTCGTGGCTGGCGTTTGGAGGATTGAGTGTATAGCCGGCTGCTTGGTATACTCAATACATTTGTGTACATTTATTCGTGACGCCTTGTTGCCTCCTCTTCTACTCATATACACGGCTATCGTGTCACTGCCTAAATCTTCGACCTCTCTTGATCATCCAGATCTCCTTCCCCTTCAGTTTAGTTCTTCTCGCCCTGAATCGTCGCAACAATCTTCCTCGAATGCTTCATATCCCTAAACTCCAAATACCAAATCCCCTGCCATGTCCCCGTATTCAATCTTCCATTCGTAATCGGAATCGTCACGCTCGCGCCAATAAGCGCGCTCTTCACATGCGCAGGCATATCATCACTGCCCTCCGCATCATGTCTGTACAGGCCCTGCCCCTTCTTGTCCTCCGGCACTATCCTGTCCAATGCCGTGCTCATGTCGGCGCGCACATCCTCGTCCCAGTTCTCGTTCAGCGAGAGCGCGCAGGACGTGTGCTGGATGAAGAGGTTGAGGAGCCCGGTTTTGTAGTTTTTGATCTCGGGGAGCTCTTTGAGGATTGTGTCGGTGATTAGGTAGGAACCGCGGCTGCGCGAGGGGAGGGTGAATTGCTTTTGAAACCTGTATAGCACTCGTTAGCTAGGGTTGGGAAGTGTGGAAGGCGTGGGGGCTTACCAAGACATGGTTGGTGGTATTGTGCAGATATTCGGACTCGAGCAAAGCACTGTGCTGCGGGGTGCTGCGACAGGAATATAGTATGAGGCGAGCGAATTGTAGGGGGCCCAGAGAACTGAGACGAATGTTGCGGGGAAGAGGGAGAGTAGAAAGAAAGCCGCGATCAAGAAGGTAGTAAGTGGGGAGATTGAGGTGTGTTGTGAGGACATTGGGGGTTTGCGACCTGTCAAGGTGCGCGGAAAGAGGCTGATGTCATGGCGGCGGCTGGCGGGGCGGGGCAGGAGCGGAAGGAAAGACGTGGCGGAGGGAAGGTGGAGACGAGCGCAATCTGTCGACCCGTGAACCTCCCCGATCTCTAGACCTTAACAACTTGGAAGGCTTGACCAACGATGATAGCTCCAACGTGCGAATTCAGGACGAGATGCTTGTTCTGCGGATTGAATAGTTGTGTGGCAAGGCTGTCGGCACTTGGCGTAAGATCCATCAGCTCGCATCACTCATCACCATGTGTCTTCCTACGTCGAGTGCAATAACTTGAAGGAGCAGGCTCTGGCACTTTTCCGATCACTGTACTAGCCTCAGATCACGCCTGAATACCAAGCGATAGCTAGGCTTCTGTGTAGAAATGGCTACTATAAAATCAAGCGGCCCAGGGCGCAAGCAGAGAATCATGAACGGCTTCACGATACTGTGGGTCAGCCTGCGGACTGATACTACTCTCACTTACCCATCGATAGACACATGGCATTGAAACGTTCTGGTCCGCCTTTGAAGTCAGCTTTGCGAAATTGGACCGAGCTAAGATGGCTCTCAAGTCAAGATCTTGCATTGTACGGGTTAAGCTGCAGAGCCTGTGGCTTCTCGGATTTCTTTCGCCATTCGACCAACGCTGACGGGTACACGCACCTCGGACAGACCGCATTACGAATCGGTAACTTCCGGTCTGTTTGCCCTACCTGCGATGTGTTTATACAGGTCTACGATCGTGTCTTCGAAAACCAAGCAGAGAAACCGTCACGTGTTTATATATCTCACAACAAAGCGGGCGGGTTCTTGAATCTTCAGTTCTTCGATTATGGTACCTCAGATCGGCTTTTAACTGAAGAGCACTGCCATATCCATGTCTTTTCCATAGGTTTGTGCTTATCGTGGCCTGAGGATGTCCATAGCTGAATGCCTCAGAACCACGCAACATACATAACCCATTTCCTCTGTCGAAGTACCATGTAAGCTTGGATCCTGCATCAGCAACATTACTGAAAGAGATCAAAGCTTGGATTGATCAATGTAGAGATACCCATCAAGTCTGCAGTACATCTGCAAATGAGGGTACATCTAGGCCAAAACGCTTGCTAAGGCTTGATAAAGACATTTGCCTGGCTTCGCCTACGGAACCAGTCCGTTTCGCTGCGCTGAGTTACTGCTGGGGCACAAACAAGCAGCCGATCACGACGAACGCGAACCTGACGACTCGTTATGGATATCTTGAGTTCTCGAATCTTCCAAAAACACTAAAGGACGCCATCTTCGTCTGTCGCGGGCTCGGCTTGAGCTACATCTGGATCGACTCTCTTTGTATCGTACAAGATGACGGAGAAGAGTGGGCCACCGAAGCTGCTAAGATGGCAGACATATACTCAAGCGCGCACGTCGTCCTCGCGGCTTCGCTGGCGGCAGATGCCACGCAGGGTTTTCTTCATCCACGTCACCGCCCATTTGAGATAGTTACGAGAAACAAGAGGCATGCTATCACCTTGGACGCAAGACAAATAAGTAATCATGACGAGGTTCGGCGTGCACACACTGTGCGAGCGAATCTTGATCATCTGCCGCTTTCCAGAAGAGGATGGGCAATGCAGGAGGGCGTATTGGCCACACGAATTGTTCACTTTTGCCCCGACGAGGTCCTTTTTCAATGCAAGACGGGATCCAGATGCGAGTGCCAAGGAGAAGAGCCTAATCATATCATACGCCCCGCATACAATCTCGCCACATGGCCCCCAACAGATCCGCAAACGCTTCGAGCGCTCTCCTTGGACGATGGTGCAGGATACCAATTTTTCGTGGAGTGGACTAGAGTTGCTCGAGAATTTAGCTCTCGAAGCCTCTCATATGCGAGCGATGCATTGCCCGCTCTCTCCGGTATTGCTCGGCGCACCCAATCGCTGCATCCTGGGCAATACATTGCAGGCATGTGGGAGAAAGGCTTTTGTTTTCAGCTAGGCTGGTACCTGAACTCGAGAACGGAGTCAGCAAAGATCGTTCTTACCAGGCCCACATTCTCCTGGATTACTGCTCCAAGAAGTATAACATACGCGCTTGCCTATCAACCCGTTCCAGTATGTGCTCTGCTCCATGCTCAGAGCACCCCAGCCACAATGGATCCATTCGGACGCATCATCTCTGCCAGTGTCACTCTTCGTGGCAGCACCGTTTCGGGAACTGACTTCGTACTGGAATGCATGAACAGGCCTAAATACATGGATCGTGATCCGCTCCAGGTCAGCATTGATGCCTGTGCTGGTCATCTCTACTATCAGGCAAGAGGCTCGAGACATTGGTTTGCGGGATTGGATACTGTTTGTGATTGGGCCTCGGTTCTATGTTTTGGCTTATATGCTGACGCTGAATCTGCGAGGGATGTTGAAAGAATTGTCATGCTCCTATTGCAGTGTGAGCCAGACACAGACTCATTCGTGAGAGTTGGTCTTGCAAAAAATATGGAGAAGAGCTGGTTTAATCAGCGAGCGACAGAACGCACCGTTGTCATTGTGTGATTGCAGTCACCGCATTGTAGTCCTTGTTTACACATACTCAATCGTGTCATTCCACACCGTCCCAGTCCGACTTGAGACCTGATCTAGAGCCGTTACAACTCGATGCGGTTAGATCTGTCCGCAATGGAAGAGAAAGGGCATCAGATTAGGATTATGGGCCAAATCGACAGTTACGCCGAGAATGTTGTGGTGTACTTAGGTCGGCCTACTGATCGGACCGAGACGGCATGCAGGCCTTGCATTTCTTCACCAACAACGCCGCTGGTTTACCCAACCTTCCTTGGACGTACTCTACTCTACCTGGGGTCGAGCAGGGTCTTGCAGACATTTTGACTCGACCTTGGTTCCAGCGGATATGGACCGTTCAAGAAGCTACGCTAGCTCAACATACAACTCTCCTCTGCGGCGAGCACCAGGTTTCGTGGAACGGCGACCTGCAGACGATGAAGTCTCTAGTCATCCGTATCGAGGCCACAGCCATCTCACCGTTCTTTGCATGTTATGGTGAACTGCCCAGCACACTCGACTGGAGCCCGCTCATGAACATCCTCGAGACACAGATGCGGCAGGCTGCCGAGAGGGAAGGTGTAGTTCTTAAAGAAATCATCTCGATCTTGCTTTCGATTTTCGACACCGCCAATCGACAAATCCAATGGATCGATATCTTGCGATATTCGGAATTATCGGGAATGACCAAGGTGGCCAGCTCAGTGTGGCGCCGGACTACCAGAACGCCAAATTGCAAGACCTGCATGATAGGTTCCTGGAAGAGGTTTGGCGAATCGTTGCAGTGGAGCAATCCTGGAACTCGAATCTGGCGAACCTCCGCCTTCTGTGAGGAGAAAACGCGAGTGGTCATCTACTTACAGTTATCTCGACTACGCTTGTGGGCTTCCGGCTTGGTGTTCCTGTGTCGTCGTAGATTACGAGAAAATATCGCGAAGTGGCTCTAGCGAACAACATCAGCATACAGTACGGGTATGGTCCGAGAAGTAGCAAACATAACATCTTCTTGCTTTCACTATATATTTACAAGCACACATCCTCTCTCTCCTTTGCTTCTTTGATCTACCGTTGTGCGAGAGGCTCGTTTGTGACCTTCTGTGCCTCGTTGACCTCAGCGGCGTTGCCCTTGGGTCCGAGCGGGTATGAGAGCTGGTCTGCGGGAAGGGACTCGAGGTGTGCGCGGTGGTGCTCGTGAGCCTGTACTGTGTCAGCCTGAGTCCACTCTAATAGGAGTGCCCAAACACCGTGAATCTGGATCTCGAACAGGATCTTGACGTACGAAAGGAAGACCGCAGTATGTGCACCAGCAGATCTGGGGCTTATCGGTGTTGATGAAGATCCTGGGGTGACCGAGGGGGCCGCCTCCGCCATCGCAAGAAACGATGCGCTCGTGCGTCCAGCGAACGGGCTGCTGGTGAATGAGGTCGATCGCAGCGTATGGGCGAGGCTGCACATAATGCGTCAGCAATTGTTCTATCGCTCCCTTGGAACACACAAGTCCTCCTCCACTCTTGGAAACCCCGCATATTTCCCTCAATTGCACTTGTCCCGCCCCAGTTGGCATATATGACGTACCTGGTCCTCCATAATGCTCTGCTCGAACCTCGGTCCGCTCATTGCAATCTCCCTGGGCTGCTGGCTCCTGCTCCAGATACCCTGGCGGTTGGGAGCTTGCTGCTTCCTCAGCTTCTCGCCTTGCTCGACGCTTTCCTGCAGGACCTTGTCGAACGCGCCTTCCGAGGAGGTAGCGGTCGCATTGGTCTCGGAAACGGTCTGCACTTCTTTGCGCGCGACGGGGTCGTTGGCGGGCACTTCGGCCTTCTTCTGCGACGAGTAGGTGGCCCGGAAGGATGGGGTGGCGAGGCGCAGGGCGCTGCGTGCGCGGAGGGTTCGGGAGAGCATTGTGTGTTGTGGACAGGCGGACGACCGGCTGGAAGTGCTGGGGTAGGCGTCGTGAACTATGATGAGGTTGTTGGAGCTGCGTGATGCGCCAAGAGCGTGTTATGTAAGCACGACGTTCATTGGCTCTGCGCCTTGCTGCACCTTCTTCACCAGCAACAATGCGACTTCCCCTGAGCTTCTTGTATCAAAGAGTGTACTCTTGGAAGCTCGCGAATGAATGTTTGATCCAATCTGGACACGCCCGAAAACTTCGTCTATTTCTGTGCCAGCCATGACCTAGAGCCTCTTTACGACATCACGACGGTGCATCCATTGAATTAGGTAGGGAATATTTCGCTGCTGCCTTGCAGCCATTACGCTTTGGCTATTTGTGCACCGTTTCTCAAGGTGGTTGGATTGACATCCATTACACTCAAATCGAGTGACCGGATATTCTCCGGACATCAACATCCGGCTCTCCTCGACACCCGGATTCACCAATATATACTTGCGCATCTCACATCTCGACACCATATCCCTTGCAAAGCAAATCAAAAACATATCACACAATGGTCGCTTCAATACCCAACGACATCTTCCAATTCGGCACCACCGCCGCCACAGCTGCCGGCTTCAGTCAAGGCCAACCATGTACAGCAGACCTCACATCCCACGGCACCGACGGCATCGGCAGCTATGAAGACGGACGTCTCATGATCCTGAATAACGGCGAAGCCTACGCCCTCTCAAGTGACAACAAAGCCACCCCAGCACCTATGGACACCCGTCTCCCTTTCGCAATGGTCACCATCTTCCGCCCCACATTTCGCATGGAAGTACCATCCCTCGACATGGAGAGTCTAGATGATCTGTTCTCGAGTCCAAGATTGGCGCATGCGAGGGCTGTGAATACGCTTGCGCCGTTCAAGGTTGTGGGCATGTTCAAGTTTGTGGAGTTCGTGGATGGCGGGGAGCAGCATGATAAGAAGGGCATTGTTTTTGGGTATGTAGTGCCGACGTGGATGAAGGGAATTTGTGGGCCGAGGATACATGCTCACTTCTTGGCTGATTCGGGGGACGTTGGTGGGAAGGTGGTGAATTTTGAGACGGATGTTGCTACTTTGAGCTTTGCGAAGACGGGGAGGTTTCATTTGGGATTCTCGAAGAGTCAGGATTGGGAGGATGTGAGGTTGTAAGATCAATCCGCGAGATACACTGGCGACGATCTACTCGAATCATCCCTGGCGCAATCTGCGCCGCGCATTGCGTGTGTTACCGCCGTAACGTGCAACGGTAGTTTGGTTGCATTTGGGCTTGCTTTGAAGAAATCCAGAAACATTCGCACCGTGTACCGGGGTCATGGCAACAGGGTCGTACGGTACTGGCGGGCATGCAGGTGCGTGCTTACCAGCTTTTGGCGTACGATGGGCTAACCTTTTGCGAAAGCCTCTGACACCACGAGAAGATTGCTAGACTTGCAGGAGTATATGAAAGTCAACCCTTCCGCAGACCGATCTACATCTGGAGGTTAGATATTGTCAAGCATGGCTACACAAGTGCCATCCATAGAATCTGGCAGTGACGTCGAAGTCGAGAGGCGCGACTATCCAAATACGTGAACGTTCAAAACTGTTTTGTCTATTAAAGTAACAACCACAGCAAAATGGTATCGAAGCACGTTCTTCAGCATGACCATCCTTGGTCTTTGCCACGTCTCAGCTCCTGGCATTTGGGGCGCAATGAACTTGCTTGGAGCTGGAGGAGCTCAGTCACCCCATCTCGTGAACGCTAGTAATGCGCTCACTTTTCTGCTTGATGGTGGTCAATTGCTACTTTAGTAGTGCCATCGTGCACTACATTGGAATGAAAGGAGCGTTGATATTTGGAACAATTGGATATACTCCCATATCCACTGTTCATTCTTGTATCAACACATGGAGAAGTGGCTGAGTCAACACCTCCAGTTTGCCTTTCATGTACTTTTTATGAAAAGTGCTTCTATTTTGTGTACATTACTGAACGACATGCCTAATGCAAAACAGCTACAAGTCGGCCTCCACTGATCTCCCTTTTCCTCATCCTGTCGAGACCTTCGTTGATCGCGCCTAGTCCGTCTACTGTCCCTACAACGTCTGGTGGCACCAACAAGCCCTTCACAAGTAATCTTTCGCACCAAGCACTCAGCGCCTCGCCGACCTCTGGGATCTCGTGGTAGAGCTTGATCGGTACGTTGTGCAATGTTACGTCTTCCGGAATATCGGTTTTCGGCAGTCCCGTCAGTCCTACCAAGTGTGATCGTGGTGCACCTTCTGCAAACTCCAGAGGTGTCGATGGTGGGGTGGGGAGCTTGGAGTCTTTGCGCTCGTAGTTCTGTACATATTTTGGCAATGAAGAGATAGGTGAAGTCGAAGACGATAGTGAGCGCAAAAGATAAGCAGCAGTTTCCTTGCCTACAGTGTCGAAGCCAAAGCGTGCACTGTCCTTTGTCGCTCGCTTGATGATGTCGATCGCTCTTTCGGGATCGTGCGAATCTACGAGCAAGTCCGGACGTGTGGCTGCGTTCGAGGACAACCTTATTCCATGCTTCGCGTTGTCGACAACAGATACAATCTTTAGGCCCATCAACCTTGCAATCTGTTTTGTGAGATGCGCGCTTGTCGAGCTGCCGCCCCAGATGACGAGGTAGTCTCCAGCTTTGGCATGGTCCACCTTGCTTATGTTTTCGAGGCATTCTTTCCGGATATCTGCTGGCAATCTTTCGGGATCAATGTTGCGCACCATCTTCAAAAGGTCTGGTCCATCTTCGACATTCTCGAAACTGACGCCCATGCAAATGCCTAGCGCCAATACTGCGGACACGAAGGCGACCCCTAAGATACTTCCAGACTCCGCCGAAACGTTATGAGGAAGTCTTATGGTGTTGAAGGATGACGCTATGCTGTATTCTTGGAATGCGGCCTTACGTAGATCGCGATAGTCGGTTGATGGTATTGTTACAACATCGCCTTCGCGTACACGAGCATTGGGGGCCTTTGGTGCCTTGACGACCACACCAGATAGTTCGCGGCCGGAGATGAAAGGAAAGACAGGTACACCGAAGTTGAAGTCACTGGTCGGTTGTTAGCAAAAATGATCAACACCAGGTGTTCGAAAGGGCGCACTTACGGCGACTTCCAGTCTATGGGGTTCAGGCCCGCAGCAGTGACCTTGACTAGTAGTTCTGTGTCGTTCTGAATTTCTGGAACAGCATGATCGATAGCAACCTCGTATGGTTGACGGATTGCATGGAGTAATAACGCAGATTGTCGTTCGGGATGTGTTTTGTCTACCTCGTTGCGCTGGAACTGGTGCTGTGCGCCATCGGCCATACTCTGTGATGCTGTAGTCTCCGATCTGATCTGTGTTGGTGCCTTCGAGATGCTCTTGGGTCGCCACCGCCAGGGAACCATGATGATATGAATTTGGAGAAGTTGACGAGTCTGAGTGTTCGATAGTCAGGACTCTTCTGTTTGAAAAGAAGTTGAAGTACGGGTTCAAAGATGGCGTAGGATGCGACTGCAGCCCAGCGGCCTGGTTCCGATTCCTGAAATGGCATTTCCGGACAGCCGACTTCGTCATTCTACAGGGTGGTGAGCAAAGAAGCTAGTGGGTAGGTACATGCATACTTCCATCACTCGCGTCGGTGTCTACGGCCTCTTCGCGGGGACTGTTTTGTCGGCATTGTAGAGTCCAATGGGGTGGTAATCATCTTGGTGGAGAACGCCCGTAATAAGCCGCTAGAGCCCGATTATAACGTGGGTAAATTGAGGGACCTAAGGGCCCTGTGTCAGTGACATACCGCTGTACGAATCCTTATTCTATTGTCCTACGCTGATTTGTGTTGGGGTCGGGAGATAAGCGATTGCGTGAATACAGACCAAAGCACATCATCTGCCCCATAGAACTGAAGCAAAATCAACAGCGACATCGGATTCATATGTACCTATGCAAACCTCAGGAAGCACAGAATAACTCAAGTTAAGAGCACGACATCCTCCTGGAAACATACGAAATCGTGGCGCCTCAAAGAAATGGATCGTGAATGTGCTCGTGGAGATGTGTAAGTTCACGTGACCGCGCGCCAACCCAACGTCATCTCCGCCAACCGCGACACTTCCCCGCTTGGCAGACGCTTCCTTCTATTCGTATTGGTAGACGATAGACTGACTTGAGAGTGAACCAACAGGCAGTGGCCATCAGTCGCCTGGACTATGGAGGCACTTGGAAGACCACTCGCATGAGTTCGGCGATGTTAAGCACTGGGTTGAGCTTGCAAAGTTGGTGGAAGTAGCCAAATTCCACGGTATCTTCATTGCCATTGTCCTCGGTGGCTATGATGTTAGGTTTGAAACGAGAGGTGTGAAAGCAAGTTCCAACAAGCTTGAAGGTCTACAATGGCAATCTTGATGCTGCAAAGATCTCTGGCACACAATGGCCTGTCAACGAGCCACTTAGTGTCGTGAGCGCGATGGCAGCAGCGACGAAAAGCACCGGCTTTGGTGTAACAGTGTCGACGTTATATGAACAATCTTACCATCTGGCTCGTAGGTTATCGACGGTTGATCACCTCTCGAAGGGGCGGCTGGGTTGGAACATAAGCCATTGTGGCTCAAGCTGTCAAGTGCAAGACTAAGGTGCGTGCAGATCGTTACTAGTTACCTCGATCCAGCTGCTCGTAACATGGGCTTCAAGGAGCATGTGACAGTAAGTACCGCCAATTCATGGTTTTACAGCGCTAATCGTAGCAGCATGACGAGAGGTACGCGCAAGCCGAAGAGTATGTGAAGGTAATGTACAAACTCTTCGGATCGTCGTAAAGAGACGATGCAGTTGTTCTGGACCGCGGGAAGGGATTGTACACTGTCCCAGACAGGGTCCGCAAGATCAACCACAACGGCACGTACTTCACAGTACCCGGACCTCACATCTGCTAGCCAAGCCCACAACGTACTCCGCTCCTGCTCCAGGCCGGTACCTCCAGAGCTGGTAAGCAGTTCGCAGTACAGAGTACGGAAGCCATCTTTGTTAGCGCCTTCAGTTCTTCAGTACCCGCCAAGAGCATTGCAAAGGTTCGAGAGCTGGTAGTATTGTAACATGGACGGGACCCCAACAACACCAAGGTCCTTGCCTGGTAACTCCGATCATTGGACGGACAGAGGAAGAAGCTCAAGCCAAATTGGCTGATTATCGATCCAGCTATCTCTGAACTACAAGAGTGGCCAGTGAGGCAAAGTCGGGTCCACGACTTACATAGTCCTCATCGCATGAATTGACGTCCAGCCTTTCCGACGTCATAAGGTATGGATGATCATATATGCATCAACAGAGTTTCGTGAAGGCAGCCTTGGGGCTGTCATATAGATGTAGAGGTTGCGATTCACAGGATCGAATTACACATAATGGCTACATCATTGTGATACCCAATGCTACTTAGAACTCGTGTTGAAACCTGGTGTTGAGACAAGAAATGATATTAGTCGAGTATCAGAGTGTTGAGATGTTCCATGATGGACGAAAGGAGATGTGACAGCTATTTGCTGTTAGGAAAAAAGTAGACATGTCTCGCAGCCAGGAGGGCAAAGCCAAACAATGAGAGAGAAAGCACGCGAGAAGGGACAAGTGGCGTTGAAAGACGACTGTGGACGAAGCTAGTAAAGAGATGATGTGCACAATGAGAACAAGTGATGAGAAACAGGCGATGATGCCAAGTCGCAGGTGTACCTTCAAGATCGTATCCCCGATTCTGAAAGAAGTAGAATATAGCCAACGGCAATAGTGTAAGTACGTTCAAGATTGCATTTCCAAATTCCACCACGCGCCTGATGGAGGTCCACAATCTTTTTGTACAACCCTTGAAGCTTTGCTTCCAGTATTTGTACGTGAACCCTCAGATCGTAAGACTCCATGGGTCACATCATTGTTCGGTTCGTCAAGCTCGATCCCTTCGATCGACACAACAGCCGTCCTGTTAGTCTCTCCAATGCATCGCTGCACTATCGTTGCTCTAGGAATTCAGCTTTCTTTGAGCCATGTCGCAATGTTTTTCGATCTCTGCTGCCTTTGTCAAGATTCGACATCTTGGTCCCGGAACTGCCTGAGAATTGATGCGTATTCATCCAAAGGAACGGTACCAAATTGAGGTGAAGAGGTATATGTCTCGAACCAGCCAAGAGCAATGATTGTGCATTCGAGACGATAAGAGAGACGTGAAGAATCGGTAAATGTAACATCAATGATTCCGAAGTCGTGATCTGGATCACGAAAATTTCGAAGGTCGTTCTTGGTATCTATTGAACTCTACATACACCGTCAGCGAACAGACAACATACCTAGGACGCATCAGCGCTCTTCAAATGCTCATCGTAGAGCTTCTTCTGCTTCTCCCACTCCTTCTTAAGCTTCTTGCTCGCACCCTTCGAGATGTCCTTGCCCTCCTTATCCTTCAATGGCAGCCCATCAATGTCCCACGCGCTGTACTCAGCGATCTTGAACATATCCCTGGGGTTGATCTTGGCTTGCTCAGCCAGCTTGGCCTGCCTTTCTGCCTCCTCGCGCTGGCGTTTAAGCTTGGCCTCGGCCTTCTGACGGGCGATAGTCTCCTTCTCGTTGCGTGCGAAGCGCAGTTCAGCGTCAACGGGGCGCACCATCGATGGGAGGTTCTCGCGATCTTCAATGTAGATGCCGAGGTCCCAGAGGTGTGTGTCACGCAACGCGTCGCAGAGAGCAAGGAAGTCCTTAGCAGGGGCCTTCTTCTCCGCAAGATCGCGCAGGCTCTCTTGGAAGGTGGACAGAACCTCAGCGTAGGGTATGGCGCTGATATCTTGCTGTTGTGCGGACTTGTGCTGTGCGATGATAGACTCGAGAACATCCCCTGATAGGTCGCCAGCAACAGCGTGCTTGCGGACTTCATCGCGTTCGCGAGCAGCGGCGTAAACAAACTCTTTCGCTTCTGAAGGGATGTCAATGCCAGTCCAACCGATACCACCATCGTATGGATCTGCGTTCCCATCGAGACCGAAGATGCGGACGATGCGAGTAATGTAGCGAGCGATGTCGAAGGCGACACTGTCAGACAGATCAGCTGGCTTGGCAGAGTTGCAGGCTGTGACCAATGTCGAAATCGCACGTGTTGCAGTGGGTGTGTCGAACGAATCTGAAAGCGCGCTGTGGACCTTCTCCTTCGCAGTCTCGAAAGCCTTCAGGATTTGTTCGTCCTCCTTACCCGTTGAGTCGATCATAGGGTTTACCTCGCGGTCGCGGACCTTGTAGAAGAAGTTGCTAATGCTGCTCTCCCATCCTGAGCCTGCCTTGCGCATAGCATCTGTGATCTCGATGCCGTCATGCCATCCTCCCATAAGGAAGATGATGCGCAAACTGCGGGCGGTCCAGTCTCCACGCGCCAACGCTTCTCTAATGGTTGTGAAGTTCTTGAGACTCTTCGACATCTTGCTACCAGATATCGACAAGTGGCCCATGTGCAAGAAGTAGTTCACCCATTGGCGACCACCCTTGTCGCCAGACCAGTGTGCTTCCGATTGTGCGAGTTCGCTAGAACAAGTCAGTAATCTGAAACACTGCAGTGAAACATTTGATACTTACTTGTCGTGGTGAGGGAAGCACAGGTCGATACCACCAGAGTGAATATCCATCTGCTCACCAAGCACGTCGCTGGCCATCACAGAGCACTCAATGTGCCAACCTGGTCGCCCAGGGCCCCATGGTGACTTCCACGCAGGCTCTCCAGGCTTACTTGACTTCCACAGGGCGAAGTCAGCCTCACTGCGCTTCTCAGACGTCTTCGCCTGCGACAGAGCACCCTCGCCGTCTGCCTGCAGTCCCTTGTCTCCACGATTCCAGGGCTCTAGACGGGCGTAGTGGTTGCCAGGGATCTTCTCGAAACCGTCGATGTCGAAGTACACCGAGCCGTCCGTTGTCTTGTAGGCGAAGCCGTTGTCCACGATCTTGTTAACGAAAGTGACAATCTGATCACCGTATTCAGTGACTCGAGTGACGACATCCGGATCCAGAACGTTCAGGTTCCGCATGTCTTCCATAAAGCGCGCCTCGTACTTCTGAGTAAGCTTTGTGAAGACTGTGTGGTCACTAGCATCGATCTTTGAGCCGTGCATCGAGTCCAGGTATGGTAGCAGAACATCTTCGGCGCCAGCGTAGAACAGCTCAACGTCTTCTGGGGTAGATTTCGACGGCGCTAGTAGCGCTGTCGCTGCAGTCCCAACGGTCTTCAGGTGCATCTTGATCTTGGCCTCCTTGTCGCCTGGAGCACTCAGACCATCTTCAGACTTGCCGGCAATGACATTGGCGTACTTCTCAGCTGACTCCTTGTTGAAGTTCTCTGGCGAAAGATCCGAGCTCAGTAACGGGAGGTTCTTCTTCACGTAAGCCTCAAAGGCCGCAACGGTCGTGCTCGACACTTCGTCCGATATTGTTGGGTTCTCGGCCTTGAATTGTGCAAGAAGGTGCTGCTGGCGTCCTCGCAGAATGATCTTGTCGTCAACGTCGGTGATGTTCTGGACGAACTGCAGGTTGTAACCGAAGTAGCCCGCCAAGATTCTTCTCAAAACATCAATGGTAACGTAGTTTCGTGCATGTCCAAGATGGGCATCGTCGTACACTGTGGGGCCGCAGCTGTACCATTTCACAACCTTGCCCTCAGGATCGATGGGAATAAAGTCATTCTTTGACCTTGTCAGAGAGTTCCAGACTTTCAATTTTGCCGGCACCGTAGACTTGGGTTCATTCCATGGCGGCTGGGTGCGCGCTGGTGTCGCCATGGCGGCTCTGAGTACCAGCTGCAAGGGTGGATTCTTGAAGTTGGTCCTCGAATGCAGGAGCGGGGAGCTAGTGGGAGTGAGGATTCTGCGGGACAAAGAACGAAAAGCAAAGACCATCAAGGAGACGGTAACGTACAGCAAGAAAGGAACGACAGGACGAACGAAGAGGGAAATAGCAAAGTGGAGTCAAGCTGCAGGAATGGCGAATTGGGTGACTCAGGATGCTGCAGTCGTCGTGTCCCCTTCATGAGTCTCGCGCGCGCATGCCTTGGCGTTCCCCGCCAATTGCAGGGTCGAAAGCTCCCCGCTAAAATTATTCTTCGAGCTTCACATGAGCGTAGAGGTGATCGATATCTCTCGATCTACAGCGAGCCATGGCGCCTGTCATATCGCCCTTCCTTGATCCGGGAACACATTCTGCAGCGCACAGTCTTGGGATAGTACAATTGCGCCGCGACCACCTCATACCAGCTGTTCTTGCGCCGAACGGCGATTCAGACTATGCAGAAGGAAAGGTCGAGAACACACGCTTTGGCTCGTTCCCCCACAGCACACTTGTCGACCAGCCATGGGGTACACAGGTGCTAGCATCAGTCGTCGACACAGGCTCGAGAGGGAAATCGAAGAAGCGCAAGAGAGACGGGAAGGATGAGGGCGCAGAAACACCCACAACAGATGCTACAGAGACGAAGAAGGATATCGTTAAAGCAGCAACAGCCAGCAGCGGTTTCGCGCATCTGATACCGCCAACACCAGAGACATGGACCCTCTCCCTCCCTCACCGAACCCAAGTAGTCTACACCCCAGACTACAGCTACATCCTCCAGCGCCTCCGCGTACGACCGGGCGACCACCTCATCGAGGCCGGCGCAGGCAGCGGCTCCTTCACGCACGCCGCCGTGCGCTGCGTCTACAATGGCGCACCGGGCATGGAAGACACATCCTACGCAGCCGCCGACATGGAAGAAGAGCTCAACGCAATCGGCACCGTACCCAAGAAGCGCAAGCACAAGACCCGCTACGGCGGCGTATACAGTTTCGAATACCACGAGCCACGCGCAAAGCAACTGCAGCACGAAATTGTCGAACACGGTCTCGATCCCGTAGTCACAGTGACGCATCGGGACGTCTATGGCGACGGCTTTAATTTGAATGACAACACCAGCCCAGAGGCCGACGCGGTGTTCCTCGATCTCCCAGCGCCATGGCAAGCGCTCAAACATCTCACGCGCACACCGCCCTCCGCTGCGACTGTGCAGGCAGTATCTTCCGACCCGTCAACGCCCGCCGAATCCTCCCAACAAGCGATGGGGAAACCGTTTGTCTCGCCTCTCAACCCTCGCAAAGCGATCCGCATATGCACGTTCAGTCCCTGCATCGAACAAGTCACCAAGACCGTCGCAGCGCTGCGCACGCTCGGATGGCTGGAGATAGACATGGTCGAGATCCAGGCCAAGCGGCTCGAAGTGCGCCGGGAGCGAGTTGGACTCGCAGAAGAAGGACTGCGCGGCGGAAACGCAAGTGCAGCGACGGTGCAAGAAGCAGTGCAGAGACTAAGAGACGTAGAGGGGCGGGCAGCGGCGTTTCACAGCCAGCAGAAGGAGAAGCAGGAGGATATCATGCGGCGGGCAGAGGCGCGGAAGAAGGGGAGGAAGGGTGAAAATGGGGATGGAGAGGGAAGTGTGAAGAAGGAGAAGAAAACTCCGATCGGCAAAGAAGGGTTGCCGCCGAGTAAACATGATCGACTGGACAAGGCGAAGAAGGATCTTGAGACTAGGGCGCTGTATAAGGAGGGAAGACTGATACATCGTACGGAGCCGGAGTTGAAGACGCATACTTCGTACCTTGTCTTTGCGGTGCTGCCAAGGCAGTGGACGGCTGAGGACGAGGAGAAGGCGAGGAAGAAGTATGTGTAGTAGTCTCACGACGGATTGTGCAATGAAAGATACCCAGATGGACACATGTGTTCAAATTCGAAGTGCCTACGTGTTGCTGCTATGCTCAAAAATTGCTAATCGCTAAGACCGTACACATTACCCTCCATTTGCGCCATATTCGAAATCATCCAACACTAGCACTTCAATTAGCCCCAAACAGCATCCCTCGCCCTATGACTCCCATCCTTACTCGGCGGCGTCGAAATAAGGTGTGTCCAAGCCTCCTTCCCATCAATAAATAACCTATAATTCAAATGACTCTGCTCCCCATGGACCGGCGTCGTAATCTCGACAGCGCCGAACTTGCTGTTCCCATCCGGCAGATACTTAATCGTGACATCCTCATCATCAATCTCCTTGTAGGTCCGGATCGGGAGGTAGAACATGCTGAGCGGACTCGTGCTGAACTCGTGCACCGTCGCGCTGACCGGCCAACGGGAGCCTGGCGGTGGTGGGAAAGATGTGGCAGCGAATTCGTGGCGGTCGCCGCTGAGGACTACGACGCCAACGCCGTGCGTGGAGGAGAGTGACCAGGCAGCTTCGAGGACAAGACGCCGCTCGACGAGGTGCCCGCCCCAGGTGTCCTCGGAGCCGAATTGCCAATTCTTGGTGAATGGGATGCCGGTAACGATGATCTTCCAGTGGACGCCCCTTGGTGGCTCTTTGTGGATCCAGGTGAGCAGGTCTTCGAGCTGGGTGGCGCCGAGCATCGTCTTGTTGGGGTCGTTGGGGTCTTTGTTGGCAGGACTGCGGTACCGGCGTGTGTCGAGGAGGAAGAACTCGGCTGGGCCTTGTGTAAAAGAGAAGTAGGTGGCACCCTTGCGGTGGGCAGGTGGGTTGGCGGCAGCGTTGTAGTGCGTGAAGGCGTCGTACGCAGGAACGGCCACGCCGGTCATGTTGCTGTTCCAGTCATTCTGGATCTCGTGATCGTCGATGACGTGGATCCAGGGCAGGTTATCGCTGACTGCGGGCCATGATGGCGAGGAGTAGACTTGGCGGTACTCGCGCCGATAGGTCTCTGCGTCTTTGCCCAGCCTGTGTGGTACGTCGATATAGATGAAGTCGCCGAGGAAGAGCATAAAGTATGGCTTCAGCTCGTGTAGCCAGCCTGCGAGGTGCTTCATGCCTGGGAATTCGAGAGGATGCTGGAAAGGTGTATAGGGCATTCGAGGCTTGATGCAGCTGGAGTGCACGAACGTGTACTTGTTGTCTTTGAAGGCTGAGATGTGACCAGGGCGCGGCGCAGTGGTAAAGGTGCCGGTCTTGTTACCATTCGATGTGTTGATGATGTACTCGTATGGCGTATCGGAGCGTAGATGGTCAAGGTCAATGACAGAGGTGAAGTCGGTGTCGTTCGTCAGCCATTGCTTAGGCTGGGAGGCATACAGAGTCTTATGCATCCAAGAGCGGTTCATCTCGTCGATTGAACGGTACATAACCTTGACATCGTGTGTATACGGCTCTCTGATCAGAACCTTTGCGCTATGATCTGACACGTACCCAATGCGTCCGAACGACGCGTTGTGGCAGTCGTGGAGCAGAGGCGCGCGGTAGACGACATCGAGTGCCATAGCGATCAGCGCCATATTGATACCGAAGGTGATCCAGCTCCATAGCGCCGATGAGGGGCTGGGAAGACCAGTGAGCAGCGTCCTCAAGATCTTTGGCTGCCTCTCCTCGTATTGTATCGTTTCCTGCACGTCGAGTTCCTCCAGCGGTCCATCTTCGGCACCTTCGATAAGCTCGGCTTCGACGCTCGGGTTGCGTTCGATAGTGTCTTTCACAATGATGTCCAGCTCATCTGAAATGATCTTGTACTCTGCTGTGTCCTGGAAGCTAGTGAAGAAGGAGGGAATGTAGATGGCAGTGAGCGCGGCGGCAAGCGGCGGAACGATCTATAGAACTGCGGTCAGTCATGTTTCAGATGAGGCGCAGCGATGTACGAGGAGGTAGTACTGACTGATGTGGGAATCTATAGCAGAAAGGTTAGCGATTCGCGTTCGGTACAAAGCAGCTTATGGTACTCACCCATCGCAGGAAAATCCAGATGCTCAGTCGCAGTGCGAGAGAGCTGATGACGGTGAACACATCGCTGACGGATGCCATGGCTGCTAGCCGGATATCGTAGCTTGGCCGTGCCGGCGTTGGTGTTTTGGTTCGGAATGCGCTCCAGCTCGTGATGGATAGCTCCGAGCTTTCAAAACACCAATGACGTCGATCTCGATCATCACGCTAGTGGGCCGCCGCGGGGGACGCGTCGAACCTTCACACCTACTGTCATCAACACCAATCATTGATGTCAGCGACTTTTCAGAACTGTACCGCCGCTCAGAGCTCTACGACGTGTGCTCTCGGCGGACGGTTTTCTGATCGAGCAGCTGCAGGCCTCCACGAGGCGCAGTCGCCTCAAACTTGATGATGTCCAATTCGACCTTTTACCTGCATCCGCAGACTTATCAGCGTCCAGAAAGCAGTTTCCAGCGAGAGGATCGATCATCTGAATATCCTGCCAATAAACCAGAGGACAAAGACTGATGCATTGTATTCATAGAGAGCTAGCGGTCCGTGTACGAGTCTCAACAACGCAAAACGGCACATCCGTCTTCTTCATCTACAGCCATCCGTCAAAGCAGGTTCTGGAGCTAGCCACGACGATTAGATCCGGTGTACCTTCAGCCTCGCATCCCTTACTGGCCATCCGTCCTATGAAACGCTCTCGTACGTTTGGGGGGGCCCCAAGGTCACCGTTCCCATCACGGTGCACGATCACTCGTTTCCAGTGACGTCCAACCTCCACTCCGCCTTGCAACACCTACGCCACGAAGACAAGGAGCATGTCTTGTGGGCTGATGCACTCTGCATCAATCAAGACGATAAGCGCGAGCGCTCCAGCCAAGTTACTGATATGTGACACATCTATTCAGAAGCTACGACGGCCCTCCTTTCCTGGGTGAAGCCTGGGAGGGTCTGATGTTGTTGTCGACTTGATCAAGGCACTGGCCACAGAACCTTTCCTCTCCCTCCACCCTTCTGTTGAGCCGAGCGTCTCGTCGCAGGGCTTCAATCTGAATGACTTTGACTTACTACGGCGGATCTTTAGTTTCTCCATCTACCTTAGTTGAATCGCCTTTGGACTGTACAAGAATACATACTTACTCAGGAAGCTATATTTATATGCGGCAACAAATTATTCAATGGGGCCTGGCTTACAGCCTTTGAGCAAGGCATGTGGGGTCATTTTGATCGTTGCAAGACAACCTGCAGGTTTCCCATGGGGTACCGGTTCGGCGAGGCATGGTCACTGGCTTGCGAAGAGCTAGCTTGCTTGACACTATCTGGAGCCCCGATAGCTGAGGATGGTCCGACTTCGCAAGGGTGCTGGTGTCATTCCAATTTCGCGAGTCTTCTAGACCTTTAGACAAAGTGTATGGACTGCTGGGCTTGGGTGACGATTCTGTCCGAGCAACCGTCCACGTTGACTACAATCATCTACCAAAGAATGTGTATGCAGACGTGGTCGCAGCAACGATCAAAGAAAGGAGGGATCTGGATGTGCTAAATCTCGTGTATGGACCGCGCAAACTGGCGTTGGTCAATCCGTCCTTTGTTCCCGACTTTGCCGCTACACGCTATAGCACGGGAGAGGCGGTCTATCTTGAACGGTACTTAAAGCTTCTGCACTACTTCGGTGCATCGCGGAAGACAGAAGCAAATGTGTCGCTCTCGGAAGAAGGCGCGTTGACGACTCCCGCTCTGCTCATCGATACGATCTTAGAATATAACCTTTCGAAGCAGTTACTTGGGACCAATGGGAACTAGTAGTCGGCATCGGTCACAAATTTGCCTCAAAAATAGACAGTCTGGGGCACCCTTATATTTCGAACTTTGAAGCTTTGTGGCAAACTCTATGTGGAGGTATCGCCTTCGGCTCTAACATTCAAAACGGAACCGCCGACCGCGTAGATAGCACACATCTACCGCACTATCAGAAACGGCATTCCTGGATTCACTCTGGGTCGCCGGCTCTTATGGGCCACGATATTGTCAACTTTCAAGTGGCTTTCCGAAGGGCATTTGCTGGACGCTTCTACGCATTGACGAAGAAGGGGTACATTGGACTTGTTCCGTACGCAACTACTTCGGAAGCCCGCGTAGCGACCATGCCTGGAGGCAAAGGGCCTTACATTCTAAGCCAGGTACCATCTACGGTCCTTATGCATGAGGAGGGATGGGATGGGAATAGGTTGGCGACAATTGTTGTAGTGTGACACATTGATTATCTGAGGTCTACAACATCGTCGAAAATCGCTCCTATAATGCGCCTGCTTTTGGAATCTTTCGATTTACTTGCCATTTGCGACCGGTGACGTCCCTACTATACACACTTTTCTTTCAAACGACTACACACCCGCAATATCGACAGAAATATCTTTCGACGGCTTCGAAGCTTCTCCGGCACCCTCACAGAGCTTGAATACGATGCGGGCTCCAGTGGGCTAGTGCCGCGCACAACGAATACTGTCAACGTCTTCAAGGCCATGAAGCGAACGTTGCGGCGTAATCACTAATTATTCATGCATCAGATCTATTCACAAGCTTCATCGGTACTCATATCCTTGGGTGAGGCATGGATCACTCCGAGGTCGTCATTGACTTCATTGAGCTTATCGGATCAAATGCAGCTCTACACTTCGATACTGTGCCTAAGTCCTACGATATTAACTTCAGATCCGGACTATTCCAGACGTCTTTACTAAAGTTCTTCTACTTGCCCTGGTGGACGCGCATCGGGGCCGCACAGGAGTGGGGACTCGCAAAACACACTGTATTCCTATGCGGCCAGAGGGAACTAGACGGGACTGTTGCAGAGCTTTGCACGGAACAGCTTTGCGCACGACGCGTGCTGCGCCACTAATAAACAATTCGATAAATACATAGTCAATGGATACACTGTCCACATACAACCATAGGACATTGAAAATAAGTTTTCCTGTGCAATCTGCCATCTGTCATGGCACCATTTCAAGAAGGCCGTTATGTGCCTTCCTGTTTTTGGTAACTATGCCTTCTATCAGGCTAGGCTTAGTCCAGATTTATTTGCTCTCTCTCTCCTTGTTGCATGAACACCAAACTGGAGACAGGAATCTGGTCTATGACCTTGACAGCATGCTGACCGCCAACAACGCCATGTTGTTGACTGTGATATCCTGCTGGTGCTCACCTTCCCACAGTTGTACGTCTTTATTGTTTGCTCTTTGTGCTTTCTCTACAACAATCAATGTACAAATATAGACGCAATACCTCTTCCCTCACAGACTTGACCAAGAATATGCATAAAGCAGCCAGGCTTATTAATCTTGAGGATTTTAAGAAGCATGCTTGGTAAGAGATTGCACCACAACCTCTCAGCTCTGAAGATATCAAGTAAGCCCTGATTACATCTAGCCATGACTCCTACAAGTTCACAATGGAGTAGACTGGTGAATAGCATATTTTTAGTTTTTTTTTCCCAACAGCTTCTAGCTTATTGAATATTAGAGATACGGCGTAAGAATAAATTATATGATAGAAGTGCACAAGCCTGCTCTACAGAACATGCCTCTAATTTCCTAATTTGGACTAATATTGGTAGAGATATGTTGCAAAAACTGTGTAACGGGGTTACAGTGCTGTAGTGAAGTAGGCTGTCACGTGCCCGGACGGTGGCGCTAGTCCATCGTGACGCTAGCGTGGCACGAGCGAGCGGGCGCATAGATAATGGGCCACACAATGGCCAGAGGACGGTAGCAATTAATCTTACGAGGCAACCCCCCTACTGCTACTGAGCTCGCTGTCACACATACCCTTACAAACTGGTACCCAACCCTGATCCCAACCTAACCCTAGGGTTCACTAACTGGGTATCTAAATAACTTATATATTATTGAAGATAGCTAATAGGTTATATAACACAAAATGCAGAACAAGAGTAGAGCTACAAATTGAGCTATAAATCACCTACTTTAGACTAGAAATTATAGAGATATTGCAGAAAAAGGGGAGATTTAAAGGGGGACCCGATGTGCCAGTCTACAATGGAGCAATGGTCTTAGTAAGTCTCATAGTGCACCGCTATTGTGAGGTCACTGTAGGCAGGCAATCAGACACAGGATGGATTGGTGCCGTCTGAGGGCACAGTATGCTTTAGTTCAAAGATTGGATCTTCGCCTCCAACAGGTCTCAATCAAGGGGGAGGATCTCGATGATGTACCATTTGGACAGCCCAACGTTCCTGTTGAAGCCGTGCTGCGATGCGTTGCAACAACTCATCCGTAAGGCCCGCCTGACCTTTAAGCACGTCAGGTGCTGCCTCACGGATGTAGCTGCGTTGTGCTTGAGCTGCGCGGCGATACGGTGCAGCAAGTCGGGTGGGAAGATCTCGCGTCGTTTTTTCATTTTGAGTAATATTGCAGTGTTCAGATACACACTGGTTACTTTTCCCAGCCAGAAACTAATCATGTCTAGAATCTTAGGCGTAATTGCGTCATGATGCAGATTCATCAGAAGTTCGGTTTCCGCACGCGCTGTAGATGCTTGACGCAGTGCACTGATCAGAACACGCTCTGGGCATTCCGGGTCTTTGGCTAAGTCGCTGTCGAACAACAGGCACTGACCCAATTTGTTCACCAGCCCGGCTTGGAATGTCGTAAGACCAGGATCTTCGCACTCGGTTTCGCTCAGGCAATGCATGACCAGGCGCTGATGCGTACTATACCGGAGATCCTATGGGTCCTTCTCAATCGCCCGGACAAAGTTTAGAGCTTGCCCATCAGCGTCGAGTAAGCCAGCGACGAACGCCAGAAGATATTGTAGCGAGGGTTGTACTTGTGCTCCTGAAGAAAGGTGTCAGGCTCGATCTTGTAGCGGTGTGGACCGCTGTAGAATACTGATAGCTACGGTAAACGATAACGTAGGACTATCGAGTCGATGAAATACTGCGCTGAGTTGCTATCTAGTGAGGAGAAGACGACTATATACTGACTCTGGAACGTGCTAATCCAGAACAGTCCAAGCAAGGGCAATAGGGTCTCGTATGGACCGGTTAATACAACAACATCATTTATTGCAACTACTGCAACACATTCACTAGCTGGCGGGTGTCAGCAAGGCAGGTAAACTATATGGTAATATCAACATACCAGCTGTGGTCGGCAAGAGAGGAACACAGGCAACCAAAGGAGAAACAGTACCAGTAACCAAGGCGAGAACAAGTCGAGTAGCCAAGCTAATGCCAGAGTTACAAGCCAAGATGTCAAAACCCATTGCGAGACTATCCAAGCTAGGCCGAATTTACGTAGAAAAACAGTTGTCCGCGGTTCCCAGAACATAGATACCTCGTAGCTGTGGTACCTTGCTAGCGTTATGAAACCCCTAGCAAGCTCGTCGAGCTCAGGTGTCGCACTCAGCGCGTGATCAATCAGTGAACTTACTGTTCGGTCTTGCAGGAATCTAAGGGCTTTCAGCAGGAAGCTGGGCATGTCCTTGAACGCAGTCCCTCGGAATGGTGTAGTTAGAAAGATGATGCCGCGTGTTGCCTGTGCGAGAGATTGCGGTTCATTATTGTCCTTGGCGCGCTAATTGTCGATCTCTAGCGCCTTAATCAAAACGATCCCACCAAGACACGAAGCGATGAGGAGAACGGACATTCTCTCATCTGACTCCCGGTGCTGCAAGATGCTATCGCGCAGAGCACGAGCACACTCTTCAATCGTCGATGGGACTGGTGCTGCTGAAGCAGGTCGGCTCTCCAGTCGCATGTGAAGATCCGAGCTCCACTTGTTTTCGATGGGAGCATTTTCCAGATCATATAGCCAGTTGACTTCAGGCCTAGGTCGAGTCTTGCAATTGTTTGGGGCCCTCCATTTCCACGTGTCCGGCGAGCTCGTGTCGAGACCGTGGGTGGCAATGATGTCGATGTCTGAGTAGGGTCCGCGCTTCTCAATGTCGTATTTCTCAGGATACACCTGGCAAAAGTGGAATCTTCGTTCCGTGGATAGTTCTAATCTTGAGCATGGTGTGTCCGTTGCGTATTGCGCTCTGGTCGATGCTGTCGCGCTGCATCTTCAGGGCGAAAAGTGCGGAGAAAGCACAGGCAAGCGACGATCGTTCCTCCGGTAAGGATCAGATAAAAGGCAATGGTCTATGCATTAAGGAGATGGCCTGGCTGAAGTTAGCTAAGTTCAGGCGTAGCCTGACCGAGCGCTGGGCGCTGAGCATGATGTTCTCCGGAGTAACTCTTGAAGCGAAACCCACTGTGTGATGCACCTTCGAGATGGTCAAGAGAAACGCTCTCGCGATGATAGAAAAGCGAGCGAATGCGCGGTGTATCAGCTGAGACATTTGCGAGATGTCCTAACCGTGGCTCCACGGAGTCAAAGAGTCAATCATAGTCATACTATGAAGAGCCACCTGTAGCAAAGCAATGTTTCTCTAGAAGCTGCATACCGTGTCAAAGGTTTGCGCAAGGTGAGGGAACACGGATGCGCCACGAAGATGATGGCCACGCGACGCGAGCGTACGGCTCGGCTCGGGGGGCGGAGCGGAAACGCGTTACGCCAGATTGACTCCAGGGCGCTATTAATTAGTGAACGGCAAGTTGGGGGCTCGATCATCACAACAACTTAGACTGCAACATTGTCAATTCTGGTCGTTATTGCAACGCAGAATCGCCCTATAATATGAGCATCAACTTCAGCCGTGGAGTATTGCACCGTTTGCCTATTCCCGCTTCCATCTGGGCGTTTGCACGTTCCTAGGTAAATACATCACGCAGCCTGATAGAACGACTGTCCATCGCTCCAGATTGCCTATGAAAAAGCCACGAAGCGTGATAAGACGTCTGTGGGCTGCGATTGGAAGTGGTTGTCATTCCTTCGGCCTATGGAAGGCTGGGTCAGAAGGGTGGCAGGATCACCGAATCTGTACCGTCAGGCTGTAACATTCGTGAGGCAGTCAACGTCAATCAAAGATAGGTAGTGCTCAGCACTGGCCCAAATAAGACAATGAGGATGCTCAACCATTTGCTCGCTTCCCAACTCGATGTGCAAGTGGCATGGATGAGGCAAAAGGCAATGGCGCAGGGGCATAACAACGAAGAGATGATGGTCAGCACATGCACACATCGGGTGATACCAACCGAATGGGCGGTCGCACGATGCGCCACCAGTGGGAAACGGGAAAACTATGCCTATGATTGGGCATGGAGACATCAATACAGATCTTCTTGAAGCTCCTATTGATATACGGCTCGAATCCTCACTTAGTAACCGCCCACAGCTTCAGGATCATCGGGCTGGTTCGAAAATCCATCACGCGTAACACAACAAATCTTCCGTACAGGCATATACAGCAAAATGGGCGGAACACCATACCCGCCGGGTTGTTGGTTGACGTACGGTAAGCCAGCAACGTACAAGATCTACCTACTCACAATGCCGACTTCAATGTTGAGTAAACATGGGATCAAGAGAACCCTCGACATGGTGGCTCACTGGGCCCTTTTGATCAATGGAAGATGCTACCAGTTGGGTCACACTCGCAACAAGGATAAGCCGTACAGCTATCAATGGGAATGGGAGCCCAACTTCGTGGAATACAGGAACAATCAGGGAAAGCCGATTGAGTACATGGAGGTGGGGTACATGGCTACGAATTATTCACATGAGTGGATCGACAAAGTCGGTATGTTCTTTTAATCCTACATTTCTCTATTCACTGTTTCGACTTGTACGAAAGCTAACGCATTGGCGGCATAGCGGAGCTGGTTTGGGAAAGGTCGCTCAACAAGAAATACGCTTACGACGAATATAACTGCCAGGTCTTTATACGCCTGCTGGTCGAGCTGATCGGTAATCAAACTACCAAGACCCAGTTCCCATATTGCCTTGATCAGATGGTAAAGGGAGCTGGCAACACCAGAGACGGAGGATTCTTTGCATTCGCCGCCGGTGCGACCTTGATTGCTGCAGGCGCTACATTCATGGGAGCCGATGGTGGCGCTACTGCTGCCGCTGGGTTTGCACTCGCGGCGAACACGACGCTGAGGTCGACTGCATGGCTCCTGACCGAGCGGGACAATCGAGCGAAAAAGATCAAAGAGGGACAAAAGGACATACGGAAACAGATGGCAAGAGACGGAACACCGTTAGTGGAGACTTAGACGGGGAGGAGCCCGCAGAGTTAATTGATTCATAGAAAAGGCTGTATACTTACGTAGTTCCACTGAAGGATACTACATCTCGTATATCATCTTTATCACCATTATGCTATTTGTTATCGAGAACCTTGAATGTCAGCTCGTTGCATATCTAGATAATCGGCAAGAATGGTTATGAATAGCCACAGGTATTCCCAGGTCGATGTCTAGCGCATCTGCCGATCGAGTATGAAAACTGAAGGGGGCTGCAGATAGCGTAGGTTCAGGCCCCCAGAATTTACAAGGACCACCCTTGTCGATCCCCTCCTCGACACAGCGCATAGGATTTGCACTTCCTGGATCCGACTCCGCGCCACCAATTATACTCACGCTAGCACTGTGCTGCCCGGACATATGCTCAGCCTAATGCTCCTGAAGCAATCCGTCGTTGCATCCAGCAGTTGTAAGCTCTGCAGTCCACGTTGACATGCGGCGACCAATAAGAAAGGACACGATTCGCATACGCTCTTTAGCGGCTGCTTATGTCGGCGCCATCTGGCGACAATCGAGTGGTCGCACAATCAGGGGTTGCGTGCAGCCAAACATTAAGTACACAATCACGGACGCTATCTATCGTGATCCTCCAGCGTACCGCTAGTAGGCAACTCAATGTCAGGTTGTAGAAATCTCCCCTTCACGCCAGACGCCTCATTTTTGGACCCAACAGACATCGCCAATAGCTCTACTCCGACTATAGCCAATGTATCGCCGTCCGAAAACCAGCAATCGAACGTGTGCTCAAAAGGTCATTCTGCCGCCGATTTTCGACAGCACTGAGCAGATAGCTGTTCTAAAACACGATGATACCACCGAGCTTCTGAGGTACTTTCGAAGTGAACTTGATGTGAGCAAAGTCAACCACATGAAGAATCATTTGTGGCTTGCAGGACAACATAGAAGCTGTCGCCCTTTGCATATGCAAAAAGTTCTTGGTCGCGAAATAGTTGTGGTAGAAATCTGCCATCTTCATCTTACGTGGCGGGATGCAACAATATTCATCAAACCCTGTCCCGATTTCCTACTCGACCACAGCACCTGGAAGGCATATCTTTCTACCGAAGAGGAGCTCTACCGCAACGCACTTGGATTCCTCAGAACCTATACCTCGCTCGTGCGACGGAAAAGCGATCTCAAAGTTGCACACGAGCTGGGACTTCTGCCTGCGACCCTTAGGTGGGCGCGGTGGAACCGATTAAGCCGTTTGATCGTGGGGACGCCTTTCGAGGAGTTCGTAAAGGAGAAGAACGAAGAGAGCGGAGCAGAAAGCAAAGTGTATGATCGGTGGTGCTATGGGGAGCTTCGACTCGGACGACTCAACTGGATTCATCGCCTATGCTTCTGTAGCGGGCGCGAGCGTGGTCAATTTCAAAGAGGATTCTTCAATCGGTATCAGAATTATCGATCTTTCCTCGACCGGAACATTACCTGGCTTACGGTTTCAACGGTATACGTAGCCCTCGTTCTCACTGCGATGCAAGTTGGGCTGGGGACTGATCGCCTGAACAACAGCGGCAGGTTCAAGGACGCGGCGGTAGGGTTTACGATCTTTTCAATAATCGCGCCGCTTACAGTCATTGCCTTGATTGCAGCAATTATGCTGTACAAGTTTGCGGACAACGTGCTGTACACGATCCATAAGATGAGGACTCACAGAGCACCATTAGAAGAAGAAGCTTGACCGCCGTCATCATGCTAAGGGTTCTCTGAGGAAAATCACCGGGATTAGCTGCAATGAGCTGCTTGAGTTGTGTCAGATTGCATGCGTTCTATCGCAGCTGCGTGACGAGTAGGTTGCAGACATGCAGAGAGGTGGCGGCGTTCGCAGTGCGAAGTGCGGGATGAGATGGGCAATTAACGACTTCGCTAGGCTGAGAGGGTGAGGCGAGGGTAGGGATAAGCTGGTTGCATTTGAAAAGCGGTCGATGCATATGAGCTTTTGCACTGCGCAAAGGAGCGTTGTACTTTAGAGGATTATCATCAAGTATAGTGTAGATGTGTTGATTTAATGCACCCGGTTGAAGAGTGCGTTTCGGGGTCATAAGGAATTCTCGACAGTGAGCGCGGTCATTCGCCCACTCGCTCATCACGAAAGGGATAAGCTCCTTTGAATCCTAGATTTTATATCCCTGCGAATCGGCCTCCTACTTTTCCTGTTCTTAGTTAAATATCTCCGTTATCTTAACAGCCCTAATCGTCTGATCATCATCTAGATAAATTATCTAAACGTTTTCGTGTTTCCAAGGCCATTAATCTATTCCCTAAACCTAGTGCTATGCCCACATGCCCTCCGCGACTACTAAACAGATTTCTTTAATATTAACAAAACCCTAAAGATTGCCAATATTGGTGTATAACTAGTACTCGGTGTACTTGCGTTTAAGCTTAAGTCGCTGTACCAGAGGTATTACTAGTTCGTAGTAGCGAGTTGGTGTTGTGCTAATTGAAACAACGTTAATATCTAAGTTTAGCTAGATATACTGTTGCCTGGAGCCGTGCGGCTTAGCTAACTTAGTAAACACCTTACGGTAAAGCCCTTGATTTCGCACCTCCCGGCAAGTGTGCAGTGGTGCTGGCACTGGCGTGGATGAAGCTAGATAGCCGACCGGACGACCGTTTCGACAGCTTCGTTCGTCGGCTTGAACATCAACCACGCACAGAGATAGCGATTTCGAAGATCGGGAGAACGGTGGAACACAACAGTACGAGTTCACTAGAGACGCCTACGTCCACGGCGTCATGCGTAGAGAAGCCTACAACGAGACTAGGCTGGAGGCAATTTCTCTGATGTGAACTGTGTGTCATGTAATAAAGTTATATAACTGTATGCTGTCTATAGAACGTCGTTTCTCAAATCTCTATCCCAAAGCTCACAAACTCAGTCCAAAATCCCACACCTGCACCTTCCTCGTGCCAAACGGCCCACCCTGCCTCACAAACAAACTCAAAATATTGAACTTCTTCAATCTCTCCTCATCCACCAACGGCTCACCAGCCATATTAGCAATCTCACCCAGCTTCTTCCAGTCAATCCAACTCCCACCCGCCGTTGCACCCCACAGCTGGACAGTCGACTTCGGCGCATCAGGCAGGATCGTAATAACACTGTCTCCGGTCGCAACGATCTTGCCGCGGTATGCAAGATATGGCGGCGTAGACAGACCAGAAGCCTTGATAGCGGTCTTGCTGAACTTGCCATCTGCAGTGCGCAGGTAGTGGTAGAATGTGCTTGTACCGGTGCTGTTGTCGCGCATCAAAGCGTGGAAGCGTCCCTTATCATCCGCACACTGCGCTTCCTGGTTGATGATCTCGCTGTTCTGCGGGATGTCGTACACCTTTATCCCTGGCGTTGAGGGCTTAATTGGCAGCGCAACAGTCTGGCCGTTTGTTTGTTTCCAAGTCCTGCCCGCGTCTTCGGAGAATGCGAAGTAGAAGTCGTGGTTTGTGGAGGGCGTCGGCGTTTCACGAACAGTCCAGGACACGTACAGCTTATTAAGAGCGTTGGTGAAGCCGTTGATGTACGCGTTGTTGTCCTCGCCTTGCAGGTACTTGCCTACGTTGGACCACAGGCCGGAGGTGGAGCTGTAGCGGTGGATCCAGGAGTCGCCGGACCCGGATTGGCCGATGCGGAATTCCATCAGCAGGTCGCCGTTGTCGATGCGCTCGAAACGCGGGTAGGTTAATGGTGTCCAGGGTCCGGTGCTGCCGGGAAGAGAATGCTGGACGGCGGAAAAGGCTGAGGCGGACCATTCGGAGGGGATGGTTTTGGCGATGCCGGTGTTGCTTACACGGTAGTTGATGGGGACGTCGTGGTGGTCGAAGGAGAGATGGATTTTACCGTCGCCGCTTATGCCCATGGAGATGGTGTTGTGTTCATCGAGGGTCTGTTGTACGTAATCTGTGAAGGTGAAGTATTGCCATGCTCCGACTGAGGGGGAGATCTGGCGGCGTCCAAGGTTGACGTAGTGCTTGCCGTAGCCGGTAGCTGTTGCGTAGAATGCCACGTACTGGTAGTTGGCGAAGGTTGTCAAGGCATTTTGTTGGAAGGAGAGGCCGTTTAGATGGACTGAGCCTTCTACATCGTTGCTGATGTTGTAGGAGTTGGTAAATGTGGTGGAAATGGCCGAGACAAGTGAAGAGACAAGCGTTAAAGACGCCAGGAATGGTGAGAGAAACTTCATCGTAAACGATCTGGCGATACAATGCACTTCCGATACCTCAACTTCAATATATACTCACCCATGTCGCTGCCTATTCACCCGGATGACATACTAAGGATACGGCAGTCCGGGGAATCTGATGTGCGGGGAAGTTTAGCATCACTATAATCATAATTGAGCCTCGTGATATGTAGATCATTGTCCGGCTCTTGTGGTGTTTACGACTGGCTCCATGCAGGTATCTCGCGTGGGTTTTCGGACGAAGCGACTGTTTCATGGCAGTTGCGGCTTCTTGTGTGGACCTGCGCCGGCTTCTCGGGGCAACAATGGTGCGGGGTGGAGAACCTGGGGTATGGGGAATCATATCCATGGTTGCTAGAGTTTTAAGGCTCCTGTGGTCATTTCAAGGCTCGGTTTTTGTTGTCTCATCCTTGAGCAGCTCAAAGCTTGAAGTCACCAGGATGATGGCGCCGCTGCCACTGCCCAGTCTGCTCGGTCTTTTCTTTCGCGACATTACGAGCGGCTAGCAGACTTCTGCAATACCACATTGCGAAGTTTTACAAAAGGGAAGTCTTCCTATAACAGATTCGCCTTATTTGCAAAGTCTGTAGCTGGGCGTATGGCAGGCGCTAGGTCATCATGTGTCGTGTTAAAGAAAGGGTGGATTCTCGAGTTGCCGTTGCGGAGGACAGCGCCAGTGACCCGCCAACCGAGCGCCTTCAGCCACCGAGATCCCCGGCCACCACTTTCTCTTCTCCAGCAGCCAGGACAATGACTTCGTATCTACCGTCCCCCACTTCTCATACCACAGCAAGATATAGATCCACGACAATGCCGTCCTTATCCTCTAGGTTGCCGACAAATCATAACCGAACCATGCCTCGCGACACCTGAAGAGGAAGGTAGAGGCTCAGACTCCTCACTTGGCACTTGGCACGCCATCCAACGGCCGTGAAGCGGTCTTGGAGTGACGTATCGGCATCGGAAGTTTATCATCGACTGTATCGCGGAAAAGGATCGCAGAATATGATAAAGAGCTGTGGTTGCGCATAATGGATGGTACGCGTGCCAAGCTAGAGTCCGCAAGATGGCAACCCTTTCAATACTGCTCTTCGCTGCCACGGCATTGGCACAGGGTACAAAGTATGGCGAAAACCATGTCGTGACCCAGTTTGACTCGCAGATTGTTGAGCAGAGGGCGTTCCCGGCGCCTAATGTCACCCTGTACAGTCCTGCGTTCGCGGCGAATGCGTCTTTCACTCCTGGGTGGACTGAGGGTATTGAGGGCGCGACCAGCCAAGCAGATCTGGGTATGTTGCTATGATGGATCAAGGGGGTAGTTAGCTAACAATTGCTAGATGCATCTCTGCAAGACTTCGCACAGAAGAACGCAGCTTGGGCGACATACAGCAACGCCGATTTCTTGAGTGAGGAGGGCAAGTTCTTCCCATATGTCCGTCTTGCGAGCTCTTCGAATTCATTGAGCAAAGTCCGGGTCTGGATTCAGGGATCTGTACACGGGAACGAGCCAGCTGGCGATGAAGCCACTCTTGCACTGCTGGGTGCGATGGACGCCGACCCGACCTGGGCTGCTGGGTTCCTCGAAAAGCTTGAGATCATCATTCTGCCGCGCTACAACCCAGATGGCAATGCGTACTTCCAGCGTACTTTGGCGACCAACTTCGACCCCAACCGCGATCACACTAAGCTCGTACGTCAGCAGACACGGGATATCAAGCAATGGTTCAGTACCTTCGCTCCGCACATCGCCGTCGACATGCACGAGTATAGCGCACGCTCCAGGTATGCTGGCAACTACAGCAATGCTGCAGACGGCATGTACAGTGCTGCGAAGAATTTGAATATCCACCCAGCGATCCGTGAGCTTGCTGAGACTGTCTTCGCACCCGCAATTGGTGCATCCCTCGAGTCCAAGGGTCTGCGTGGTGCGCCCTACATGACTGCTTCTCAGTCAGCCAACCCAGTTCGCTTCGAGGAGGCCGGTACTGACGCAAAGATTGGCCGCAACGCCATGGGTCTGACGCAGTCGATCACTTTTCTTTTCGAGACACGAGGTATCGGAATTGCCAACCAGTCATTCAAACGCCGAACTCTTGGTGGGCTGCAGATGATTCTTGGTGTACTCGAGACAGCCCGCGATCAGGCAGAGGAGGTATACAGCACGATTGAAGGAGCCATCAAGGAGGTGATCGCACGCCAGGAGCCCATCGTGGTCACGGATTACACCACCTACTCGAACCGCACTTGGACCATGGTCGACACTCGCAATGGCGATGTTGTGAAGGTCCCCGTCGAATTCGCCTCGACAACACCGGCGTTGCCGAACAAGACCGTTGCAAGGCCGGAGGGTTATGTCATTCCACGCGCATGGTTCGATCTTGCCGAGCGTCTTCGAGTTTCCGGTCTCGAAGTTGAGACTTTGCAAGAGGGCTTCAAGGGCGAAGTCGAAGTGTACAACATCACCTCCTCAAGCCTTGCCCGCTCTTACTACGAAGGTGCGATCCTGAACAAAGTGACTACCGACACATTGACTCAGGACGTGACACTTCCGTCTGGGAGCTTTTTCGTGAAAAGCGCGCAGAAGAATGCAGGTCTTGCTTTCGTTGCGCTAGAACCAGAGAATATCGACTCGTATGTAAGCTTCGGTATCGTGCCTTTGGAGGTTGGAGATCTGTACCCAGTGTTCAGAAAGCTATGAAGTAGGCCTGCGGAATCTGGATGATATTCAACCGTGTGGCCGGAATACATACTGCGTAGATATCAGCAATAACCCATTTGAGGCTATCGATTGTTCAGTAATCATAGTGATGTTGTGAGTATGCAGACCTTTAGTATACATTAACCTTGCGCCACAAACTTCCCCTCTGACTTCCACCGGCACTTCCACTAACCAACGATGTGCGCCTCTTTCAACAACGCGCTTTAACGAGGACGCCACAAGCGGTTTTATAGAACACAAAGACTTCGCAAACGGCCATCGCGTCGTGTAGACTTGACCGCTCTCGCGAAAACCGTCTCTTTGGGGTTAGTTTGGCGAGTGGTCACGCGTGGCTGAGTCAGGCAGGAACATTTTGCTGCACCTTTATTATGCGCTGTGTAAGATTGTGACCCATTTTACGATGCGGCGAGAATGCGGTTTCGCTTAAAAGCCCGTTATGTGGGCTCCCCTCGCAATACATCCTGCTGGGTTGTGAAAAACGTGATCCTCCAAGGTCGAGCTGTCCGCTGCAAGGCCGCAAGCGGAAATCAGTGATAGATAATAAGAGTCGTCAGTGGCCCTAAGGTTCACCGATCATTCTCTTCGTTGTTCTTTCCTCGTGCCGTTTTCTTTGTCGATCCTCCGTTCTTGACGTGCTCAACTCGAGCTTTCCACTGCTCATAACAGATGCTGAGCGACCTACCATTGGAGATCCTTCGACGTATCTGTACGAATCTTTCGCCTGAATCTGCCCTTAGCTTCGCTCATAGTTGCCGGCATATATATCAAGCTTGTGACGACTTGACTGTATGGCGCAACATTGTGAAGGGAAGCGCGCGCGTCCGTACCGATCTACCTGCAGCCGGCCTTGAGCCAGGACGCAAGGGGAAGAGATATACAATGGCAGACACAAGCGTCAGTCGGCCTGGGGATGGAAGTTGCAGAAGGGCTGCTGTAGAACAGTATATGCCGCAGCTCATGGTATTGGAGTGTAAGCATTGCGACAACCATGAGCCTTGACCAGATGCTGACAATTATCAAACAGACACAATGGCAGCACCTCTGGATCTTCACACCATGTACAGTCAGTGTCAAGCTTTAGTTAGCAGACAGGAGTATCCCTCTTCGTTGGTACGGGCAAAGACCGATAACAGCAAATGGTTCGAGTTCATGACGGATCCGACAAGTCGATTTGAGTCGAAAGAGTGGCTTTCGGCGCAAACCGCCAGCTTGTGTTTCGCCGTCGGTGCGTTGTCTGATGCTGGGTATACTTATCAGTCAGAGGAGCCTTTTGCACGTCTTGAGGACGTACAGTGGTTCAATTCGACTGCGAATCAACGAGATTGCTCAGACTCGCTGGTCATGCAGCATGCATTAGCAAATGCTGCGGTCGGTTCGTTCTGCCTAGAGCTTCGAGCAGCTCTACATGGTGAGAGAACAATTGGCGAGGATTTTGAAGGTACCTCCAACCCACCAACGGCGTCCAGCATTCCACTGGCTTCTCAGATAGCGACGCGCCTACCATCGTCGCCTGGGAGCTTGAACGACTCGGCACCGAGTTGTTTGATGGCATCGATGAGCCCTGACTTCTTCACTGATCACACGTGGACTGGATACGTTAGCACAAGAGGAGACTGGCGAAGTGTTTACCACGGCATTGGAGGGCACAATCTCAGGGATCTGCCATTAGGAAAGGGTTTCGATCATATGCGCACCACCAACGGTCCAGTTGCTATCGACCACACAGTGAGATTCCGCGTCATCGATACTCTGGCAAATGGTGACTTCATCCTGCGATCCAACTACTTCCACACCCGCGATGATATGTACACCTTGGCCATGCTGGTAGAGAGGCGAACCGGCCGACTATCGATCTGCATGTCACGTCCAGGCGACGCGAGTCCGAAGGCATTGCAGACCGGTTCGAAAAATGCGCTCAACACACCCTTCGGCATCGTGTACGGGATTGAGCCTGGAAGCTGGCTGTGGTTGTGGAAATCGGAATGGGCTGCTGGTAACAAGAATACACACTGAGTTTTCAGGAAGTAATGTTGGCACGCCTCTTCGCAGAGCGGGAGAAGAGAAAAGAACACTTGAAAGACGACCAAGTTGTGCGCCGGTGACAAGCAAGATGGCCACGAGAGTGAGACGTACCTAGGGCATAATAGAAAGGCTCTAAAGAGCTGTGGATTTGGATCTTAGTGAGTGCCGACTCCGTAGAATCCTTTGTTTAATGAGGCACAGCCGAACGATCCTGCGTGGCTGCGTCTGTAGCTTTCGAGCGCAGCGATCCAGCGCCGATGCTGGAACATGTCATAGTCATCTGTAAGGTCGACTTAGTTGTTAGTTTGAAGGCAGGCTGGTTGGCTGAATGCTGAAGCTTAAGTCTTGAAGCTCTCGCGGAGACGGACGTGTGCCACGGACTCCTCGTGTTTACCAGCTGCCCTAGCGGGTACGTGTAGTCTGTAGGCCATGGACAATCACTGGTGAATTAAATGTGCCGATCCGAAAGCCCTGGTCGACGGATCGATTCTTGCCAGTCTTGTATAGAGCATCTGTTGTGTGCTGCTGCGGGACGGGAGCTTTGGGCCTGTAGGAGCAATGCCAGATCTCAATCTCTGTGGTCGAAATGCATCGTGAACTGAACGATGCATGATCGCCGGGTACGCGAAACGAGAAAAACAAAACTCAATTTCCGCGGAGCGAAAGACTTGCTTGATGCTGTGTCTGTTACCTCTCCAACCAAAGCCTAGCACGACGAACGTGTTTCAGTCGCGCTGTGTTGGTATGATTTCGTTAGGTGAGAGGAGTGTCATGACGACAAGACAGGAATGTGTGACCGGAGCTACGCGCTAAGTCTTCCATTCGCTCTTGGCACGCACACAGTCACGTGCGTATCTTTTCACTCTCTCAATGCTATACAGATTAGCTCAACCTGCAACTCATCATCATCAAGCGAGATCAAGCGAGTGGACCGTTCAGCAAGCTGCAGTTCGAGATCCTGCAGCTTGCGCAACGTTTGCGCTAGCTCATTGGACCCCGTGGGCCACCCCGCAGATAACACACGCTGCAAGCAAGTGTTGTGGCTGCATGCCTCATCGTGGGCTATGTTCACCGCACATTGGTCGGCTCGACAAGAATGTTGAGTTCAGACATACAATGTCATCGTGACCGCAGCGCGTGTTGGTGTTCTCCAGATTAACGTATTGTGACGCAAAGAGCGCCACAAGTAGTATCCAGGGAATGGGCTTGATCCTGACAGGTTACCTTCCTCAACTCGTATCTCGCGCCGATGCGCATGGTATCGAACAATTCGAGCTTGTCGCTAGCGAACAACGCTTGTAATCCAACGGTGTTCATGACCACCGACAAGCTGGACTTGAAACGGCAAATGAGACCGAAAGGTAAAATCATCCCAACAAATAACAATTCAATGACAGATGAGAGTGCGCAGGTGTCGCATGGAGCACGAGCGTTTGGAGACGAAGTTACCGTGTGCGACCCGAGATTGGAGAATGCAGGGCTTTGCTCAACAGATGCTGCACCTGGCAAACCCGGTTTTCGATGGGATGACGTTTGTGACGGGCGGACAAGGGGGACGGGATGCCGTGTTTGGCCAATTGAGAAAGCTCAAAAGTTTCTGTCGATGGATTTGCAAGAGGGAAATGTTTGGTGAACCCTGAGTTTAGGGCCTTCAAGCGTACCATGGGACGACCGTTGCGAAGAAGGTGACTCGCAGATTGATAGCACCAGACCTGTAGGAGTGCATGTCGGCGGATGCTAGCCACTGAAGCTGAGGGCGAGACAAGCGAGTTTGCAACCTTGAGTTGACAGGGTGCACGGCACGTTTATCTCCTTTTCGTTGCACGACGGGGCGCACTGCGCTAAACTGGGATAACTTGCATGTGGCACAGTGGGAGAGGAGGCTCTCACGTGGTGAATTCAGTTCGTGGAGGTTCTTCGGCCCGTGAGACCTTAGCGTTGATAAGCCCCAAAGCTCCGCCTTTTGTTTCTTAATTACTGCCAAACCTTGATTGCCATTGCCTTTCCCTTTCCTATGCGCGGCGCCTCTTCTTCCTTCTCCATCAACAAACAGTAGGCCCGTTACCATGCCTCTCGACCCCAAGGACGAGCCGTTCCCCACGAAACAGCTCATTATTATCGGTGGGTGCTACTGCTCGACGCGGTGATGTCATGGCAAAATGAGAGTTTTCTGACCGCCGGTTAGGAATATGCCGATTCTCCGAGCCTCTCGCATTCAATTCCATCCTCGCGTACTCGTACGTGATGGTACAGGATTTGGGCATTCATGAACGCGATGCTTCTTTCTACTCCGGACTGCTCGTCTCTGCCTATGCCATCGCTGAGGCCATCACCGCGCCGCTATGGGGATCTATCTCCGATGTCTACGGCAGGAAACCGGTCGCGCTGATTGGTCTGGCTGGTGTTGCTATGTCCAGTATTGTCTTTGGTATGGCTGGTACCTTCTGGGTTGCGCTACTTGCGCGATTCATTGGTGGTGCTTTGAATGGAAATGTTGCTATCATGCAAACCATGGTCGCCGAGATGGTCAAGAACCCAGCTCATGAGCGTAAGAACGCCAAACACCTGAACAATTGCAATACACACTAACACAATCTCAGCTCGTGCATATGCCACACAGCCCTTCGTCTGGACTCTGGGAGGCATCATTGGCTCAGCCATGGGTGGTTTCCTTGCCCAGCCAGCCGTCTTCTACCCCAACGCTTTCGCCAAGGATGGTCTATTTGGAAAGTACCCATACCTCCTCCCCAACCTCGTCGCGGCCATTGGTATCGTTCTTGCAATTATCCAGGGCATGTTCTTCCTGAAGGAGACATTAGTCCGCGAGGAGGAGCCCGACCAGAACGGTGGCATCACATACGGCGACAACGTCAACGAGAGGAGTCGTCTGCTTCCACCGCAGCAGCCCCACCAGATCCCGGGACGTGTCCGTGGTTCTGTGGCTGGCTCGGTGCGCGAGCCTCGTGGTTCTATTGTCAGCTTGACAAGGGAACGCCTGCACTCCATGTCAGTCGCAGGCAGCATTCGTCACATTCGCAAGCGTGCATCTTTCCTGGAAGAGGGTATGCCCGCGCCATTCGATCAGCGTTTCGACATCCGTCGCTCGTCTTTCGGCACCATGCACTCCATTAGGGTCGCGCCTCACAACGTTCTCCCTACTCGAGGACCGCCCCCTAAGCCACGCTCAACTTTCAACAAGACGGTTGTTATGATGATCATCTCGATGTCCATCTTCGCATTCCACCAAATGGCGTTTGTCAGCATTCTCCCTGTTTACATCTTGGATGAGCCCATGGCTCGTGGCGTTGACTTCCGTGGTGGTCTCGGCATGTCTCTCCACGATGTAGGCGCTTTCTTGGCCATCAACGGTTTCATCGCATTGTTCGTGCAAGGCTTCATTTTCCCCATTTTCGTCGAGCATGTTGGTGTGTGGAAGTCTTTCTTCTACATGGTCCTCTTTTACCCCATCTGCTACGTCATTATCCCCTTCATCAGCGCCCTTCCTGATGAGTTTGTCTCGCCCGGAGTTTACTTCACTCTGCTCTTGCAGGCGTTTTTCGGTATCATCGTTTTCCCCTGCTCTCTCATCCTGATGAAGAACGCTGTTCCTTCACCGCTGGTTCTTGGGCGCGTCAACGGACTGGCTATGTCCGCCTGCTGTCTCGCCAGAACTATTGCTTGCCCTTTGGTAGGAGCTATCTACTCCATTGGTGGTAGCGCTACCGCGTGGTTCGGCCTCACGCTCATGGCCGTCTTTGGTGTCATCCAGCTCATCTGGGTACCTAAGGAGGATGTTGGCCCAGTCGAAATTGACAATGGCCTCAAGAAGGTTGTTCACCGCGACGACGAGAATGAGGACGCGATCGACGACATCTCGGTCATCGGATCGGTTCGGTAATCATTGTCCAAAAAGATCGAGTTTACGAAGTTTCGTCCATATCGAGGATCATAATGTCAACGAAGGAAGAGTTATCGCCTGGTTCCTCAGTTTCTGCAGCATTGTTCGGCGTTGGGGGCACTTTTCATGGCTTCACGAGAATCTGATCATCACCAGTCATTCGGTCATGTGAGCATTTCTTGCATAGCGAATCGAAAAGCTTATGTCATATGTATCAACGTTCTGCGATAGGTTTTGCAAATAAAGCGAAATTTCGTCTTTCACTAAACCAACACACCTTTTTATCATGAGATTTACCCGTGTTGTTCCATCACTAAACCTCGCTTCTCTCCGACTTCATCTCGTGAAATCGGACCTCGTGCGCAGACCCTTCCGAAAGCGCCGCGATGGTAGCCGGATCGTCGCCGAACAACTTCGCCACGCTCTTCAATGGCATACTAAGAGTCTCAGGCAGTACGAAGTAGAGGACGATCCAGCCCAGTCCAGAGATGATGATAAAGACCTGTTTGTGTTGTCAGTGTCACGTCGCGTGTCAACTACGAGGATATAACTTATCAGGAAAAATCGCCATCCAATGTTTGCAAAAGCGTACGGAGTCACTTGCAGGTAGACAAGATCAGCCTGAGCAAGGACCAAGTTTACCAGCACCACACCCTTGGATCGAATCTGGTTAGGGAACACCTCACTGTAGAAGACGTTGCCGCCAACATCAACACCGAGCTGGTAGACAGCGTTGAAGCAGAACAGGATTGTGACGCCGAGAGCACCGAGGCCCTTTCTGGTTGGGTCCATCTCGAAGTATCGAACTGCGGCAGCCTCGATGATTACGCCGATACCGATCAGCATGATAGGCCCGCGACCAATAATGTCCGATAGGAAGGCGCCAATCAGCCAGAAGGGGATCGAGACTGAGACCCAGCCCGCCGTCAAGAGGAGTGTCTGCCTGACATCAAAGCCAAAAGCGGCATAGAAGGTGGGACCGTAGTTGTTGATGACGAGGATGGCAGTCGACTGGCCGAGGAAGCAGTAGAAGCAGGTGATAGCGACACGGCGACGGTACGATGCCTTCATGAACATTGAAAGCTGTGATGAGGTCAGCTGACGGTTTCGAAGATGTCCAAATAATTCAGGACTTACCCAAGCGGTCTCCAACTTCTGATCAATAGCCGTATGTCGCTTGGTCTCGTCGAAATCTTGAGTCGCAAACGTATCGTCTCCTTTTGTCGAATGCAGCCTGAAGATGACCTGCTTTGCCTCTTCCACACAGTCCTGCATCATGAGCCAAAGCAGTGACTTCGACGACAGGAAGGCGATGATGATCAACAGTGTCGGCCAGATAATATACAAGCCCAACGGGCCCTCCACTGAGTGACTGGCCTCGAGTTGAACGAGAGCGACTTGTTTCAAAGTCGCCTACAGCCTTTTCAATCAAGTCCCAATTTCACGTCCACTATCATTCATGGATTCTCGTTTCAGCAGTATGCCCGAAGCATACCTCACTGACAACAGGGGTTGCAAGAAGCAGAAGCGCAGAAGAAAGCTCCGGCAGTACTTTGACAACCTACCTGAGGATCTATCAAAGGATGACGCTTACCAGCAGTTGATGGATGATCCGTGGCAGTAGTGGCTCAAAGTTGGCCGCGCAAAGTACCTTATTGTCTTCAAAATGGCTTGTGATTTCCTTTCTATCCCATGTACCAGCTGCAAGTGCGAGCGCTGCTTCAGCTCTGCTAAACAAACAATCACGTGTGATTGCAATTCACTCTCAGCATCAACTATGAAAGCTCTTCAACTCCAGAAAAACTGGCTCAAGACCGGCATAGTTGCAAGCTATTTGACAAAGGCGGCAGACCAGGTGATGGCTCATGAGATGTGGGGGAGGTGAGAAAGTGAAGCAGCAGACGAGACAAGCAATTCACTCTGATATGTACACTATACTCAAATAAGAAATGTATGTGCTATACTACGGCTACTGAGTGTAAAACGTCTGTTTTTAATCAATCGGGCAGCAGCAACACCGAAAATCCACCCGTAACGTACTTATATAAGCCTTATCGTACCGTCTTACTGACTGTTTCCAGCGCTGCCCGAAGGCTTTCATCGTCCATCTTCTCTCCACTTCACAATGAAGACCATGCCGCTTTCATGGCGTTTCGATTAGTATATTGCACTTGCAAAAAGCATTCTGAAGAGATGCTCTCCTTTGATAACACTTACCGGCGTGCGCGATGTGGAAACGGCTTTCTTCAAGAGGATGCAAGTGCCGAGAGAAACAGTCGATGAGAAAGTACGCTGCATTCGGCTTGTACCACCTAGGTGGAAGTCTGCGGTCGCCGAGCATCTGGCCACGACGTTAGGTGAGTGTTGGCATCACCTGGCGAGCTAGTAGGAAACAATGTAAGATCCCTCATTCTTCCGAATATTGGTGACTTTCACAAGTTGCTGACCCCCTTGGTAATTGGAACGATGATGAGATATGTCTTTTGGTCCAAAGAACAACTTCGTGGGTAGATGACATCATGGTTTTATACAGAGGGGTTCAGCAACTTGTGAAAGTCATTATTAGTGATAGTCAGACACGTAACCGACGACCGCGTCAGATGAGATTCACAACACCACATGCCTTCTTCTCTGCTGACCCTGCTGACCAACCGTTCCGCCATTCATCTAGCTTACACCAACAACGAGCGAGGACACTACCGCAATGGACGAGCCACCAGCATCTAGTCCAGAAGCACCCTTATCTGTCTACTCCGCTCTAACTTCCTTTCGATTTCTCACGCACCTTCACCTGAAAGCCCGCTTAGAACACGACTCCTGCCAATTCTTAGGATACGAGCGCGAGACTTTCCGATGGGGTTCCTCAGGCTAATTAATCAACTCGCTAACGACCTCATGCTATGTGTCACGGTTCAGGGCGCTCTTGCCTGTCGAACCTCACCTGCCATGAGATTGACTGCCACGTCACACTGGCGTTGTTTACAGCTACTCACCTATACATACTGTCCGTAGCTTCACCCAATACAACCTCAGTTCAATCCCTCAATATTTCCGCACATGCGTACTGATCACTCACGATCCTAAACACTATGCCTTTAGCATGACTTTGGCCCTAGTAATGTCTTGAGAGGACTGAGGTCGAATTTTATGCTCCGGAACCTTGCGAGAAGATATGGTACTGCAGTGTGTGTAGGAAGTGGTAGAAAGAAGATGGAGATGCGGGAATTTGGGAGTGGGAAACTGTGGTCGAGATGAGGGAAGAGGGTAAGGAGTATGATACGCGGAGTTTTGATTCGTTTGGTTAATGGGTGCGCTGTCCATTGAGAGCAACACAAAGCGGATGCTCAATCGTAACTGAGCGTAGGAAATTTGGCCTACTTCGATCCTCAACTACTATACCAGCCTTCGTCGCTGATTGTTCAGACTACAAGTTTGACTTTCAGCTTATCACCATTGACAATCTCGTCCTTCAACTGCTCCAGGGCATTAACATCCCACGGCGCAGCCACATACCGTCCACCCAGCCATTTCCTCGGCTCAGCAGTTAACCAGACTACAAACCCACCACACAACTCAGGGGTATCATTCAGGTCTGTCAGCACGCGTCAGCTTTAGCACTTACAGCAATCCCAACGCAATCACTTACAAGGCTTCAGGATCTCTATCTCCTGGTTCGCCAAAGTTGTCACCACACCTCCGGGATTCAGGCTCACCACGTTGACTCCCTTGTCTGCGTACCCGACATCGGTATGTTCCGTCAATCGACAGAGTGCCAGTTTACTCGAGTTGTACGACGATGCAATTGCGTTTACCTGAAGCGCGCCCATGCTCGACATGTTGACGATATTGACATGCCCGGTCTTCTCAGCGGTTTTTAACAGTAGGGGCAGGAAGGCATGGGTTAAGAGGTACGGGCCTTTGAAATTGACTTCTTGCGTGCGCCACCAATCTGAGGGGTTGGATTCGTGGAGCGGGATCCAAGCTGCGGAGTGGCCTGCATTGTTGACTAGGACATCCAACCGATCTTCCTCACTCTCCACCTCTTTGGCGAGTGCAGCAACAGCAGAATCCGAAGACACATCGATAGACTGCTTGCGTACACGGATATCTGCGTTAATCGCCTTGATTCTGGACTCGACTTCGTCCAATTGGTCGTTGGTACGAGCACACAGGATGATACCGGCGACGCCCGCGTGAGCGTATTGCAGGGCGATTGCGCGGCCAATGCCTCGGCCAGCACCGGTTATGAGGATAACCTTGCCAGGTTGGTGCAGAGTGGGAGTTTCTTTGGCGGAGATGGAGTGGTAGATGTCGTTGTGTAGGTTTGAGAGGCCGACGAAGGCGTAGCCTGATTCTGGGGGTGGTATGGACATGGTGGAAAAAGTCTACGATAGGAGCTGTTCTACGCTGCTTGAGATCCTGAGGCGAAGAATTAACTCAGAGGCAACTGCCTTGAAATGATTCTATGCGTTTATATATGCGTAGACCGTCAGCTGCCTTACTCATCGTCTAGTGTCGACATACTCTTTACAGCCTGGCGTCAGTAGCGTGCCGGTCAAACAACGCTGCACGAACGGTTGGTTTGCGACTCTGAGCCAATAACAGGCAGCTTGGTACAGAGTTTACAGAGTTCTGAGCATTCATGCAGTTGCAGGGCGCTTAAGTACGTGGATGACCAACGTCAGCGCTACTGCAACATCCATGTCGGATAGATCATATGAGACACCGAGACACCAACTTGGAGGTTGCATTGAACCTCGCATGAAAACGCTACAAGATTCCGCCATGGGACTGCCACACACTTACATTCATGATATTGCAAGTAGACTCCTTATCCATTCAATAGTTGCGTTCATCGACATCTACAAAAATCTACACGTGCCACAAAGATATGCTTCAAGAAATTCTCTCTAATACCTACTACTTTTGTTTAACGAAGTTATGCGGACTGCTCTGTGATCGCTTTGAAGCTCAATCTCGTTTGTGCTTCGAATTCGCAAACTTCTTGGCCTCAAAACGAAAGCAGACCGCAACTTCCTTCAAGTCTTGCGAGGCCAGGCATTTGAAATCTCGAGGCAACCTTCAAATCGGCTCAACAAGATCCATGTCTTCTCACCCAAAAGTGATGCGTTCAAGGACTCGATGACGATCACATGTCGAACACTCAATGGCAATGTGTTTGCAATTGCGCTGCTAATATCCACTACACCATGCGCTGCTAATATCCCCTACACCATGCGCGCTCAGCTCTCTATGTTACATTTGTACAAACTCGCTTTACACATCCCAAATCGTACACTTGGCCCAAAGATGCTGAACCTATGCCTGGCACTTCTGCAGCTGTTCCCTAACGTACGCAGGATACTGGCTCCTCAGCTCTACTCCACCCCTCTTCTGCAGCGTAGGCACAGCCTCAACACCCTCATCCAAAACCTTCTTGATCCTGCTCTCATACTCAGCAGCCTCAGCCGCAAGCGGCATCTCCGCGCCTAATACAGTCCTCGAGGTCTTGAGTGCATTCCAGATTGTAAGAAGCTCGAAGAGGCCTTGACAGTACACGTTGACGGCGTCAGTCTGGCCGTTCTTGTTCTTGAAGTCTGCTTCTGTCTTTGTGCCGAAGGCGGAGACGCGGTCGATCGAGTCCTGGGCTTGGATTGGTAACGGTTCGTGGGAGGATTTGGACTGGGGTCTTACGGCGGCATTGTCCTGCTTCAGAGCGTTGACGAGACGGTTTGCCAGTGTCTTGACGGTCTCGACGTCGCCTTCGTGCTTCTGCGCCACGACGGCTGCCAGCTCGGTCGGTACGGCGATCACGTAGGGCTTGCTCCTCCAGTCGGTCTGGGTCATCTTTGCACCCTTGGACAGGACGGCGTGGTGATCATCTTCTTCCATCAACTCCACGATCTGTCGTGCGTAGCGCAGTGCTTTGACTGTCTCTTCCCTATCCCATTCTGACTCGGCGGCCCGGTCATGCGCGCCCTTCAGGACCCTCATTGTGACGTTGTAGTTGCTCAATCGCAGCCCGGTCGCCTTGACTCTCTGCAGCGCCTTCAAAACGATGTTGTGATGTCCGTTTTCAATCAGAGTTCGCACAACCAGCTCCTGCCATTCTGGCTTGATGGCAATGCCAGCGCTGTGGAAGCCTTCCAGAACACGGACAACGTTTTCCCAATCTGCTGTCGTTTCACTCTGGCGCACGACATTCTTCAAGCTTTCCCATCGGCTCGGTCTGACATTGCGGTCGATGTGTTCGAGAGGGAGGGTGACGTCGCCAATTGTGACCTCGACAGGCTCGGTCTCGAGCTTTGCGCGTGACTTTTGCTTATAGACGAGCTTCTGCTGTTCTCTTGACAGGTGTTCGGGGAGGAGAACCTTGGAGTTGATCTTCGCGAGGAGGGACGAGAGCTCGGTGGAGGAGGGTTCGAGGAAGACAGGAAGGCCGCCTATGTATTCGTCAGCGCTATCTATTGTAGACGACGTGATGTATATGCGCACCCTTCGACCGCGCTACACTCCGAGAGAAGGCGCGGCGCGAGCCATTGGCATAGCTGGAAACGCCGTGCGAGTTTCGCAGTGCCGACTGGCAGCTCCGCCGTATTGAGTGCATGATGATGTGTGGTTAATCGCCTCCACGAGTCGCGATCAGATGTCGATGCTCAGAAAAGTTTGCTGACTAAGATCTCCTCCGAACACCACCGCATCAGCCACTGCGGGAAGCCACGATGTAGCCACCCCCTCCACTTTTCCGCCCACTTAAGCACAGCCTACCCAGACATCGTCGCCGAGATGGCTGCAAAAAGATACAGTTGGTACCTCCCATACTTGAAGTCGCCAACCAGCAACAAAAATAAGACCAACAGCAAGATGGACAACGAACAAGCCACATTTTGGCTCTCGCAGTTCATTGGCAAGAATCTGCGCATTCATGCTTCTGACGGGCGGGTGTTTGGCGGCCAGATGAAGTGCACTGACAAGGTGCGCCTGCTGTTACCAAAGAGGAGGCGTTGTACTGACGCCTGCAGGACTGCAATATTATCCTTTCACTTGCGTATGAGTACCGTGCGCCATCTCTTGAGGCCATTCGCAAGCCTATTGAAGAGTCCGGAAACTCATCTGCGAAGGTGACTTGGAACAGCCGCTACGTGGGCTTGGTTGTCGTGCCAGGAAAGCATGTCAAGAAGATCGAGTTCGAAGAGAGCACGCTGCCAGGTCAAAAGAGTGGGATCACCTTGTAAGACACATTACAACGAGATGAGAGCTCGTCTTCACCGGAACGCGCATCTACGCGCGTATGCACGTGACTCATTGCTCCTTCACTTGCGCATTGTCAGCACGCCATAGACCGAACATGGGATGGATTTGGCTAACGTAGTTCGGCACTCTAAATCTGCGGCAGCATTCTAGCAACCATCACGGATGCAGCGTTCCGTCTGCTATTCCAGTTCTGGCGAGACACCGTTTACACTGCGAAACTTGGTCGGTGCATCGAACTACAACGCGTCGAGAGTTTCCCGCGTCTCGTACTCAGTCTTGTTGACAACATCATCAACTTTCTGTCAAGTCAACTCTTCAAATCCACATGCTTGGCCTGTTACAGGCCTCCGCGAGGCCGCCTACAAGGCTCCCACTAAAAGTCAACAAGGGTCGCAGTCCTTCCAGACCCTGAGCCGTGCCAGTTCAGAGCACCACAACTCTAGCGATACGCACACTATCACTACATCTGACGCAATATTGCAACCAGCAACTACACCGTCTCCTAACAAATGACCTCCTTCCTCTTCAAGCTCCCCGCTGAGCTGCGCAACATGATCTGGAACTACGCACTCACGAGTGACACCGGAACCCTACAATACAACCCAAGCACCAAGCGGTTCGACGTGTCCCATATCGGTGCCGGGCTGTTGACTACTTGTCGCTCGATCTCCATAGAGACGCTATACACGCCAGTGCGTCTGAACACGTTGGTTTTCGATACCGGGATAGTAGGAGATGTGGACTTGTGGGTGCTGCTGGCAAGGTTGGGGAGGTTGGATCAGGCTACACAATATGGACTGAGGCTGGATCTCAGGATTCGGAAGCCGCACCCTTCCACTCTCGCCCAGAAGCCTTCCACGAATCGCACCCCCAAGTCTCCTGGGGCACCAAACGCAGTACGAGTCACGAGTTACAGGCGCTCCTAGGCGCAGGCGACTGGCCGCAAAAGCAATCCATCTGTTAGACGAGCACGCTACCGCGATTATTACCATCACCAAGATCATCGAAAGCTCCTCGCCTCGGCTCAACGGCCAGTATAAGCCATTCGTCTTCTTTAGGCCTAGTAAAACGGCTGGTATACATCTAATGAGCAAAACCATCGTCAGCATTTCTCCCGCCCACACGTTCCATCACTTCAATTGCTAGGAACAGGGACTGAGCCTTGTGTCTCAAGTCCTCCAAAAAGCCATGGCTAGATAGTACCTGACATGTTGACGCGTTTGGAACCTCAGGTCGCTTCTGCACCCGCTCCTTGGAGTCGAGCTGATAATTTTGTTTGCCTTCAACCACTCTCCATGCTCTCTCTTGTTCTACTTGTCTGTTCCAGGTTTTCGTTGTATAGAAAGTCTCTCGCAGTGTCGTTCTCTCATCTGCTAACTGCGATTACACCAAAATCTACTACCTGCCGCGGCTCAAGTCCAAGTTACATTAGATACCCCACAGACGTCTCGAATCGTTTGGCGGCGATGCTACGAAGGGATTTTCACGAGCGAATGGGTAGAGGCTGTGGCGCTTACCTACATGCCAAGGGTATTACTGAAGGTGGTGCTGCTATGAACCCCATTGGCTCGTCATCATGATATCTCGACCGGTCAACGTTGATACAGTGCTGGGGGCAGTAAAGACCCACCAGCCTTGTGCGACCCTCAAGATAAAGCTAGGATCACTCTCCCGCTCGCAGATGTCCAAGATACTGACACACTAATCGACCGAAACACTCCCGGAGACTCCAATACATACTATCGCAAAGATGCATGACAATCGTCTATCGAACAAGGCCTCCTCGTTCCCAAAGACTTACTTCTTGCCCGACGATGGCAGTGTTCCTAACACTGTGGCGTGCATGGTCCTCTTGATGCCACGAATGAGGTTTGAGACAGGATGACACGATGGAAGACGTGGGACTTGGGTGATCTCTCCTGCGTCTGAGACTCTGGGTTTCCTTGAAAAATACAGGGTGGACCTGCCATCTGAATCGAGAGACAGGCCCTATCGTTCGATTCGAAATCAACCGTCAAGGCCCAGGGACCGCGAAAAGCCTTTGTCGCCACGGGCTGACTCACTTGCTGAGACGGCACGACGACTGGATCGAGATAGCCGGGCCATACGCCAGAAAGAACATGATCTACAGAAGGATAAGGCAGACTTTGCCAAGTCATGTCTCGCTTTGGAAGACAGAGCGCGGGAACTCAGGAGGAAGACGACGCAAGAACGACTGAATCCACGAGATACACCTACTCGAGAGTCAAGAGATCCATACGCGAGGCGCGGACGCGACTGGAAACTTCCCCAAAAGCCAACGAGGAGCTCCAACAGGGGCTCGGGAGGGTACAACACCGATCATGGAGAGAAGTATGCCAAGGCGGAGAACTGGCATTGAGCAGCACGTCCAGCATCATAAGATCGAGCCATCAGAAACAGAAGGCCTGCGATCTTAAAAACCGGAATGCGTGGTCTCAAGACCTTGAGCACCCACGACCATAACCTCGGTAAATGCAGCCCCAAGAATTCGAGGACCGCAAGAGACTCGCAATCGGGAGAAGGGAGAAGGTCTGAGGGCAGTCGCGGAAGACACCTTTGTTCTTTGTCAGCACGTCGGTATTCAGAATGAGCCAAATATACTGAGTCACATCATAGACCATCGCGACTCTACTGGGAAAGATCCTTGTACGAGAATGCAGCAGAATTGCAACTTATCTTAGCATACCGCATTTCACCTTGGGTCACTGAACGTTGTTCTTTGGGCCGGTAATGCTTCATGGCACGGTCGATACATTTGACGAGTCTGCGTTGCGCTATATCTAATCCCGCGTTCTATAGCTTACGGTATATATCGAGCGCTGATGCCTGTAGCAAGCACGTTAGTCTTCATCCCTAGTTGCAGTTGAGGAAAGATCACACCTGGTAATTAGGAAACAACATCGAGTCCGCCACAACAACATTCTCTCTCCTACTAGCTGCGAACACAACCACCTCCGCGATATCGTCCGGCGTCAATGGATCACAACCTCTGCCTCGAGTCAATGACCACGCTGGCATGAAGTAACAGAACGACCGGAACTTACTCGTAGACCTTATCAGCCGAAGTCTCATCACCTCGATTCCGTACAACTGTAAACTCCTACCATGGAATCAGCATCTTCCCCACACACTTCTTTTTTAAGTCGGATTGCTCACCGTCAACACCTGTCCCGGATCAACAGTAATAACCCTAATCCTCGTCGCAATCAACTCCTTCCTCAACGCCTCCGTGAAGCTCCTCACCGCCGCCTTACTCGCGCAGTAGATCTACACATCGTCAGCCCGCGTCAGCGCCCTCCTGCACAAATCCCCCTCCTCTTCCCGCCACAACTCTCATCGACCGAAGTTGCACTCACCGACCCCCCGGCATACGCCTCCCTCCCCGCAATACTCCCAATCATAACCACATCGCCTCGTTCACCCTCAGGTCTCTTCTTCGCAATCTTCAGGAACTCTTGGGTCATGTGGATCAAGCCGGTGACATTCGTAGCCCAGACGTCGTCGATGATAGACGGTGGGATGTCCGGGGCGCGCTCGTACCCACTCATGAAGCCCGCGTTGTTGACCAGGATCTGGACGTCTGCGAAGTCATCTGGCAGGTTTTGGAAGAGTTGCGTGATTTCTGAGCGCTGCGAGACGTCCAGCTTGACTACGTGGACTTTCACGCCGTCTCCTACTTCTTCCTTGATCTGCTTGGATATCTGGTGCAGCCGGTCTTTGCGCCGCGCTGTCAAGATCAGTTTGAGAGATGCAGGCGAGGTGCGGGCAAATTCGAAGGCGCAGGAGCGACCTATGCCGGAGGATGCGCCGGTTATGAGGACGGTTTTGCCGTGGAGGTTTTTGGCCGCATTTGTTGGCATTTCGTAGTGGGTTTGGTGAGAGATGGTTGATTCGATTGAGTCATGTCAGAATGAGATGCAAGGTATGGAGGTGTAAATGCAGGTGCGGGAGCTAGGTGGTTTGGGGGGAGGTGGGATGCGGGGTGAGGGGTGTATAGCCGATGCGCAACTGCATCTACCTATGGTATGTTTTCCATTAGCATTACTACAAAAGCAGTCATAACTATCAACCGCAGACAATTCTGCAGAGCAATCCCCTTGCACTCTGACATTACTGCAGTCTGCGTCGAACCTCTTCATCGTCGCCATCGTCGCCATCGTCGCACTTTCGACTTCCCATTGTATTCCTGAGCAATGACTTGTAATGCCTCACAGGTGCCATCGCGTGTCGCTTCCCTGAGGTCTGCAAGAGCCATCAAGCTGACAGCAGCCACATCAGATCATCTTAAGCGCCGAAATCAGAGACTCAGACCGCCTCCCCACCCCATGAATCTTGAAAACCTTCCAGGTTCCCCAGCGCTTTGATCATTCTTCCTTGACTGCCGTATCGCAACAGGTAGGCTTACTGTGCTTTCCGAGGTGGAAAAGTCTGTTCCTGCTGTGCTATGTACACTCGTCGAACGCTTCTTCTTCTTCTTTTTGGAACTTCGGGGTCGTGGAGAAGCTGAATGTGTACGATCGACCTTCAGATCCTCAATAACCTCAATGATATCACCGTCAAGGCTGAAGCGGCTATTGATTTCTTCAACCCTCGCACGGTTGGAAGGTGGGTACAAAGATGTGTCGTTGACTATTATGGATGGCACAGACTGTCTCGGCGGGCTAATCTGTTCTTTTTGTTGCGTCCTTGTGTTCAAGGTTTTTCCGGCTTTTGCGAGCGAGTCTTTATGATTTGAGGAAGAATTAGCGTAATTGGCCATGTTGGCTTTGGCCTTTGGTGATGTTGGTATATCGATATCGTCAATATGTCGAATCTGCCCATCACTAGACCTCTCCAAAACAGATGATTTGGACTTCGCAGGCGGCTCTTGGATAGACCTGACATCTTGGTGTGAGCTCCTTTTGGCTGGTGCGGTGGTGATTATGGGTGTAGCATTTTTCGACCCTTCTGATGTGATAGGGTCCTTCGAAGAGGTTGATATACTGCTCTTACCGCCTCTAGTACCAGGCTGCTTCAGTTTTCCATTATACTCATTTTTAGGTGCCTTTATCTTCTGCTCAGCCTTATCGGAAGATGTGTTGATTGATTTCGAGGTAGGTTCTGCTTTGCGTTGACTGTTGTCATGGGCGCGTTTATCATCCTTGACGTTGCTTTGGATTACCTCTGGGGTCAGGTTCTTCGAGGGGCCCATTTCAGCGGTACTAACGCTCTTCGGACTAGACAACGCTGGTGGCGAAGCTGGGAGTGCATCAACTTTCTTGCGAGCCTGGATGTGAACACCTTTACTATTAGGTGTCTTCTTTTTGGATGTGGGTGGCTTCGTCTCATTGGCCGTTTCCGTTACTTCTGGAATATCAGACAAAGTACGCTGGATCCTCAGTATCTTAGGCTGTACTGTCGTCACCACTTTGTTCTCTTCGGTCGATTCGAGCTGCTCATAGTGCTCTTTCGCGCATTCGCAGGTATACGTAATCCTGAACGCTATTTTGAAATCTTCACCAGTAAGACTATCCACCACTTGCTTTGCACTTGGTCTTTTCTGTCTGTCGGGATTGAGCATTTGACGTACGCAAGCTTCCCATAGTGCCGAGGCCCTCCTCGAACCCGTTGAAAACCAGGCTGGAAGACGATCGACTCTTGTGTGATATGGCTTCCCGGGCCCTACGTCGACGTCCTTGCGTAGTTGCGTAACAGACCCACTCAGGATGGTCATCAGCTCCACAAATACGACGCCCAGCGAGAACACGTCCGTCTTTGAGCCGTGGCGAGAGAGGACGCCATTCGAAGACATGGCCTCGGGAGCTGCAAACAATCTGGTAGCGCTAGCTGGACTGACTGTTGAGGTCTCAAGGCCGGACTCAAGTCTGCGTGAAGAACTGAAATCGGTGAAGAAGATCCGGCTGCCTTGGTGGATTATGTTGCTTGGCTTGATGTCTTCATGATGGATATTATGCGAGTGCATATAGGCCAATGCTGAAGCAAGACAAAGAAACCACGACTTCGCCCAAGTACAATACGTGCTTTTTTGGCCTTCTGATGCTTGAGGATATACCTCGCCGAGGAACATGCCCAGATCATTGTTGCCGCTGGGCAACATAAGAGCACACCACGCCACGTTGTTCTGCCCTACCTGCTCTTGGTAGCAGCCGAGAACTTTGACGATGTGTCGGTGGTCAAGACTTTTCAGGTTTTCGATCTCATGCCGAATACTTTCCTTGTCCTGTTTTGCGTATTGCCGACGGATGTTCATGCGTTTCCGTACCATTGGCTTGTTGAAGCCACTGATCCTGACTTCGTGAATCTCGCCAATAACACCTCTGCCCAGAAAACCTCTAGTTGTGACCTTGATAACAGATGTCGGGGGTTGTTCCCATAGGAACTTCTCCGCGCCAACCTGCCAACCATACTCTTCCGCCAAGTCATTCAGAGATGGACCGACTTTGTTGTTTTGCAGCGTTTCCGGCTGTTTCCCAGTATTTGCAGAGCTGGTCTGCGCCTTGTCAACGGGCGATGGCGCGCTGCCCTCGTTTGCCTCTATATGAGGTGCGCTTTGTTTCGAAGTGGGAGCCGTGTTCACAGCCTTGCCCTCTACATCTTGACCCCTGTGGCCAGGCTGTGCCTTCCCGTGGTCCTGATCGTTCTCTTTCTTATGCGTGTCGGCCTTCGAAATGCTTTTGAGACGGATGGCCGCTTCCAGCACCGATTCCGATCGCTCCTTCAGTCGCGTTAACTCTTTCGAGTCCACGGTCGCATGCGCATAGGGCTTGACCCAGTGTCCGTCAACGCCTTTATGTCGCCCTGCCCAGATACGCGCTTCGGGACCGATGGTTCGTTTAGCATCGCTGAGGGCCGTTTCGAGGCCTTCACCAGGCAGGAACCACTTTTTAGGTTCCTCGTGGAGAGCTACTGTCATGGCACTTGTATGCCTGAGGTGTAAAGGCGGGCGGCGACGTGCTTGACGCGCTCATGTCCTGGATCGGAGTGAAGCGAAGCTTCGATTGCGATAGGTATGGAGGGGCAGGCAAAAAGTGGCATGCAGAAGAGCAGGCAGGCGCTGACTTGACCCATCTTAGGCACAACCTCCGCCAATCAGAGAGTGCATGCTCACTCGAAGGATCGTGTGGGTCCTGCAGTTACAATTGCAGCCAATACCTGGAAAAATGCTGACCTGACTCTTCCTACATTCTTTCCAGGCCATCTAATGAGTGAGCAAAGACAATATGTTGAACTAGCCAGTAACTATACCGCAGCAGCCATGTCTGTGGTTCACCCACCTCGAGCGAAACACATGCAGGCCTTAACGGACATTCTAGATGTAAGTCTAATGTTACATACTTACACCATCGCCGCATTCATCACAGCCCTTTGCTCTGCCTCAAGCTTATTGGGTGGGGCCTCTCGAGGTCGAAGACTGGTGGAGTAGGCATCGAGGACTTCATGCAAGAATGGAGGTAGCGCGCGATTATAATACATCGTTAAATCTTCGGGAGATTGATAGATGACTTGTGGGTTTCTTGGTGTTCAGTTAACTGGTGAATGATTGCAAAGGAGTCGCGAGCTCTCGTGCGACGTGAAGGTACGCGGCCAACCTCGGGCCGGGCCTAGCGTGGCGCGCCATGACAACATGCCAATGACAGGAAACAGCATTGGTTCTAGCTGATAAGCTCCCAACCCAGGCCTTGTACTATACTCACCACAAGTATCAGGGCGGCCAATTTCTCCCCCAGCAACCAGTCAGGCTTTAGCTGTCTCCAATCCAGTCCCTAACACGCCTCGGAGCTCACAGGCCTTCTACAACGCTCAGCAGCAGCTCCTTCTATCAGAATCTCTTTCACAAAGCACCTGCGTAGTGCTTGCCAATGGTAGGCAGGGCTATTGCAGAAGCCAACCCCAAAGCAGCTCAGCTTGAAGCCGAAAACTTACAAATCCAATATCAACTAGAGAGTACTAGGATTACTTGCTAAGAAAGCTAGTACAAGTCCACTCCAACAAGTGTTATTGGAGAGGATGAAGGGGAAGGAAATGTTGGCTCGAGCTTTGGAAACAGCGACTGCTGTGCGACGTAGGACCTCAAAGCTTCGCCCTATCTCGCCCTCGAACTCGTCAACCGGTTGGATTTCGTCGACGTAGACCTTGGCGCCTAGCTCTTCCAACCGTTCGATCAGGCCGAGTTTGCGTATGCGGTTCGGTCCATCGCCCACACGATGGTCACGTAGGCCGACGTGGTAAGATGAGTAAACGATAGCGATGGAACTTGCAGACATTCTGAGAGAAGAAAAAGTTTGATTTGCGCACATTGTTCAGGTATCGTTGCTGAACTTATGGCTCTCTCTGTTTGCTGAGAAGCCCGAATCTCCAACGCTATGACGTCAGCTTTAGAGAAGTATCCCAATCCGCCAGCAAAACTTCACTGCGACAGCAACCTCGAAGGCCTCCACGATCGCCCAAAAAAATAATTTCCACCGACTCAGATGCATTATAGCCGCCAAAGATGCGCATTCCCTCTCAAGTTGTCTCCATTCTTGCTTTGTAGCCACCACCCACCTCTATGATCCACCACTTGACGCTCCACCAAGCCCAAACAGACTCCTCACCACCCTCTCCATCCCCTCTTGGTCAACCGACAGGATGATTTGGAGAAGACAGACTTCTCTGCCCGGCACCTTGCCGCAGGCGGTGCACGCTCGGTTGAACCAATGGCTGTTCTCGTCGCGCTTGGTCTGGTTGATCTGCTGGCAGTTCGTGTCAGTGCATCGCCATATATAGACCTTGATGGGAGGCTGATGCGTAGTAGTGTGAGCTGGACTCCTGCTGCTGCTGGACATGTTGCTGGCAGCGTTGTGGTGAGGTGATGCGAGAGAGGTTTTGAGGGTGCGTGGTTGGCTTCGGTGGTGCGTGTGGGCCTGTTGTGAATGTTATAGGTGTTCCTGGAGGAATTCGATGATAGTGGTACGTGTGGTAGTGTGATGTTGATGGGCCTGGGAGTGACTTGGTGTTGTGAGGGTCGAGTACGACGTTGGACAAGAATCGTTGCCTGCGGCATCGCACTACTGTTGACCTTAACGATGAGGTGAAGAGCGGACATGTAGTTGCAGCTGAGTCAACAAACGGGCACGTGGGACTGCAGCTTTTACTATGGCGGTCAACCGTCCGACAGAAGCTGCGTTTGACGAACGCGCAGCTGCTAGCGTCACCTTCGGTAAGTGCGGATGAAGAGAACATGGGTTTTCAGTATGATCGAACCGATGAAAGCCTCCAGGCTTGCACTTGCATTGTAGTCTGGTAAGCTCCTTGTAATGATGTTTTGTATCTTGTTTTACCTCGCTCACGCAGTGTACGTCTCTGACACCATTTCACTCTCAAGCATCCTCCATGTCGACATCCTCAGTCTGCGCTTCGTTCGTCTTCGTGACACCCTTCAGACAGCGATAGACCCGGTGACGGGCAGAGCCACACTCCTCACAAGGCTCAGAAGTCGCAGTACAATCAACAGAAATGTGCCCCGGCTCCTCGCATCAATCGCAGAATTTGGTGATCTTCCAATCAGACTTCGACTCCTGCTTGATCCGAATCGCTGCTGCTCGGAGAATGTTCTGAACGTCACGGACTTCGACAGTGTTTGGCGTGCACCCTCCAGAAGGCGCAAATGGATGCAACGTCTCGTTAAGAGCTAAGAGCGAAGTGATGACGAGGGTCCGGAGAGCATCATTTTCCGCATCGTGCAAAAAACCACGACCCCGCTGAACCCAGGCCAAAGCTCTCGGTGAGTGATTTCAACCCTTTCCTGTCTGTCTCACCAACGATACCGGCGTCCAAATCAACGTACTTGGCTTGGATCAGGCCGACAGTATCCAGCTTGTGGATGTCGATAAGCGGGCGGCGCTTGCCAGGCTCATCCTCCTTCTGGTAGGCTTCTTCCGTAAAAGCGGGCTGAACCACAGCCTTGGCTTCTTCCTCTGTCAGGAAGCCTGTGCTACCCAGCAAGAAATTTTCTTCCGGTCTTTTCGGTGCAGCCGTGGAGTCGGTTGACCATGTGGCACCTCTCGATGACACGGGTGCTGTTGGGATTGTTGACGAAATTGATAACTTCTTGGCCGTAGATGGCTGCGAACTTAGCTCAGTGGGCGGTGCGAGTCCAAAATCTTCGCGCAGCTCACTGTATCACTCCATGTGGAAGGATAAGAATACGGTATCTTGGACCACTCGAGGGCGTCAGGGGGGTTTTCGGTGCTTTTTGTGAAGTACTCGAGATTCTTCAAGTTCACTCGCTCAAGTTGCTTGCTCTGCAGCAGCTTCTTGAGCGCGGCGAGGTCTTTGTTCTGCGGTGACATAGTCGCTGAAGAGGTTGAGAATGTTGATGTAAAACTGTATTGATTAGGAGTCGGAGGATCTCCAATGTTTGGAAAGTGTATGTACTAGTAAAGTTAGGTGGCAGGTACAAGCCATGTCATAGTACCTCCTTCTGGTACGAAGATAACCCCTTCCAACAGAGAAAGGTGTGCTGGTGGCTGGTGTAGGGTTGCAGGCAGAGGTGGACTGAAGTTGAGATCGAAGTTGAGCGGAAGGTCAATGCGTGGAATCAAGGGGAGGGTATGTGTTATATGCTTATATCAGAAGGGGTGTATGGATAAGGTGAAGTAAGCAGGGGTCAGCGCGATGCAACCTCCTTTCACTCAAACCCTCGACCCGAGAAGAATTGGCGCGTAGCACCCGTTATAGTCCTCCCCTTGGCGACTGATTGAGCAGCTGAGAGATTGGATTTTTCCATTGTCTATGCTTCTATGTTTGCCTCTGACATGCTCGACAAGCGGCGCGTGTCCAGCTGTGTGATTGCAAAGTCACTGTCTACCCATAGCAGCAGCAAACGACATCGTCAGTGGAAAAACCATATACGCACGTGTACGCAGTAAAGCTTTAGGTATACGCATCCCAAGCGTTACTTCGTTTGCTATGAGCCTGACCATAGCCACAACATCATCAACTTGCAGCACCCCTCCTAGGCCTGACCCCTTCGCAAGTCTCTTCAAGAGTCGTCCTTCTTCTCCTTCCCCCCTTTCCTCTTCTCCTCTCTCCTCTTCTCCCTCTCCTCAATAAACTCCACTGCAGCCATGAGTTCCCTGCATTCGGCGTCCAGCACCTCCTGCATGTGATCCCCCCACTTCTCGTCGAATTCCTCGAGAGCTCTGTCTGTTTGCTTCCGTGTAAAGCCTGCCATCTGACACACGTGGAATTCCCTGAGCCGGAGGGCCTCGCCTTCGTCGGCTAGTCGGTCGCGCAGCATGAGGATGGCAGGGTTGCGGCGGATGGAGGAGGGGATTGGTTTTTCTTCGTCTCCGGCCATGATTTCAGTTCTGTGGGATTGTGTGGAAATGTGTTTGAGTGTAAACGGGTCTTTGGGTTTGTGGAATGTTTGATTGAGAAGTGTTGATCTGCTGTATCTTTGGATTGTGGATGATTTCAAGTATGAAGCAGGTTGAGAAGTGAATAAATACCTGTCGCCGGAAGCTCAAGCGCTGACCTGTGCCCAATGGCCCATGCCATCTGTTGATGAGTTGTACCTGTCCAACAGTACAGCCGTTCTCATCGCGACGTGGCCACCACGTGTTTTGACAGTGGTTCACACTCAGTGAACAGAACAACTGGGTCCCATAACATCTACTCGCGCTTTCCAAGTGCTATCTCCCCTGCAGCTTAGCATGGCTGCTCCAGAAACTCTTGACAACTTATCTACGAACGCTTGCGTTAGCCTATCCAGCGCATTAGTCCGTTTGTTTGTGTCATACAACAATCTCGCCCACTCTTGGTCATGGAAGGCTTCGCCATCCACAGCCGCTATGTCTTCCAGATAGGTGTCAATGCGCCGGTCAAGTCCTCGGCCGCTTCGAAGAAATAGCGATATTCATTCGCCAGTGGCTTGATCGCCTCGGACCAGCTGTACACTCCCAGGGTATTGCGACACATCGGACACATATCTGCGTTGTCCATATCAGTGTCCAACCACGCTTGCAGGCACGTGGTGCCAACGACGTGGTCGTAGTTCAAGGTCCTGACAGCGGGATGGCAAGGATCGGGTAGGGAAAAACATGCAAATGGCTGTGTACATGAGCACGCCTACAGGGCCATGTAGAGCATGTCGGAGCCAAAGCTGAGTGTCCTTGATGTCAGATATTTTGGCGTTGGACGAGCTTATGATACAAGAGCAAAGAATGTGTGAACACTCCTTGGCAGAGGTTGCACAATGTTGCATATCCAGGTTACGTCGTTCTCCATGACGAAGCGAGATTCGAGCTTCTTGGTCATCCATTGCGGACAACCCCGGGGCCCGAATTGTGCATCTTCGAGCCTGAGTCTGCCTACTGCTCTGTTCACGTCCGAGCGATCGGATACTTCGGGCTTGCCTTCTTCAACGACGGGCTCGGTTGGGAGTACAGGTGAAATGCATATGCTACATGTACAATAGACAATGTACGACCTAAAACGCCAGACCGTGTATATCGCTAATGGAGCGTGGATATCAAAAACAAACATCGTACAAACAGTAGGGGAGAGAGAGAAGCCACATACCATCGCACACCACCCCTCTACCGCACTTGCCCCCTCCCTCTCATCTAGAACTCACCACCGCCACCGCCCATGGCAGCAGCCCCCCAAATCCCGACCAACCCCCAAACACCGACTCTCCAGCCTCTCCACAGCCCATGCACACCCTGCCCCTTCCTCGTCCTTATCGGCCTCTGAAAGCCCATCTTCTGCGCACTAGCCGCCTTGCTCGCACTCGGACCCACCGTGGTGATGCCCTCCTCGCGCATCACAAACCAAATCGTACCCAGTACACCTTTGTAGGGCCCAGGGTCGATGATAGTATGGAACCTCCTCAGACTTGAATCCTCGACTGGTTTCTTGAGCACAGGCTCAGAGTACTGACTCTCATACCCACTGAAGTACGAGTTTGAAGCGGACGCCCGCTGAGGCTCCTGGCGATACTCGGCAGCCAGCCGGCGGTTCTCGTTATCCTGGAGAACAGCGACCTGGCCGCGGCGCAACACGGTTTCGAGGGGGAGCCGGATGAAGAGCTCAGCGGTGGAGGAGAGCAAGGTGCTGATCGAGTAGGTTGTCGGTGTGATGATGGGGTCGATGGAGAGCGTTGAGCGGAGGAGCAGCGGGGTCGAGGAGGCGATCAGGGTTGGTATGCAGGCGTGGAGCAGTGTGGCGGGGAGCATGTTTGAGGATATGGATATGGAGGGGAGCAGCGAGAGGCAGGGGTAGATGGAGCGCGGGGCGGAGGAAATCGGTGTGACTATGAGCCGGGTGCGGATCAGGTCGAGGGGTGCGAGGACGGTGGCTGCGATTGCGGTGGCGGCGACGGCGACGGCGAGGGACATGAGCGGGGAGGGGCTGTCAATGATGTCAAGGCCGCCGATGCCACTTGCTGTAGCGCCCATGGTGCCGGGGTCGGGGATGTTGAGGAGGGCGGAGAGGGCGCTGCGGAACCAGCTCTCGGTGGTCTTGAGGAGGAAGTTGTAGATGAAAGTGCAGTTTGTGCCCTTCCACACGCCCCATGCCGACTCCTTCTGCCATAGCTGGCCAATGACCTCGAGCAGCGAGTCTGCCCGCTTCAGGTCGAGCTTGCGGGCGGATGGCTGGGGTGGCCGTGTGGGCGTCTCTGAGCGAGAGCGGCTGTGCACGTGCCTCTGGTCTCTCTTCCGCGGGGATCGTGACCGCGACGCGGAGGGCAAGCGGTGGCCGTGGATGCCGTGGATGGCGTGGGTGCCGTGGGTGCCGTGGGTGCCGTGTGGTGCTGGCGCAGTCGATGTGAAGTACCCCGGCGCATCGTCGTCCGACTCTTCCTCGTCCGAGGGGTACTCGCCGTACTTCCCGCTCGCGAAGCTGTCCGGCCGCCCGCTCTCGCTGCTCCTCCAGTCGTCGCCACTGACTCTCAGCCCTGGGGCAAGCTGGCCGCGCGCCTCGTGCACCTGCAGAATAGTCTTGGCGACCTCGAACGGCTGGGCCAGCAGCACGCTCGTGTAGTTCCACAGCGCCTGGTCGAGCAGCTTCTTTGCGTGCTCGGCGACGGTCGGGGACGAGCCGGGGAAGTAGCTGTCGTAGTCGAGGTCGGACAGGATGTCGCGTGCCTGGCTGCCGAACGAGGGCTTGTTCGCGCTGCGCGAGCTGTACGGCGGCGGCCCGCCCGACGACCCATGGCTGGTCTGCGGCGGGAGTTCGGGCGGCAGGCCTATCGACGGCGGGACGTAGTAGGGTCGGAGGGGATTCGGGGCGTCGCGCGACATGGGCAGCGCGTCGGCCATGTTGGGCGGAGGGGGCAGGAGAGGGGAGGAGGGGGAAGGAGGAGGAGGAGGGGGAGGAGGGGGAGGGGAGGGCGTGAGGGAGGGCGTGAGGGGGGGAATAGCGATGTGTGCGTGGCGGCGTCGTCTGCGGGCGCTGGGCGATGATGCGCTTGCGTTCCGTGAGTTTTCAGGATGAGCGGAGCGCCCTGCAAGCAACGGCGCCGATCAACAGTCTGTGCGTCATTGGGCGTATCACAGCGCCTCGGATCTACCGCTGTCATTCTCGTGCAGTATCAGCTTTTTTTGAACGCATCCCGGGCCCCCTTTCCACTCGCGTCTCCTTACTTCGTGCTGCACAATGGCGTCTACGAGGAGCTTTGCACATGCGCTGCGGTGCGCCGAGCAGCTTGCAGCGGCGTCGAGCCTGCGCAGTGCAAGATGCTTCTCGAGTCAATCCAGCAGTCGGGCCTTGCAGCGCATTACACAGGCGAGGAGGTCACTCGCACCAGGGTCGCAGCAGCCATCGCGCATCGTGTGTGCGGCGGCGGCGGCTGCTGCTGCTGCTGCTCGGAGGCCTTTCTCGTCGAGTCCCGCCTCCCGCCACGGGCACCTCGACAAGCCAAAGTCCGGTGAAGAGTATGTCCAGCTATGCGCTACACTTGTTTCCTCGCCGACAGACATCTAGACTGCACATAACATTCATCGACAAAGACAACCAATCGCACACCTTCGAGGTCTCCGACGGCGACAACCTGCTCGACATCGCCCAGGCCAACGACCTCGAGATGGAGGGCGCATGTGGCGGCTCGTGCGCATGCTCGACCTGCCACGTTATCGTCGAGGACGAAGCAAAGTACGAGGCCATGGAGGAGCCCGACGACGACGAGAACGACATGCTGGACCTGGCGTTCGGTTTGACAGAGACATCACGACTGGGTTGTCAGGTGAAGATGAGCAAGGAGTTGGACGGACTGGTGGTCAAGCTGCCGAGCATGACGAGGAACCTGCAGGCTAGCGACTTCAAGTGAGCGTAATCGGGAGGGGAGAGGCCATGTTGTCAGGGATATGCGAGCAGACGCAGCCATCTACGACTGCATAGCGACACGACGACTGCATAGTGACACGATATGGGCGGCATATGTCTGGTGTATGGATGGATCAGTCTGGTGTATGGATGGATCATCAACTGTACTACTATACGGCACTCGGCTCACGGCGTGTGGGGAAAAATGTACGCACATCACCTTCGACTTGTATTTTGGTATCAAATGCCACATCAGATTTCCCCAAACGCCGTTCCGTCTGCACCACCCCGCTATGCTTCAACAGACCCCTCCTTCGCCTTTTGCCCGCCCGTGATCATGTCGAGGAATCCCTGCTTGCTCATCTCCTTGACCTTCTCCTCGCGCTTCGCCATGCCAACCATGCTCTGGTCCTTGGCCTGCTGCTCTGCTAGCTCACCCTTGACCTGGGCTGCGCGCACTGCGTTGAAGAGCTTGATGACACCCTTCTGTGCTGTCCGCCTGAGCTCCTTCTCTTTGGCCGTGACTTCGGCGGTGCTGGTGCTTGCGTCGTTCAGGCCCAGGACGTCCTTGACTCGCCCCTTCTCGCGCGCCGCTCGCTTCTCGGCGAGAATCTGTCTCCGCGCCTTCTCGTTCAACTTGCTGTCTGCGAGCTCCTTGTTGGCCGTTTGCGCGTCCTTGGAGCGGGCGAGAATGGGCTCGGAGCGTTTTGTTGATGCAAGTTTGGTGTTGAGGATGCGCGAGATCGAGGTTGCGAAAGCGTCCGGGTCGTTGCGCTTCTTCACTTTGCGCGCAGCCGCCGTCGATGTTTCCGAGACGTCCGAGTCCGAGTCTTCAATGTCAAATTCGTCGGCTTCGGCCTCTAGGTCAGATTCTTCCTCTTCTCCCTCCTCTTCCTCCCCCTCCTCTTCTTCCTCCTCCTCCTCGTCGTCGTCGTCCGCAAGCTCGTCCTCGCTCGGCGAAGAGTCGTGCGCCGGGTCGGCTGCCGCAACCTTGGCGGGTACTGTCATTTTGTGCTTGGGTGGAGGCTTGAGTGCGGACTTCAGAGGCTTTGGCTTCCGCTCCACGGCATTTGCACCTGACGGCTCGAATGGCTCTTCCGCCTCTTGCTCTCTTGGCGCCTTGTAGTTCTTGGGCGCATCGGTCGCGACATTCTCGTCGCCAGACTCGTCGTCCGAACTGTGGTAGTACTTCTGACGCTTGACCTTCTTTTTTTCCTTCTTCGGCGCCCCCTTCCTCATCTCCGCCTCAGTCCGTCTGCGCTTGAGCGATGTGTTCACCATTGTGGCTGTGTGTTGTGACTTTCGGTGGTGGAAAACGCTCGAGGTATACCTTCCAGAACTTTTTTTCCCAGCATGCGTCGGCGGTCAGGGTTCAATTCACCGAACGCCAAGGGCCCCGCCCCGCAATCCATCGATTCCCCACTGAACACCAAACATCGCCGCATCGCCGCATCGCCGCATCGCAACCCACACGTACACGCTTCCATCCCCGTCAACCATACCACAACCGCCGCCATGGTGCTGCAAGATCTCGGGCGGCGCATCAATGCCGCCGTTTCTGACCTCACACGGTCGCCGAACCTCGACGAGAAGGCTTTCGAGGCCATGCTGAAGGAGATCTCCAATGCACTCGTCGAAGCCGATGTCAACATCAAGCTGGTCATGAACCTGCGCCAATCCGTCAAGCGCACAATCGACTTCAAGAACCTCGCGCCCGCTGTCAACAAGAAGCGCCTTATCCAGAAGACCGTCTACGATGAGCTCGTCAAGCTCGTTGACCCGCACGCCGAGCCCTTCAAGCCGAAGAAGGGCAAGCAGAACGTCATCATGTTCGTTGGTCTGCAGGGCTCTGGTAAAACAACATCGTGTACGAAGCTCGCAAGATGGTATCAGGCCAGGGGGTTCAAGGCGTGTTTGGTCTGCGCGGATACCTTCCGTGCTGGTGCCTTCGATCAGTTGAAGCAGAACGCTACCAAGGCAAAGATCCCTTACTACGGTAGCCACACCGAGACGGACCCCGTCGTCGTCGCAGCTGAGGGTGTGGAGAAGTTCAAGAAGGAGCGTTTCGAGATCATCATCGTGGATACTTCTGGACGACACAGCCAAGAGCAGGACCTTTTCGACGAGATGGTCCAGATCCAGAATGCCGTTACGCCCGATCAGACAATCATGGTTCTCGACGCTACAATCGGTCAACAAGCCGAAGCGCAGGCCCGCGCCTTCAAGGACGCAGCAGACTTCGGAGCCATCATCATCACCAAGACCGACGGTGCTGCAGCAGGTGGCGGTGCCATCTCCGCTGTCGCCGCAACACACACCCCCATCGTCTTCCTCGGAAACGGAGAACACATGCTGGACCTCGAGCGTTTCAGCCCCCAGCCCTTCGTCTCCAAGCTGCTCGGCATGGGTGACGTCGCCGGTCTCGTCGAACACGTACAATCGCTCAAGCTCGACCAGAAAGACACGATGAAGCACATCGTCGAGGGCAAATTCTCCATCAAGGACCTCCGCGACCAGCTCTCCAACATCATGAAGATGGGCCCGCTCAGCAAGATGGCTGGAATGATTCCCGGGCTGAGCAATATGATGGGGGGTATGGACGACGAGGAGGGTAGCACGAAGCTCAAGCGTATGATCTACATTTGCGACAGTATGACGGAGAAGGAGCTCGAGAGCGATGGCAAGATGTTCATTGAACAACCCACGCGAATGACCCGTATCGCTCGTGGATCCGGCACGAGCGTACGAGAAGTCGAGGAGCTGCTCACACAGCACAAGATGATGGCAGGAATGGCCAAGCGCATGGGCGGAATGCACAAAGGGATGCAGAAAGCTCAGGGCGCCATGGGTGGCCTTAACCAGAAGCAGCAGATGGCCGCTATGCAGAAGCGAATGCAGTCCATGGGCGGAGCTGGACGGGGCGCAGGAGCAGGGATGCCCGATATGTCGGCGATGATGAAGATGCTTGGAGGTGGCGGGGCTGGAGGGGGCGGGATGCCAGACATGTCGGCGCTTCAGAACATGATGGGTGGCCTCGGAGGGGGCGGCGGCATGCCAGACATGTCGCAGATGATGAATATGATGAAGGGAATGGGAATGGGAGGCGGCGCTCAGGGCGGGCGAGGAAGGCGGTAGTCCATGGTTACAGATGAGACGAGACTTTGGATTCTGCTTTTCTGTGCATAGCCGCGGCGTTCAGGTTGGGCGGGTTTGACCTCTCACAGGTAACACGCTGGAGGTACGTAGATCTATGTTGTAACTGGTCGTCTGCTGATGACGAAGAAGAAGCAGTGCATGTAGAGAGTGATGATCAAAGATTGAATGCAAGATACCCCACATCTCACCGCGATCTAACGATGATAGTCTACCTGCGTCCTTCCAGACTCTCCGGCAGCTCTTCTGGTGATCAAGACGATCTCCTGGAGACCCTCAGTACATCACGGCGCGGTTCAAAAAACCGCTAATACACCTGTACAAATACTCAAGTTGCTTTGCTGCGCTGCTTTTACTGTTGCACCATCTCTCGACAGCCTCAAACCAAGTTTTATTGCTTTCTGCCACGCCAGCCCTAACACCAGAGGTTCTCACCGACTGAATGTGAATATCTGTCCACGTCCTCGCCTTCACCTACGACCTCGAAGTCACATACAAAGTAAATGTTCATCTGCTCTTTTCTTATCGCTCACCTCGCCACGAGGCGTGCTAGCACATCCCACCTCACCTCACCTTCCATCACGCTATCATCCTCCACATGAGCGCCCACCACCCTCAACGGCCCCGATGTGAAGCCTTGCACAATGTTGTTGTCCTTTCCAGATGACGACGCATCACGGCGGTGCCGGCAAAAGACGCATGGAGTGTCTGCAGCTGGCAATTCTGCAAAACACTCGGTGAGGCGTTTGTCAAACCGGGAGACGACTCTTCCTCAAACGCATACAACTGAGGTCCTGCGAGAGGCTTTGACTACAGGAAGCGGTCTACGCCATTCCCTGCTGAGCACTCCTCATCGAGGTCGATCATTATCAACAAGCCATTCAAGGAACGATATGTACAGCCAAACTGCTACTCGCGAAACAACTGATCCCGAGTCAGGATGGACACTCCAGCTAGCATCGACGCTTCGTTCCCTGTACATTGCGGGGATCTGATGTGTCATGGGTGGTTCAAAACTGGACACTTGGAACGCGGATACCACCGGAAAGTACAACATCTTGTGCTCTCAGTCCCCGAACAAAAATGAAGCCGCCGACTCGATGATGTGGCGGCGTAGGCCACTTGTAGAATACGATGAATACTGCACTAAGTTGTTATTTAGCTAGGAGAAGACAATACATGCTGGTCCTGAAACATACTAGCTCAGAATAGTCTGAGTAGGGATAATCAGGCCTTATACGGACCGATTGATACCGCAGCAGATGGCTGACAACGCAGCTCGCAGAACTCCCAAAGGCTGGAGAAAATCTGGGAACGAAATGACCACTGACAATACGCCGCTGGACCCACAAGATCTCAGAATTCAGAGCGTAGCCACAGTCTGGCAATAATGGAGGGCTTTCCAGAAGGCGTTGCCCCAGACCATCTGTGTAAATCGCTGTCTCGACGCACCGAATCAGTCTTCTCTAAGCGGGCCGATCTCAGCACTTGCATACACCAGCCGGGGGTGGAGGCATTGTCCCTTCCGAGCGGATCTTCGAAGAAGATCACCGTTGCACCAGATGCGCCTCCTCTAGAGGGAAAAACGAAGAATGGCCGTGTTGTTCCAGACGATACAATCGTGTTGTTCCAGACGATGCAATCGCGTTGTTCAGTCACGAAAGAGACGTGTCTGATGACACCGACCATCTTACGACGCTACACGATCTGGTGCTGACGTTACGCTGAATGAGCCCACCGAAACAGTGTTCTCCAAGCGCTCGAAACTGGGCATCAATGCCCACTTACTGGGATTTCACAAGAATCTATCACAAAGGTTCAACCCAACATCGTCAGCGTTGATAGTGCTGCCTCCCGACACTGCAGCAACCCATCCCCACAGGCTTACACTTTGTTCTTGTCGTGGTCATATCAACTTCCATATACTCATGGGACATTGTTGTCTTCAACCTATTCAGCAACAACGCGCAACGTCACAACGCGACCCGGCCTTATACCGACATCCTGCACATGTTCTTGGAGCTTGTCGGACTCTATCGTCCTCCCTCCCAGGGTCAATTGTCCATTGATAAGGTTTAAGGGGAGACTATCCAGCAGAGGGGCTACGATTGCGGTGTCTTCCCTGCCTGGGCTGCAAAGAAGCTGCCGACCGGACAGGAGATACCGAGGATCCAGAAGGTGCGGAACTTGGCTCTGCACCTACGTGAACTCTACTTTACCGAGGTCAGATGCACAATGAACAATTCGGAGCCGAGTGTCTGGGGCGCTAAACCTCTAAAGTACTAAGAAGGTCTGTGTTTTGAGAGAGCGGCATCTTCGAGGAAGCTCCAGCAGGCCAGTTGACTAGACTCCGACACTGGTCCACCAAAATTGTCAAAGAACCACCGGTGGACTGCTCGAACAGGCATAGTTCCTGTTCCATCAATGCAGTCTCCACACATCATCCCCTGTGAGCTCCGCGACATGATCCTAGAAGAGCTTATAGAGTTTCAATTTCATCCTCGTTAGCTTATCGCCAGCTGCGCCACGAGATTGAGGGCACGTACAAGGCTCTTGTGGTATGCACCGGGAGAGCTGGATCACGTTGGAGAGAAGGTTTGGTGAGGAAGGAAGGGTCAATAGGCTAGATCGCTTGAATCCATCGGACCAAAGATGGAGACTGGGTACGTGGCAAATGAAACAGAGAATGGAGCGTCTGACGGCTAGGAGACTGTACAACATTCCTAAGCTTAGGGAGCCTGGCGTTTGAGGACGGTTCCGAGCATGATTCAGAAACCATTCAAGTTCATACTTCCCTCTACTCCCAAGGATTGTTAGAATCATGCGAATTGTACCAAACCTTAGTACTACATAAAAGCTAGAGATCACGACGTGAACAGCACACACTCCGCAGTGCAGTATCATCTAATTCATGTCATCTCCTCTCCCTACCGCGCGACATACGCGACCTGATCCTCCATTATGTCCTCCTTGGTTATCACTACCAGAGTGTTCCGAAAGCAACGAATGTCTAGCTGGTATGCTGTCAGCTCAGGGTGGAAGTCACTGAGGCAAGGACATGGCTGCATTGACGTGGCTATTGTAGTTTTGTTGATCTCTTTAGAGCTCCTGCCAGATTCAAAGGGAGACCTCAGATTCTCAAAAATGCTATGGGTGGCTAGCCTGGAGAACACTGAACGTCCGACTTACATGCCATCAGCTGCGCGCCGAGATGCTCCCGGCTCTAGATAATCTGCACAAGCATGGCAGTGGAACTGATCCAGTTCACTTCAACAACAAGGCCCTCACCAAAGGAAGAAGAAGCCCCTAGAAACAAAGCACGAATTGGCTGTTGTTTGAAGGCATTCAGGAAGCCTCGCGAAGCGCATTTGGTGAGATGATAAGTCACGAAGCTTGACTGGTCAAAAGTGTCTCTCTACTATGATCATAAGCGGGATACATGGTTGCGCAATCAAAGTACGGGCAGACTCACTCCACCGAAATCATGATGTGTCCGATCCTGATATCATTGGCAAACTGCAATCACGAACAAAACTCTGCTTGCCCCATGCGGAGCTTATTCCATCTACCGATGATTTCGCTCATATCCCTACCACGTGAAATGCGCGACCTTGTTCTTGCGAATGTCATACTCCACTACTGTGGTTGGCAGATGCACAGAATCATGGAATCAAAAGGTCTTGCGAGTGTTCAGCTGACATGCCATCAGCTGTGAATTGAAAGACTAGAAGTGCTAGATAGATTGGTGCAACAAGGATATCCAGACTTATGTGAGTAGTGGTCTATTGTTCCGCGAACGAAACATGCGCAACCAAGGGTAGGAGGTAGCGATAGAAGTCTTGTGGCGGTGTAGGCCACTGCGATATACTGATAGTTACGATAAACGATAGCGTAGGACTATCGGGTCGATGGAATACTGCGCTGAGTTGCTATCTAGCTAGGAGAAGACGACCATATACCTGACCTGAAACATGCTAGTCCAGGATAGTCGGATGTGTGCAACCTCAGGTCTACCGACTGGCCGGTACCGTAACAAGTCTTTTTCTATGCGGTTATTAGCAAACTTCGTTCAACACCAAAACACCAAAAATACCGCATTCCGACATGTGCCTTTGAGGTTAATCTAAAATCTCTTCTCTTATTACTCTTCCACGTGCGCTGCGGGACATAATTTTCTCAAGAATCATTTTACCACATTGTTGTTGGTACAAGCACGACGGAACTGGGGCAACAGCCTTCGAAAATGTCCAGCTGACGTGTAACCAGCTGCGTGCTGAGGTCCTACAAATCTGGGGAAGTTGCCTCTCGCCCAGCCATCATAAAGGTCTGTTTACATGATGTATGTCTTGTGCAGTCAAGAGCAAGAGGTGCTTGTTGAAACGGGCAAGAGCACTGCACCAACACACGTGACCTCTTTACTCCATAAACCGTCACATCATGACACCGTGGAGTTCAGTTAGCATGTCGAAAACTTAAGAAGGAATTCGAAGAGAGACAGATAGTTCGATATCGTCAGCTTCTGAGAGAGCTCGAGCGGAATGAGTTGCGGTAGTAAAACTACGCGACGAAAACGCTGAGATGGTAAAAATGGACATAGCGGGCAGGTACGATGAATATAGTTTGACGTTGAATATGAGTTGACTTTGGCAGACTGATATGAGGGACTGCGAGGAAGAAAATTTGCCATTGTGGTGATACAAGTGTGTATGCTGTCAGGTGGGAGAAAACGATGGCGATGATGTGAGCACATCAATTGCAATCTGACAACGAAGCACCATCACGCCCGTTTAAATATCTCTTCTTGGCCCGGTGAGTCTTATGTGACCATCAAATACTATGTTCATCGTCGCTGTGCCTCGCAGGATCCTGGGTTCGTCTGTCCTGGTATGCACCCTCGATGATCCGTATTCAATTCGGCACTGGAACAACGTTCGAGAGACATGCTCATAATCGCAAGCTGGAGTGTGACCACTATTAGGCCTCGAAAGAGCCGCATGTTGCAGGGTTCCGACGTCATGCTCAAGATTTTGCTGCGTTTGTGATGCCATCCATGAGGCCAACCGGTTTAAAGTCACCCGTTATGCCAGACTGCACCCCCGTGGCAATACCATCGTACGCCAACGCTGCTCCAACAGCAGCGCCTCCCACAATGAGCGCACTTCCGCCACTGACAGCAGTCGCCCCAACGATAGCGGTTGTTCGTGTTGCATTGAGCATGCACCGGGTCCCACCTTCGGTATCCCCTTGCGCGTACCGAACAACACCCACAACGTGACCAACCACCGGCGTGTTCTCCCCGAGTGTCGTCCATGCATCCTTTTGCATATTGAGTAGTCTTTCACTTTCCTGATCGTCGGATAAGGCGCGTCGAATGTTGCTGGTGATTACGCTGCGTTCGGAGTAGGTGACAAAGGTCTCGCCAGCACTGTCAATCATCTTTTTGGCTGCGTCAGACTGCCCCGCTGCTGCCAAAGCGCCGGCTGCGACGGTGCGACTTGCTGCGTCCACGACTGTGACAACCTCTCCGACAACTGGAATGGACTGCGTGGCACCCATGATAAGAGACGAGGACGTACACAATGGATGATGCGAATGTGCTTGGTAAGAACAACGCAATCGACGAGGAGAACAAGAAGCGCAGCTGCGGAAACGTGGACTTGGAACGAGGATTTTATGTAGTAGTAGTAATACGGAGCGCCCGACAAATGTGAGTCCAGAAGCGGGTTTCTGTGCTTCTAGACCGTTCGCGATGTTGGTCTGTGCGCGCAACTCGCAGATTTGCTTGTGTGCCATATACAGGTAATCGTGACGGGCGCCGTAGGTGGTTCGAAGTGAGCATGGCGTCTAGACAAGCAAGAGGAGTCGAATACGCGTAGGGTGGCAAATAGTTCTTGGAAGAGCGAAGAACAACAATTGGAGGTACCGGTCACTGAGGATTTTTGTTGACTATCTCGACAGTGCAATCATAGCTGGCGGATCGGCCTTCTCGTCCAGTACACCCGCCTTTTGCAAGATGTTCACAGTCTTATCAACCACCTTCTGATCCACGCCTCTGACGTCTTTCGCGAACTGTACTGTCTTCAGCCACTCCCTCGCGTCCTCTTCGGAGTAGTCGAGCTTCGTGCTTATGTACTTAACCGCTTCTTCCTGGTTCTTCTCGAAGTGCTTGATGCCCTTGTTGATCTTGACCAGGGCATCTTCCAGCTCTTCCTTGAGTGGCGGCGCAGTAGCGTTGGTACCATGACTCCAGTTCTCCGGGTTCAGCAGTGCGTTAGCAGCAACGATTTTCCAGCTTGACCATGGCGTATATATCTCGCCGACGCGCTTGATCGAACCATTGTCGTAATACCGCTTGGATGTGAAGTGCTCCCACATGAAGAAATCTGCCGTCTTGTCGTTCACCCCGTCCCTCAGATTCGAGAATGTGTTGAGCACTTCCACTGGAAACGGCGACTCGCCTTTCTGGAGCCAGCCTTGCTGGTCCGCCAGGACAAAGCTCATGACATAGCTTCCGCTTCCTATTCTGCTCACACCCACCTTCTTGCCCTTTAGATCTTCTATACTCTTGACGTCCTCCCTTTCTGTACCACTAGATATCGCCCAGCATAAAGGTGTCTCAACGTATGTGCCCACGATGCGGAAACCAGCGTCTTTCTTCGCAGACTGTGCCTTGCCCAATGCGGCAATCCATCCTTCTGTCAAACCAACACCGACATCGATTTCATTGTTCTGCAGCGCGGTGACCATGTGCCCGGTGCCTGAAGGAAATGGAAGGAGTTGCGAGTGCAGATTATAGTGCTTCTTGGCAAACTCGAGTGGTGTTGAGAAGTGCTCAGGCACAAAACCTATCCGGAGAGGTGCCATTCTTGCGGTATGTGTGGAGAAGGCGCGTGTTAAGAGGATCGGTGATGGAAAGCGCGCAGCGCGCAGTGTGCGTAGCATTGGAGTTAGTAGTGTATAGCTCCTGTCGTATTGTCCGCTAATGACAAGAGGCCAACTCTCACTTCTCGCTTCGGTCGTGTTTCGTGATGTCGAATGAAGCTCGAAGGTTGGGACGCGTCAGTGATGTCACGGTTATACTTGCCGAAGAAGGAAGAAAGCATTGACCAGCCCCGCTCGTTCCGACGCAATTCCGATCCACGCCGACCATCGCTCACTCATGCCACTTCCCTTGGCGTTGATGTCGACATGGTAGATTCTGCTGTTGACTCTTCTGCCTTCGTTTCCTTGATCTTCTGTTTTCTCTGTTTCTCGTGATACTCTAGACCGTTCTGTAGCTGCATCCTAGCTACAATCTTTCCTTCGCCACCAGACATGGGCGACTTCGAAGCGCCGTCATCTGAAAAGTTGTCTTTGAGGGCCAGGAGCATAGCTGTCATCGGTGCAGGCCCTTCTGGCTTGGTAGCCGCAAAGCATGTCATTTGATCTTACTTTAAAGCTAGGAGCTGACGGTAACAGATACTTGCGTGCAGAGAAGGCGTTTTCCAATATCGTATTGTTCGAGCAGCGTCCGAGAGATGGCGGCATTTGGAACTACACTTCTGAAGAAAGAGACGAGGACTTGTTCACGGTTCCCCAAAAAAACCCATCGGGAAAGAACCAGGATCCTATCTGGAAGCAAGGATTGGCCAACGGACACACTACTACTGGCATTAATGGTGCGAACCCTGCTTCGAAGGATCCAACGTTCGTGTCTCCAATGTATGAAAGGCTTGAGACGAACATCCCCCGAGGTTTGATGGGGTTCAAGAACCTCGACTGGCCTCAAGATAGTCAGCTCTTCCCCAAACACCAGACAGTGCTCAAGTACATCGAGGACTACGGCAGAGATGTTCAATATACAGTCCGCTACACTACTCAAGTCACAAATGTCACTCCAACAAGCGACGACTCAGCCAGTTCATGGTCTGTAACATCTCGACATTTGCAAACCTCTACCACCACGACAGAGATATACGATGCCGTAGTGGTAGCGAACGGCCATTTCATCACGCCCTACATTCCTGACATCTTCAACATTGCAGAATGGAACAAGGCTTACCCAGGTCTAATCTCGCATTCAAAGTACTACCGCCGGCCAGAGGAGTTCATTGGCAAAAAGGTAATCGTAGTGGGCAACTCCGCCTCCGGCGCCGACATCTCGAACCAAATCGCCGAGCATTGTACACTTCCGCTTCTCTGGTCTAGTAAGTCCACGAACCTGTTTGTCAGCGCAACACCTACGGACCCGCGGCGCCGCGAGCTGCCACCGATCGAGCGGTTCAATCCGGAGATGCGAGGTGTAGAGTTCGAAGATGGCACGATTGAGAACGACATCGACGCCATCGTCTTTGCCACAGGCTACTTCTACAGTCTCCCGTTTCTGGAGGATGTCAGACCGAAATTGATCACCGATGGAAGCCACGTCAATCACACATACAAACACCTCTTCTACGCACCAAAGCCGACGTTATCTTTCCTCGCACTACCGCAAAGGGTGATACCCTTTCCAACTGCAGAAGCACAAGCTGCAGTTCTAGCACGCGTGTACTCTGGCCGACTATCGCTCCCATCTCTTGCGGAAATGGAGAAATGGGAAGACGAGCAGAAAGCTGAAGCCGGTGATGGGAGGAGGTTCCACTTGTTACCCTTTCCGAAAGACGGTCAGAACATCAATGAGCTGTCCAAGTGGGCTCTGAGTGCTCCTCGCAAGGACGATTTGAGTAACGAGGGACAAGGCATGATTCCGCCAGTGTGGGGAGAGTGGGAGTTTTGGTGCCGTGAGAATTTTCCTGCGATACGGCAAGCATTCGGCAAGCTTGGTGAGAAGAGATTCGAGACGCGGACATTGGAAGAAGTTGGGTTTAGGTATGACGAGTATAAGAAGAAGAAGGCTAAAGGGGACGAGAAGCTGGTATAGGATCATTGTATCCATGAGTAATGCCTATGTAACAATGCTGGGTCTTCTTCACAAATAGCGACTGCTCTCCTGGATCAGCAGTTATCCAACTCGACGCCTTGTGCTAAGAATCCGAAACAGCATCCTCAAGTCAACTTGCATGTCCCACGATCCCATCCAATCGGCAACCTTCCGGCTAAATTATCGCTTAGACTTCCCAAAACGTGACAGTTGAGCTCGAGACTACCAACGGGTAGATTGCGGCCGTGCACCTGATTGACGAGCCATCTCTACAGGTTTGTTTATGATTATCTTGGAGTCAATGCACCCTACAATGCTACCACACAAAGTAGAGAACCTAAACGTCATATTCTCTTGACAAGCGTTGACGTGACAAGCATGCTCCTTCTTGGTCGTTCAATCCAGTGCGGACCCCAGTGCAAACATGTTCGTCTGAGCGAGTCAATCGTTATGCACTTTGAAGCTATGCCATCATCTCTTCCGGCGACAGCTCGATCGCATAGTACAGACAGATTGGTAAGATCTGCTGGTAATCATCTGGTTCAGATACTGGTGCGAAGCTGTGCAATATGACATATTTTGATATTATGGAATAGATAAGAATCGAGTTAATGATGAAAGTGTAACGTAGATTACAAGCGAGCCGCGTATACAAGCGAGTCGCGCACCCCACCAACTTTGCCCACCTCTCCTATCTCATCGTACAATGGCTCCACGCAACGTTACCCAATCGCTATCAAATGAAGCAGATATTCAGCTTGCTATCTCATCTCTCAATACACGTCAAATACAGAGTAATCAACGCGCTTCTGCAGCCTTTAAGGTTGCTGAAACTACGTTACGCGACCGACGCGCTGGGAAGCCTGCACGATGCGATTGCCAGCCCAACTCAAGGAAGCTTACCCAGCTAGAAGAGGAGGTGATTACATGTTATATACTGGATCTGGATTCTCGTGGATTTGCGCCTACGTACGCAGCTGTACGTGATATGGCTGATAAGCTGCTTGCTGCGCGCGATGCAGGTTGCATTGGCATCCACTGGCCACGCAACTTTGTCAAGCGTACAGACAGTCTTACGACGCGTTTTAATCGGCCGTACGATAGGCAGAGAGCTCTGTGTGAGGATCCTGTCCTTATCCAAGGCTGGTTTGAGCTTGTAGAGCGGACAAAGGCCAAGTGGGGTATCTGTGACGAGGACGTCTATAACTTTGACAAGGCTGGCTTTATGATGGGCAAGATCACGACTCAGCTCGTTGTGACAGGGTCAGAGAGAAGAGGCAGGCCAAAGGCTATCCAGCCTGGTGACCGTGAGTGGGTGACAGTGATTGCTGCAATCAACGCCGCTGGCTGGCCAATTCCACCGTTTCTCATCTTTGCTGGCCAGTATCACCTGTCTGCCTGGTACGAAGAGGCAGCAATCCCGCACGACTGGGCAATCGCAGTTAGCGACAATGGCTGGACAAACAATGAGCTAGGAGTTGAGTGGCTGAAGCACTTTATCAAGCATACAGAGGGCAAGGTAGTTGGCGCGCGTAGGCTGCTTATTCTTGATGGCCACAAGAGCCACCACTCTCTTGAGTTTGAGGAGCTCTGCAAGGAGAACAATATCTACACGCTCTGTATGCCGCCTCACTCATCCCATCTGCTGCAGCCGCTTGACGTTGGCTGCTTCTCGCCGCTGAAGCGCGCGTACAGCCGCAAGATTGAGGCTCTAATCTGCCACTACATCAACCACATCACAAAGCTTGAATTCCTGCCAGCCTTTAAGGCAGCCTTTGATAGCGCGTTTACAACAGCTAATATCTGCTCAGCCTTTCAAGGCGCAGGCCTTGTGCCTCTCCAGCCAGGCGCTGTTCTGTTGAAGCTGGACGTCCAGCTGCGTACGCCTACTCCAGCTGCTCTGCCAGAGGCTGTCTGGCAGGCTCGTACACCAAGCAACGTACATGAGCTTGAGGCCCAATCAACATTAATTCGTGAGCGAGTAAGAAAGCACAAGAGCTCATCGCCAGCTTCAATCATTGAAGCAATTAACCAGCTTAAGAAAGGAGCAGAGGTGATGATGCTCTCAGCTGAGCTTATGCGCGATCGGATTACTAGCCTTGAGAGAGCCAACGATGCAGTGTCAAAGCGAAAGCAGCATAAGAAAAGGCGTATACAGAAGCAAGGAGTCTTAACAAAGAGAACTGGAGAGGATATAATTGCTCAACGTGAGGCTGATCAGCAGATTGCTCGTGAAGAGTGTCAAGGTGGAGAGCGACCGGGCCTAAGCCGCCAGGCTCTGGCACGCTGTACAAAGTGCAGAGAGCCTGGGCACAACTCACGGACATGTAAAAAGGATAATGTAGACACTGCTTAATCTACCATATTGATATCTATATACTGCTTTATATTGTGGTTGAGTTATACGCTCAAAGAGGTGGGCAAAGTTGGTGGGGTGCGCGACTCGCTTGTATGCGCGACTCGCTTGTACAGTACGTTATATATATTAGCATATGCACGAGAACATCATTATCATCATCATCATGAGCCAGCCTCAGCCACCAAGTGGCAATCTACAAACATCTCATTCTACTATCTTCCAATCAATCTATTACCAGCATCAATATGTATCTCCCAACCTCAGCAAACCCTCTCTTGATCATCACCTGCACTCTCGCCGCATCTGCTATCTCGACCGCTACCGATACCATCGATCTCTCAGACCGCAACGCCCTCTTCAAACAAGCCCTCGATGGTTTAGAAATCACCTACCTTACTGATGACTCGACGCTGCACAAACAAACATGGCCACTCTGGGGCCACGATAGTGGAGACAAAGACTGCAGCTGCCCTAATGGGATCGGAAGTGAACAGGCACTGGGACCGGAACAGGCTTTAACAGTGGTAGCGCAGGTGCAGGTGCAGGTGCCGGAGCTGGTGGGTCTGGTAGGTACACGTTTTAACCTGTGACAGTTTATGGAGTAAAGAGGTCATGTGTACCACGTGTTTTGGTGCAGTGTTCTTTCTCTTTCCAACAAGCACTTTCTACCTCTGTCTGAATGACAGATACATCATGTAAACAGACCCTGATGGTCCGGTAAGAGGCAATCACAGAACAACAAGAACAACACAATACACTGATTTTGCTGCTTCGCGCGGTTCCCCCCTGACTTACTGCCTTGCGCGGGTACACCTTCATTCATTGCAACTACTGCAACATAACCAAGTCGAAGTCTCATGCTGTTAATTGAAAGCTTCCGGTGGAGGATCTGGCATGATCTGCATCTCCAGTAACATTTCAGGTCAACTGATGGGCGGAGGCAGCGTAGGAGCAGGTGCTGGTGCGGTGTCATACTGACACGGCTTGCAGCCAACCAGTCCTTATACATCTGTCAACCCCTATTACCCCTATCTGTCAACCCCTATTACCCCTATCTGTCAACCCCTATTACCCCTATCTGTCAACCCCTATTACCCCTATCTGTCAACCCATATTACCCCTATCTGTCAACCCCTATTATCCCTATTTTGTCAACCCCTATTAGTCAACCCCTATTGACAGCCCCTATCCGTCAACCCCTATTAGTC